ATTACATATAACGGTGACGTGAGAAGAATGTTTGTCCTAGCTCTAGGAAGCCCGAATATTTTATGATTGCGAGATGCAAACGTTGGAGTACGAAACTTGATCTGTTCCAGGATCATGGGGCAATCAATTAAATTGTTGATTATTTTGTAGCCAAATATTATTGAGGCACAGTACCTACGTTTTTTCAAAGTCAACATGTCTAAGCGACTACATAGTTCCTCATTACTTTTTTTATATACTCCAACTACCACGAAGGCCTAAGGCCTAAACACCCATTGGGTACCGTGGGGCTATAGGGGGATACAGGGGAAAGGGGGGGACGCCACACGGACTCTGGCGAGGGAACACGTGTGCATGCAACATGCACACATTCTGGCTCCGCCTACGAGATCCCCCGGGTGGTACCTCCGCGTTCGACAGTCAGAGACCGTCTACCACCTACGGACAATCACAACATCCATAGCCAAGAGAAAAATTTCTCCTGGGACGGGACTCGAACCCGCACAGCGCACGGCGATCAGGAGACCGAAGAGTCTACTACTGCGGCCACCGCTGCTGCCTGTACCTCTCTCTGGATATGTCCCATCAATCCTAAACAGAATAAACTTCATAAACTTCCGTTGTACTCTTTCAATAGCTGTGCTATAGCATTCATAGTAAGGGCTCCAAATAATACTACAATATTCGACTTTGGATCTAACATAAGCATAATATAATAGCTTAATAGACTTTATGTTATGAAAATTCCTGCAATTCCTTACTATGAAACCATAAACCGCTAATGCTTCTGATGCTTTTTTATTTATATGCTGACTAAAAGTTAACTTTTGATCATAGATTATACCTAAATCACGTACATCAGAGCATCTTTCTAGCACAGACCCATCAATAGAGTTCGGATATTCGCAAACATTAATTTTCCTGGTATAGCTGACTATTTTACACTTCCTCACATTAAGCTCCAACTTGTTTTCTACACACCAAGACAACACAAAATTTAATTGGTATTGTAGCTTGATACAATCATCAGGAGTATTTATCTGCGAATAAATTTTTAGGTCGTTAGCAAAGCATAGGAGTTCACATTCAACTGAGTCACAGAGGTCATTAATAAATATCAAAAACAGTAATGGTCCCAGGTTGGACCCCTGAGGAACTCCAAAAGGTGCCAAGTAGGTCTCAGATTGGAAGCCATTATAGCTAACAAATTGTCTACGATCGGATAAGTAAGATTTCATCAACTCCCTAGCATCATCTGTGAAACCAAGTGCACCTAACTTATTTAATAAAGTTTTGTGGTTAATTTTATGGAAAGCCTTCGAAAAGTCGGTATAAATAACGTCCGAGAGGTACTGCGTTATTATAAATAGATTTGTGGTTGTTGAGCGATTAGCGACAAATCCGTGTTGATGCAATGACAGCTGGCGCTGGACGGCAGTGTAAATGCGACTGTACAAGACTATTTCAAAGACATTCGAGAACATGCATAATATAGAGATTGCCCTGTAGTTCTCAATATTTGACTTATCCCCACACTTAAACACTGGACAGACCTTAGCGATCTTCCAAATATCTGGAAATCTTTTTGTTATAAGACAAATATTAAAAATCCTAGTTAGAACACCAACAAACACTTCCACACAATCTTTGACTATAAAGGACGGGATGCCATCTAGACCAGATGTCATCTTATTCTTTAGTGATTTAATGGCCTTCCTGACTTCATTTTCCTCAATTGGATGAAAATGGACAAATAAATTACTATGATTTAGTGAGGCATTATTATGGAGCTTGTGAGTGACTTAGACGCTGCTGAAAAACTCACTGAATGCGTTTACTATATCCTGAGAATTATTTTGAAATTTCATTATCCCTGGGATTCGTGATGTGTTGTTTTTGGAGTGAACGTATGACCAAAAAGCATTGGGGTTAATTGTTAAAGAATTCTGGATATTTTCAATATATTGATCATACGCTGATTTAATCTGGTTTTTAATCAAGCGGCGCAAACGTTTGAATTCTTGTAGATCATCAAAAGCAGACCTGTTGATTTTTTTCCTAAATTTAGCTTTAAGTTTAATGTTCTTAATAATAGCTGAGTGAAACCAAGGCGGGTATCGGTGACTGTAATTCTTCTAAAATACCCCATTATGTCTATAATAATAACAGTTGATGATAACACATGATCTGCTAGTACAGCTGTTTCATGATCACTAAAAGCCATGGTTATCGGAGAGAGCTCTACATGCACACGTATGTGCATTACAATATCAAACAAAGCGCCTAGCGACCATCGGAAAGCAAATAAATCGAGTCAAAGTTTGCTTTTGACACCTTCCCTCGAATGTAACAAGTCTGTGTGGCATTCCGGTACACACGGAGAGGTCCTTGACCAATTTTATGTGTTCTTCGACATCGAGGTAGAATACAGTTGCTTTAAAGAAATGGCGTCATGTAGGTTGACCCTGCACCTCCCATGCAACGCTGTTATCAGTTACTTCACAAAGGAAATTGGTTATGGACACGTATAACAAAAAATTAAATGGATCAAGTCAGCGAAACAAGCTCATTCTAAAAGTCTCCACCCATTTGATAACGCTAGTATCGATCATTCGACAATGATGCTAAAACACACCAGTCAATCATGCCATAAAGCGCCAGCCATGAAAGTAGGTGTATAACTCGGGATCGATATCTGCAGATATTTCTCCAAGTTTGAAGGGCAAATGTACGGGGAAATCTGTGATGTGTGATATTTACTAATAGGTCTAGAATTACCTGATTTGGAAGCGTATGAATATCCTGCTACCAACGCCCAAAAAAGTATTTATTTATTCAATAAATTTACGAGTGAACCCATTTTTACAGAGTAAAATTACGTAGAATATACACGGAAATAACATTTAAAACATACAAGCTCACAGGACCATTTGAAAGGTACTTTTTAAAGTCTAAGAGTGTACAGGTGAAGATATCAGTATTAGTCTGAACCAAGTTTATAAGACGAAGTGCTCTATCGAGTGGAGAGTGCTGACCATAATTTGCCGGATGGAACTTAATCGGAGACAGGTTACTATTACGGAATGTTCTACAGGCTACATTGAAATTTATCCGTGCGAACAAAGTTTCGCAATCGGTGAGCCCTAATAAAATCTTGATAGCGAAACAACCGTCAAAGATCAATCGCTTATGCTCCAGCTATATGAGATTCAGTAATATTTAAATTCATCTTTATTTTTTTTTATACTTGAACCACTGCGAAGGCCTAATGCCTAAGGCCTAAGCACCAATGGTACCGTGAGGCTACATGGGGATACGGGGAAAGAGGGACGCCACACGGACTCTCTAGCGAGGGAACACGTGTGCATGCAACATGCAGACATTCTGGCACCGCCCCAGAGATACCCCGGGTGGTACCTCCGCGTTAGACAATTAGAGACCGCCCTCCACCTACAGACAATCCCAACATCCATAGCCAATAGAAAAACTCGCAACAAGAAGCAAAAATTTATACCGGACACGCTCCAAATCAACTTTGTAAGACTGATACTAAGGGAACCATACTTCTGTGGCATATTCTAGATTTGATCTTACCAAGGAGCAGGAAGGTATTGATTGAAAGGCACTTGAAATTTCTCCAAACAAAGCCCAGCATCTGCAAGCCCTTTATAGTAACCGTAAGAATATGGTTTATAAAGTTAAACCTTTCATCAAAAAGCACTTCAAAATCCCTAGCGGTAGCCTTACAAGAGAGAGTATTATTGTTTGTATTATAGCCAGCCAAAATTCTACTCCCGCGTTTGTAGAAGCATATTGAAATGCATTCATTAATATATAATACAAATCTTCCGCCACTAGACAGATTTTCAAAAACTATAAAGCTTTTACGACTTTGGCACAATAGTCAGTTTGAGTGGAAAATTCATCAAAATCCAAGCGGTGCTTTCCAAGTTACAGAGAGGCCAAGCATTAGCGGACGGTCAGACCGACAGCACGACAGACCGACAGAAATGAGTGACATGGTTTTTCGTGATGCACTTGTCGTATAACATCCAAAAGACCTAATATCTTATTTCCAAAATTTTTCGCAATTACAGTATTTCCTCGAAGGTGGCATGGGAAGTAATAGATATACAGATACAGTTGTACGTGGTGACAATGATTTTCTCAATAACGGATAACGGCAGCTGCGATTTATTTACTTACCAATTTAGTCAGCCGATTAATAAAAATCACCTGCAAATAGATGCATTCCACTTCGGTCGCTACCGGTATCACTAATATCATTGCAATAAAATAAATTTCGTACTTCAAACGATGCTTTCTTTATTTTTTTTCATATACTCTGTGGAATGAATGTTACATATGAGTGCATATCATACCTCCTCCACTCACTATCCACACCATGAGATTCATCCAAATATCTATTATATTTTCTACATCTATATCATTTTATAAAGCCGATGCCTTGGCTGCGTATTACTTGATAAAAAAAGTTCTTGAGTCTCTAACTATAGGGCGATAATCATGTTCAACAGAAGCGGGCAGATATGAAAACTCCGAACTCATTATGATACTCGTATTTCAAAATATGGTGGAAGTGACAATCGATACTTATTTCGCGCACTTTCACCATATTTTCAACAACGCTACTGGTTGTCCCTGAAAGTGGACGCGTTTGTATCTTTGACGACCGTTATTTTAATATATACTGCTATAAATACAATTTTTCCGTCAGTACGATACTGCTTGTACAAATACAAAGACATAACCTAATCACCTATGTACCGAAGATATTATTTCAACTAACATAATTAGTTTTTTGTTGTAAAAATTTATCTGAATTGTATACGCTCTAGAAACAAATCAATTTTCCATGATAGCTAGGTTTGGTTATACATGCAGTTATTTTCTAGATGATCAAAAATCCAGTTACTATCCGTTATCATTATAACAGTTCGAATAGAGGCAAAATAAATGGTCATTCTATTTATTTCCAGGGGACAGCATGATGTCGTACTGCCAAACAACCCCTGTATCATCTGCAGGGGGAGGAGGGGGCGGCAACCCTCCCTCAAACGGCCCTGCATCACCACCCCCTCCCTCCCTGCCACAATGCTCTTCAGCGGGGGGTACACCACCAGTAGCGTCCGCGTCATCCCCAGGTATTTACATTAACATTAACACAAATACGTATAATACAGCTTATATTAGTCTGAAAATACACTCTGATGAGAGAATCCTTTAGAAGATATTCATGACTGCATTTCGCATTATACAAAGCGGCTCATAGGAACTTGCTTCTGTTAAATTACTTTTGATTAACAATGCCAGGTCGAGCAGTTGGTGAGGCAACAGCGCATGTCTTGTGACCAAACATTTTACAAGAGCTGCCATCCCAGCGTGTGTAGTTACAAGGATCTGTTTTTGGTAGGTCGGTGTGAAATTTTTCGGTAGATTTCGCTAGAGACGGGGGTAGACATTAAACCAAAAAGTAAAAACTTGCTTGTGATTGAAAATTGTTTGAGGTCCAGTCGGTTTTGAAAATTGAAAAGCGGAAGGGAGGGGTATCACCAAGTGCTGAAATGCTGATGTCAAAAAAATTGAGAGACACAGAATTGCACCAAAGCTGTGTAATCCAAAAATCCATCGAATCCTGAAATGCTGCTATTTAAACACTTCTTCTATTTTTTAGTACAACGTTTTTTACAAGACAACTAACACCATTTCTACTTTTCGTTTGATTTTTGCAAATAGCACGTTCTTATGGGCCACCCAGTGATTTAATAATACTGATTTATATCGATATGATACTGAATAACATGAGTGCGAAATTGCGATAAATAACAAGGCTGAGACCTGTCATTAAGAATGAGGCTGTGCTAAAGAAAACGATTTTTCCAGGTGGAGGAGTCCAAGAAGAGGAGGACGTATGGCGTGGGCATAGTATCGCAGCTCTACGTAGACGTGCTTCAGAGCTGAATGCTGCGATACCTGCTTATCTACAAGTACCATACGATACTCATACCAATGCATCTGTATACTAAAGTAACAAAAAGCTGTATTGTGACTATTCCAGAAGTAAAACTGTTTAACTTTAAAGAATACTGGGAGTGACTTCTAAATATGCTATGGGGCGCTTTTTGATCAGTGATATTTCCAGAAACCGAAAGATGTTGTTAAAAGCTAAAAATATACAAAGAACAACATGCGGGGATTATTCATTAAAATATGGGTGAGTCCTAGCGTACAGCAAATATGATTTTATGTCTAAGCAATATTTTTTCTTGAAATTTATTTAAGATATTATTCCGTTCTGTGAACGAAAATATGTAATAAGATTTGTGGTTTTCTAACCGGTGATTCATTTGGAGGCCTCTTTTCAGAAGAAAAAACATAACAATAGTTCATTGAACGCGATTATAATTATTATCCAAGGCAAGAAGCATTTAAGGCAATCACCTTTTTAAAATTATTTATTTTTGAATGACGGCTGTTAGTGCATTCACCTGGTCCGTTCTGTAGTTCCGATTTTCGATAATGCGCCTAAGCATTTTAGGTGGTATTTAAGGAGAGCTATTGGACCCGTTTTGTTGCTTGCTGAAAATCAAGCACATTATTAACATTAGTTTTAACAAGACGACACGGTACTTGCAGCTCAGCCTACGATATAATCCCTTTACTGCCGCAATAATTTGATGAACAGCTAATTTCTCATGTCGGACCAAATAATTGACCTCTTGGATAATGTGATGTCACACCCTTAGACGTTTTCATTGGGGCCTGTATGTCTACATGAATAAGAAACAATGAGAAATAATAAATCAGAATTATTCGCTGAATACGGAACGAACACATCATAGAACTTGGAATCCAAAAATGGACACGTTGCCTGAACCGACGACCAACATTTAAAAATAAGATTTTCAAAAATGAATTTCGTTGATGCTTCTTTTTTTCAATAATAAATATAACTCGTCGGAGTTGGTATTTGTAATTTTGTGTGCTTTTAAAAAAGTACTCATTGCTAGTAACGTCACAATAGAAATTATCATAATACATCATCATTCTTATGTAAATTATTGAAATCTATATTAACTAAACGTCATACTTTTGGCTTTTCACTTGATTCTATAAGCAACATTGATTTCGACTTCAACCAGTGGTTATGTAAATGTGAAAACTTGACTTCCAAGACATAATTCAGTCAAGGTAAATAAAATTGGGAAATACCGTAATATGTATTTAGTACATTTTATCAGCCTGCTCAATACATTGCGAAACTTGTTTAATTTTTTGTGACAAAACGGTAACTCTTGGTTGTGGTATTTTTTCATAGTATACCGTTCCAGCACTCGTATTAACAAAAGTTGGAGCAACTTTTATATTGAGCATATCCAAAAGATAGAACAGTATCACCATCTTTTTCAATAGTTCAGGGTCGCACACTGGACAAGAAGTGCAGTGGGTCCAATGGTGCTTACATTGTGTAATATTCAATGTTCAGCTAAAACAAAAACTGCTCTGCCTTTTTGCATTACCATATGTCTAATATATGTTATTCTGGATTATTTGACGAAGAAACTATAACTGCTACATAATTTTACTGCTGACGAAATTGGTTTCTTTTTTAATAACAATTTGGCTTACTATGTTAGGATTTCCAGGGGAAGATTAAAACTCAGGCGAGTTTTATTCTTTCCCTGAGGATCGGAATGTTTGGCGAGTGGTAACACCCTGACGCAGTCATAATGGTCTACTTACTCGACAGTATACGAAGTAATGTTTACGAATATGCCAGCCTTCCGAAAACTGTTTTGACAAACAAATAGAATAACTGTAAAGCCAAAACATAGGCTTATACTGCATCATATTTTATTGCATCTTTTACTTCTAGAACGTCATGAATCTGGAATACTCTACTTGATTAGTTAGAACTTGTACTAACAAAATTTAGCTTTTTTTGACGCCTCTAATAATATATTCACTGAGACTTTTTCATGTTTATTGTTTTTGGTCGAAATGACACTGGTTAATTTGTTAATAGAATTTAATTAAATATGAACTACTCATATCCATGAGTATACCTTCGGTGAAGATCTAGTCACCTACACACTATCTTGTTTTGAGACTACGTATACGATGTAAGATAATATAATCTGTACAAAGAACAATAATAATAACTGTCTGATAGATGTTTATTTTCAATGCGAATCTGTAAAAACTCGATTTTGTCCGTAAGTGTTAAGTAGAGTAACTTACGTGCTCCCTTGTATACGTTATTGCTAATATATAATAATAAATGTATCAGCCCAAAATGGATGAGTTTGATGAATCAAATTCCAAGTAATTAATGTAACGATTATTTTGAAACAAGTCGCCAATTTTCGCCAACATTTGTATTTATTTTTATTTTTGTTGTCCTGTGAACTTGTCAGTAGCATTGCTCTGATTTCAGTGGAGCTTCAAACCATTTCAGAATGATTATTAAAAAGTTGCGATTTGCCAGAGTGTTATTTGGAAATTATTCATCAATTTCGTCCTTCCATTCATAAAGCATTAAAGATACAATACTTTTGTTATCTGATTACATTTCTTTCTCAACTTAATTCTCTACAGTTTATCGCGCAATGTTTTTCCTCCGATATACACGTGTGAGATATGGTAGAGGGAAGACTGACTTCCTTACCTGGTATTCCACAAACACTAACAGCTTTTCTGAACGAAATACTTGGGCTAGGGAATAACAACAACTGAACGAATGTATACAGCGTCCAGGTGACCCTACGCGCTATTAGGGAAGTCTGGCGATAGAGCAAGTGTTTTTTTTAGTTGAAAAAATCTCACCCTCCCTTACTTATTTCTTACTGTATAAAAAATTTCGTTCAAACCAAATCGTTTTTACTGTTAGTGAATATATACATATTACAATACATTTTTTTAAATGCGCAATAGGAAGGTATTGATACTTTGCTTGATGCTAAATGACTACACATACGATTGAGACAAATTCAAGAGAATGTGGGTTATAAAGTAATGTAAATATTTCGTTACTGTACTCTATCATACTTACTATTTTTTTAGCTATGGCATGCGCATGACGCGTCATCAATAGCATTTTTTTTAATGAATTGGTTCCATGTTCAAATGGCCGCTGTTACTGTGTGTATATTATTAAAATTGTACTTGTACAGTTGTAGTTTTTGAATGAGTGATGATAAGAAGAATAAACTAGAAAGAAACTTGCTATTACCAGTAAAGTAGAATTGTCTGTAATATATCAATTTCCGTTTCAGTGACTTATGTATACTAAGTGTGTAAAATAGAAATGTTATATATATATGTGTATTTTTAATCGGAATTTTTATTTTCCCCAAATGTTCCCAAAAATATTAGCAAACAGTCAGCTTAAGTGCCAATTTGCCAGTAAATAAAAATTAATAAGAACATATAATGCAATTCTGTTTCATAGTACTTTAATTCCACCTTCACCGCCTATCGCAGTTTTGCGCCAGGAGAATGCGTATTTTGAATTGGTAGCACTCTCACCATTTTCTCAATGGTGTGACCAGGATTGTGCACATTCGACATTTTCAAAAAACTATTAAAGAGGTTGGAGTTTCATCAAACATCTTTGGAAAATGTTTTATCAGACGATATCAGAATAGAAAACAGTATTGTTCTTTAGATTCTTTAGATTCTTTTCCTTATACAGGGTGACTTCGAAGTTGAGTCATTTATTTTAACAGTGAGTAGATCTGATCAAAAGAAATGTTTTTTTCCTTTACCATTTTTCTGGTAAAATTAAAGTAACAAAGTTATAGCCCTTTGGAAGTTTGAGTACTGCCCTGTCTCAATAATAATATGTTCGTGTTTGGCGACAACGGATATAATCCGCCTGACCAGTTCATCGCATCGGAAACAAAAAAGCGAAAGAATTTGAAACGTTTATCACGATGTTTTTCGTCAGTCGATAACGCGTTAGTGAATGGTAGTGTTTGTTGCGTGGCTCAAACGAAATCAAAAATGGCACATGTTTACGAAAATGCTGAACTTGTGGACATGATTCCTATTTACGGGGGGGCAGTCTTTACAAAATGCTCCCGGATGCATCACGGATTTATGCGAATCGGTTTCCCAATCGAGTGCAACCAACCCCTAGTGCAACCAACCCCTAGTGCCTTTGTTAATGTAGTACCAAGGGCTCGTGAATCAGGTGACTTAAGACCTCACAGGTCAGGGCATGCTGCTCCAAGACCGCACGATCAAATACAGGTCCGCACTGAAATACTTGTCGGGACGATACTTTATTAAACAAGGTAACATTTTTTTTATTTATTTTTTATTTTTACACACATATTTTGGTTTATCTTCCTTCTACAATCATTATCTGAAAATTAATGACTCAACTTCGAAGTCACCCTGTATAATACAGTATCTTCTTGAACACGAATCCTGAGCCCCCCAGAACTTTCTTCATGAGATGTCAGTATGTCAGATGTCGTAGCTACCTTGAGTGGCACTTGGTACGGAAGTTGGTGGTGTCACCCCATCGAAACTCAAAAGCAATAAATTTTATATGATATAAACGTGATGGATCATTTAATATTGGTTTATAGTTAAAATATTGAACAAATAACAAAACACAATAAAAACTAAGACAGAAAAACTATTTTTATGTTACAATAATTAAAATCTCTTCTTTCTAGCTTTAACAGCTGCAAACTCAGAAATATCTTCATCAAAATTATTTTGTATTGCCTCGTATTCGATGCCAAGATTGTCAAGTCGCGATTGGGTTATTGTTGCCCGCAAATAGTTGTTTCTTAATTTTAGTTTACTGAAACACCTTTCACATGAAGCTACGGACACGCAAACTGTCATAAACAATTTTAGTGCAATCATATGATTTGTAAAATCCCATTCTGCAATAAACTTTAAAAAATCTATAGAGTCCCCCATTTCAAAAAGCAGATACATCCATATTTACTGTGGGTGCTGCCATCTCATAGTCAAAAGTTGTAGTAATATATTGTAATACATATTCGTTTCCAAACTGCTGCAAGATCCATATAAACCAGCTTACTATTTCAAATTCGGCTAAAGCTGATGCGTGTTTCATTAAAAAAGTAGCTATATCCTTAGTTTTACCAAAACCGGCTAAATCCAATGTTACACCTACTGTGATGCTCTTGTTCATGAACAAAACCTTCAAGTCCCGTTAAAGTGTGTTTACCACGGCGAGGAACGAAAAAAGTGAAGGATTCGAATTGGAATACTATAAGACTGTATAATGGATAATCAACAAAGTTTAACACAAGCAGAAGTCAATGCCGATAAGAAAAGTAAGTGCTCTACTAATACTGGGTGTAGCTTTGAAGCTGATGTATGATTTTTTATATTCATTTTTAACAAAAAGGACTTTTTACTTTTTAAGTTGAGTTTTAAGGTGATGTATTCGAAACAGTTTGCAAGAAAGAATGTACGATTTTCCTATTTATATCTTTTTGTTATATTAGTGATCTAATGTTAATACATCAGAAAAGTATTCACACGAATATCGTTTCATTACCGGATAAATCCTGAGTTGACATTCAAACTCGGGTAAATCCATCCCTACCCCCCCTCAAATACTGACATACCTATATGAGCCAAACAATATTTTTTATACTGTAAAATTCCTTTATTGTGCTACGTACTTCAATATTACGCTATTACTGATTCAAAGACTCACATATAGTAAGAGTTACAGTTTTTCACCTTTTTCTTAATATCATCAATTTTTGATTTAGCCACTTATGGAAATAGGGGACTCAGATACCCAATCAGAAACTGTAACATTAGCGGCTCTTAAGTGCCTTCGCAGTCTTGGTGTCTCCAAAACTAATTATGTTTCTGAGACCTCATCATAAATCAGTAAATTTGTATGTAACTAATTTCAGTTCTTCAGTATTTGTTAAAAGCAAAGTATTTGTTTGTACGATCTCAAACAATGAAGGTAGGTTTTGAAGAGACTTCGATCTTGTCTGGAATTCTCTGAAAAAGTTGAGTCACCGGGTGGATGTCACCCCCAAAAAGGTGACATCCGGTGCGGACCGCCTCCGCCCTCCCCCTTGCTACGCCACTGGTTGATACTAAACAAATAATATCCTCCTCGAAGGCTGGATTTACTGTGAGAAATATACACATTTGGAAGACCTAAGTATCAGTGCTATCTATCGAATAAACTTGTCTGCTTTTTCGCCATCTATCACCAGCAAACCACTACTAATTACTAATGAAATAACAGTGCTCTCAATACGGCGTATGCAATTAGTGATACAGAATTTAGTGTGCCTAGTTGCCTGCATGAAACGTAATAGATCTCTACCTACTCTGTCTCTTTTTTGATTACGCTACCTGTCAATAGATCGCCAATATAGATTAATAGTTCTGTGTTCAACGAATAACTTGAAAAAAGACGAGATGATACGTCACTTATACATCATCTGTTAGTTCTTATGTCAAAATCTTACGTCAATGACATTGGCTTTTATTCAAATGAAGTGTTTTCAATAATTCCTACATAAATAAATAGATAAATTTAGAATATTAACAGAGTAGTGTAGTGATGAATGACCGCACACATCATCCATGATCTGCAATTATAAAAAAAATCCAGACAAATGCAGTCAAACGGTACTCTCCTCAGATTATTGTTAATTTTCTGGTGGTTTATTGTTTATAACAATTAACGGTGTCGGCTTAAGCTCCGTACTTTTATGCTTTATGAAGAAACTGACAAACCTCCTAGAAATCAATAATCTCATTTCACCCCCATACTGAGCATGTGCAACATTTCACCCCCTATGGTCTGCTACACCCCCTACACACAAGGATCAATGGGCCCTTTGATCAATATGAAGATAGCACGACACATTTTTACTTTATACACTATCATCACAGACAGGTTATCATCATAAGTGTAAAATGCATTTCAAGATTCGGATCAGCATTCAAGCATATATTTCGTAAATGTGATACAGTTGTGATTTAGGTTTTTTGTGGTGGCAGGTGGGATATTAAGGAAATTGAAAATGCAAACATTAAGAAAGAAAACTAGTCCTTTAAAATGTGAGTATGCACCTTGCATGGATGGTTGTGGTGCTAAATCTTGAGATTATGCATGCCAGTATCCTTAAGATAAATAGCATTTATTTTATGTACATTTTTGATAATGCAACGTGTAGCAGAAAGTCCTCAAGTAATGGTGGCAATCATGAACAAAATTAATTGTATGCAAAATACTAAGTATCATCTGGTGCAATAGTTTCTTACTCAGTAGGCTTCGGTACGTTTCATATTTTGTGAGAGGAATTGAGTTCAAATACTTTCAATATTTATTTGATCAGCTGATCAAAACAAAAAATAACTTTGTACTTTGCATAATCAAACAATTGATATGATTTTGCTATTATAATAGATGTTCATACATCTGTAGAAATATCCAGTTTTTGCTTGCTTTCTGTTACACTAATTTTCTTTTATATGTATCATATTAGGCTTAGTAAATTAAATAAAAAATCTTTTAATAAATATTTCCCTTCTTTTTCCCTCATTCTCTGATTCACTGCATGTTGTACATTTTGATATATGTATGCTTAAATCCAAACTGTATTTTACTTGAAAAGTATCTGCTCTATTTTACAGCTAATAAGTATAATTTGCATTTCATTGCTCTCAGTTTATAGAAATAATTCTCACATTATTTGTTATAAACAAAAATCATTGTAAGCTAGTGAACTATTTTCATTGGTTAACATATTCCTGTGAAAAAAAATGATTCCGTCCAGGCAACAAGATTCAGAGCTGCAGTAATTTTTTGCTGTATGGCAATTAAAGTTTGCAGCAGTTGTTAATAAACTATCAAATTTAACAGCAAATTGCAATCTGCTGCAAAACTATTTAATGGCTACTGTATCGCTATCACTTCAAGTTGCACAATGCACTCAATATTATTGAAAATGGTTCCAACATTCAAACATTTTACAAGCTAGTATTCTACGGTTTTAAAAAAGTAAAATATTAGGTAATAGAAATGATAGGAAAAATAATCATTGTTACTGTTATTCATTCAATGCAGGGACAGAACAAATTGAAGTACATATAATGCCAAACATTTATATTATAAAACTATTATTGACAACAAAAATGTGTCAAAACCAGATTAGTAGGTAAAAAATGATCACCTGCAATCACATTCAATGCTTATTGGTAGAACAATACACTGAATACACACAATCCATACAGTGATAGTGTTGATACCATTAAAAGTTACAATTTGAAAAAAAATGCATGGCTGAACAATCCTGAGGATAATTTGGATTTGGCATGGGTTATGCAACATATATTGCAGTTGCTTGTATATCATGTTGCTGGTCCTAATTAATATACTTACCATAAAGCTTTTAATTTGGCAACTAGAATAAGGTAAATGTCCCAAACTACAGCATGTTGAGAGACTTTCACTTAATTAAAAACATTGCTGATAAGAAATGAAACATGTTTTCGTGAAAACAGACATTTTCAGAGTAGTCAAGGGTGAACGCTACGTTGATTTAGATTGCAGTATCCTTTCATATAATTTTTTTACAAACCTTTATTTGAAGCTTATTTCATGATGAATGTTTGCATTGTCTCCAACTGCATTGTACAGACTCTGGGTATAGTGTGGGAAAATTAAAATTACATTTCCATGAATAAAGATTAAGAAAATAATAGTTATATATTCAAAACACTCTTGTTGATTTCACAAGAATCACATTTCATATCACATGGATAATAAAATAAAGGTGAATGAAAGAGGTAAAAAGTGATAACAACTATATGTCTACCTGAGGTCATATCACAACAAAACAAAAATGATTATAGATACTCATACGTCACATTCCATAACATCTTCATGACCAGACTGTAATATGGAAAGCAAAAAACAAAACTGTATTTTTGTACTGATTGTCAGTCTTTATACTTGTAATATTGTAAATGTATTTCATAAATATTTGATATAGTAAATACATTACATATCTGGGGCAGAATAAACACCTCTTTTCATGAGAGGTATCTTAATTACATCTTCACATTCATAAGCTAAAAGGAAAGATAAGAAGAACGATAATGGATAGGGCTTAAAAACTGCCCATAACTGTTCTGATTCAATTGTACTATGATAAAATATCCATAATTATCAATTTTCTGTATTACGAATTTAGCAATGTGAAGCAAAACACATGGCGCTTGCTTCTTTTTATTAGTGTTGCAATGTCAAAATACTTAATTTAGTGGATAATGAGTAGATATTTATTGACCATTTAGTGCCATGTATTCAATAACTATAACAGAAAAAAATGCATCAATTCCAGTAGAAACAAAAAAGTAGACTTTGTATGGTAGATGGCTAAATTTTCATTGAATTGTTCAAACTGACAAAAGACTGTTGGAAAAAGAGTATACCAAATTTCACTCAAAAGAAACATTACATTTTTTTCATACATACTGTCTGTATAAAAAATTCGGAGTAACCCGAATTTAGGGACATACAAATTAATACAACCCAATTTTTTATTTTTCAAATATCTATAGGTTCAATCATATCTTAAATTGTTTATAATGAAATTGTTAACATGACTATTCACATACTTTAGTCAAATTAACTAATTTACTTCTTGTGGGAAGCTTGAAAAGTTCAGTACATATCCTTACAGCCAGAAACAACAAGTTCGTTTTTTTTTTGAGACAGCTGAAATGATAGAGAATAATATTCAATATAGAATTTTATAAAATATGTATGATTTTCTTATTTTGGTGCTTCAAATAAAAACAAACGAAGTTATGGACTATCAAGAAGTTTTGGACATTTACCTGACACAAATAAAGGGATTGTATTCCATTGCCAAGTAGACAGACATTAAAGTAATACTCAACTGATTCGTGAATCTAATAATTATAGATTCATCTTGATTATCCCATTTTTATTAAGCATTACTCCTAGTATATTCCATTTGAATTCAGATAAAACAAGTTTGTAGTCCTTCTGTTCTTCCACTCACCCATTACATGCTATATCTAAAATCGTCGGTGAGAACTTGAGCTGAAAAGGAGTATCGATGTCAATAGAGCGCGAAAACCAAATCTAAATCACCGAAAGCTCACCCAGTTGGAACTGATTGTGCATCGGTACAATCAATAGAAAACGCCAATAGATTAAAAACTAAAATAAACTCTTATAGCCAAGTTACTTTACATAGGTCGATAAGTTTATGTTCCTCACCGTCAACAGGCCGTTCTGTGGGATAATGTTTAAGCTTGAGAGATATAGCGTGTCGACAGGTTATTCTAGAGCTTCATCAACGATGATGTTTAAACGATTTGAGAAACTCAATAAGTGCTTGTACTAACGACCCATTATATTCAACTGATTAACTACACTATAAAAGCGTCGTAAATTGATACCGAGCTAAAACTTGGTAGTTTCTTACTGCGAACAAGAAATACCGAGTTTATGTAACATTTGAAACTCATTATTTATTTTCATGCTGATAAATCTCCGATTTGCTGGCGGTAAAATGAAACCACATAATGTTGGATTGATATTGTAATTTTTTAATTTTTAGTTTGGAAGAAGATATCGAAGTAGCCGAAATATGGAGATTTACATCTAGTTTAATAAGTTTAACGTACATCGATGTTTATAAGCCTTATGTTTAGGTTCAAAAATAGTAAATTTCGAGGGATAATGGATACGACAGCAGAAATTTAATATACATGCTTTAAATGTTTGATGGGATATACAACACAGTCTAACTGACGAACAATAAGTGGTTCTAATACCAGGATAATGAATAAACATAATTTTACTGCTTATCACTAAAAATGACACTGAACCATTAACTTGTTGGCATATCACACGTTATAATTTTGCATTTTTTCAATATCTTTCAACGAAAAAGTATGCTGGAAAAGGTATGACCTGAGTGGTTTCAGAAATGAATGACCCAGTTCAAAATGACAATATATTGTACATCGAGTTGGGCGAAAAGTTAGTAGACTTTCACGTCAACATATGTGGTTTCATTTGATGGCCAGCAGAATATAGAAATTGATCAGCAAGACTACCGCATGATAAGTTTCATGTGTTACTGACACTGACTTATGTTATAGAATGAACGTCTATTACGCAATATTTGAAGAAGAGAAGAAAATAAACAAAATGCTCATCAACATTTGAAAGGCGCTTTCAGTAAAAAAGAAAATATGTCAAATATAGACGTTAGTGGTGGACGATTTAATTATGGATGATCATATTTCCTCGAAGAAACAACCTATTTTTATAGGAAACCCCTTTCTGAAAATGGCGTCAGTCTGAAAAAATTATATATTCAGAAATATTTTTACTTGTTTTTTATTTCAAGACAAAAATGAAACAACTCGATTCTTGGGAGATGGGGTGAGCTTCAAGGCGAAACTGATCGGTATCTTGGAGGTGTCCGAAGCTCGAGGAGATAGAATGTGTCAAGAAGCTCTAGCTGACTTAAAAATGGCGATAAGGGCTGCTGGAGAGCATAAGCAACGGATTATTATCAATGTTGCCATCGATGGACTGAGACTTAGGGACGAAAAAACTGGGGTATGTTTAAATATTAATTTTAAATATCATTCCCGATTTGGTCGTATTTCCTTAAACTTACAGCTTTTAAAAGTAAAGTGTTAATAAACCAGTGTATTTATCTCATTTGCAGGATTCCCTCTACCATCATCCAGTCCACAAAATTTCATTCATAGCCCAGGATATGACTGACTCGAGAGCTTTTGGTTATATATTCGGTTCACCCGACACTGGACATCGATTTTTTGGGATCAAAACTGACAAAGCAGCAAGTCAGGTACAACAGTCTTTCTAGTTTCCATATAATTACACAATTGCATATTTACTTCAATTTTTCTGTTTCTTATGACATGTACTATTTTTCATACAGTGGTCAACGGTTTAACAAGCTTGTATGTTTTCGAACCTTTACAGGTGTCATAAATATACATCCATATATATCCTAGAATTTTTTTTCATGTCATATTGTGACTAATAATTAATTTTTTTTCTGGCAGGTAGTGATAGCTATGCGTGATCTTTTCCAAGTAGTATTTGCACTGAAAAAGAAAGAGATAGAAATTGCTAAGCAAAATTTGGAAAAAAGTTGTTATATAGCCTCTTCACTTTTATCTGATGGATCAAGTAGTAGTTCTAAGGTAAGAAAAAAAATGTATGTAGATTGAGTCTGAACCTCCCACGCATCGCAACGCGAAGTTAGACTATCTGTGAAAAGAGCTAGCTACGAAGTTGCAAAACAAATAAATTGAACTGATCAAGTTAGTCAAACATGCACATACAATAACTCCATAGACATATCTTCCTTACCCTGCCGATAGTATTGTCTATCAGTTTTATAAATATCCTAACGCCAAAAAGCCCCCAATTTTAACCCATACAAACATTTTTTTTCGAAAATGGTTAGGGGTCTCTGAAGTGTCAGAAAACGAAGCTTGGTCATCTTTTTTCCCCCAGCGCCTCCGCTACTGAACCAACTTTCAAAAACTATAAATCCTTTCCGTCTTAGGTATAGTAGTAACCTTGTGTGAAAATTCCATCAAAATCCGAGCAGTTATAGACGGGCGAGCGATTAACCGGGAGACAGATATACAAACAGACAGGCACTGTTACTTGGAAATTCTTTATCCCCTGATTGAACCTGTGTCTGATTTGCGTTGAACGCCAGGCTTTTGACTACGATAACATGGCACAACTTCAGGGCACTATAGGCAAACTGACTCTCAGTTCATCTCGACCTTCAACACAAATCCGAAGCAGAACTCCGTAAGAAAGATTTTCTGGTGCAAGTAGACGAAATGTTGTAGATTGTCGGCGCTCTTCGTTGGTGAAATTATTATGTCATGAATGGTACCACAAGTTTCACAATAAAAAACTAAACGCGTTATGTTACAACTTCTTCAGCATTGTATTGTGAAATCTGTACTCAAAATTGTACTATACAATCGCTTAGTCAAAATATCTTAATTTTCCATTTTGTTGTAGATGCAAAATGTACCCCATGTATCCATAAAGTCCTCATCCGAATCAAAACACTGTTCTTCCTCAACCAACGAAGCCAAAGGCTCTGGGACAGCTGTAGCTGACTTAGTAGACTTAGAACTAGAACTTAATAGCCTACAGCAAGGATTAAATCAAATGGAAAGAATCACACCTTCCGATCCGTTTGGTTCCAAAGAAGATCCTTTTGGTGATAGCTTCACTAGCTATCCAGCGGTAAGTCGAACAATTGTTAGTTACTGTTTTAGATGAAGAATACCGCTATAAAAACGAAGAAGAAAAGTATCAATCACCTGTCGCATGGTCGTTATAGGGTCGACATCGAACTCCGCACAATTATGACGAGAACTGACCAGAACGACCGTTCCTTTGTTCATATTTCCCTTCAAATTCTGTCTTCACGGTAGGTTCCGCATCATCTGCATTATTTTTTTCAGAAACCAATCCTGCCTCCACCACCTCCTTCAAACAGAGAGCGTTCCAGCCGCACCTCAGAATCCAGCAGTATTTTTAGTCCAAAACCCTCCCACAAAAGCAGCACAAGCACCATAGAGCCCAGTTCAATACGAGAGTTTACTTTTTCTCACGAATTCGAGAGCTCTCACGAAGAACCCAGTAGCGGAGACTGGTTCGCACCTTCAGCTGGGAATAGCATATTTGAGGAACCTTCACCTTTACCAGTGACTGAACCTACTAAAGATGAAAAACATGAACAGACCAAACAAGAAATACTCAGCCAGTTTGATGTTTTTACTGAATTGGATCCACTAGGTGAGAAATAGTGAATCAGTGCTTTAATATATATGGTTCCGTATCTTTATTTAAAAAAATATCTTATACAGTGGACTCGCGGTAATCCGACATAATAAATAACATTATCAGTCCTATAGAACTTATAAAAATAATAACTAAACTTATTTACGTTAGGAAATAATTATGTTCAAACAAATATACATATGCACTAAAAATATGTGTTTCACAGGATAACGAATAATCAAAATCCACAAATACAAACGGGTAACATGTGCCCATCAGTTTATAAAGCATTAACATATTCACTAATTTTTTTGTTGTTGTTAAAGCGCGAGACTTTGTACTTTAGTCATTTCAATAAAAAAAGTTCGTTGTAGGAACGTATGCCATGACGACTTCTGAAATGTTCCAACCATCCCTTGATAGCCACAAAATCATATTTTTTCATTATTTCGTTGTAAAAGAACTTTTCGTGGCCAACATGGGTCCCAAAATGGGCGCATGCCTGTTTCTTTCCTGAGAAAACATGTACCAAGCTTATTCCACCTCTGGATGTTCAGCTTTGCTTGGCCCACAGTCATTAGTTGACACGAAAGTTATAATCTTTTCGTGGTTCTTTGTCATATCATTTATTGTAAATCGACATACACCTTATTCACTTGCAGAACTGCTGAGGGATTCATTACGATTTAAGCGATTCAAAATATCACTTTTTTCTTTAATTGTCACTGTTTTGGGCTTGTGAAGGAATGTACATGTGACACACAACGGATAAACAATGAACGCTCGCTAGGCCGCAATTACATGTATACAGTCAAATTCAAACTGACAGAATACGCGTCGAAAAGTAAATGTTGGTTACTCGAGTACTCGTTACTCATAAATACCCAGTAACGAGTATCAATTCGAGCACAAAATTATTACTTTGATTACTCTGCTTTCCGTATCCGTAGCCGGTTCGCGTTATCATCTTAGTCATTAACTGTAGCTCTGCCGCTCATGCATCAGGTTTGCCAGACATCCCACATTCGGGTTGAAACCTGGAAACTCCAGATTTAGAAACAGTTATGAAATTCTATGTCCGCCAATCAAAAAAAAAATTAAGCTTACCTATTTACATTGTGACTCAAACTCATTATTATTGTTGTGATCCTGGCAAACCTGAAAAGGAATAAGGAGTCGATTGGATTTCAGCAAAGTTCGGCTGTATTATGATCCAGAAAAGCGGCAACAGGTTATCAGCACTGTTCACGAAAACCACAATAATAAAATTTTATGTCAATTTGATTTGTGTTTACTTGTCTCACATTTTGGTAAAAATTTATAATTCAGTATGACCCACTGATAGTATGTGTAGACTAAGCTCCAAGTAGAATTTTTTATACTGGTACATGCTTAATTCAAATGCTTCGAAAAGTTACTTGCTATTCCGAATTTCCTTAAGCCCATGTACAGATCATCTTTCTAACTAAAATACATGTTTTGTAGGCATTTCTAGTAAACACAAAGTATTTTAATATGAGTCCTATGACACCCTATCCTATAATAATCCTTTTCGCTTTGCATAAAGTTTGAAGATTCTATGTTTGCATTAAACACGGCAAATTTTAAGGTTGTCTATTTTCTTACAAAATTCGGTTCCAATGAAGTTGTTCAAATTCGACATTAATTACACGACGCACTTTGCCAAATCGTTATACTCATACGACTCATAGTAATCAAAGTAACGAATACAATAAATGATGACTTTGTAGAAGAGTAACGAGAATCAACACCACTAGCGTCGAGCACAGTTGCGGTGCCGCGTACAAACAGTCCAATCATGCATTATATTCGTGACGATTTGACATCTTTATGTACTATCAACAGCCATAGGCGTGTCGGATTACAGGGGGCGCCGGGTTAGATAGGGTCAGGATTACGGCGGGTCAACAAGGTTTCGTGGTCCTCGTTACCGTTACCTGATTTATATTGATTCGAGAAAACTTTGTAAATGATTATATTCCTTTAATAATATTTAAAAAAAGTAAAGATATCAGTACTATTTGAATCATTGCATTGTGATGTATATTTATCTTTATACAGTAAGCATGTTATGGATTTCTGTAGTAGTAGTTCTTTTAATTTTTATTTTGTTTTAGCACCCAAACCTATTTTATTTTGATCCTTGCCTGTGGTAAAATTGATTTGTTTTCTTTTATTTCTGGCCAATCGGCAATGCGAATTACCCATTTTATTCCGAAGGCGGCAAAATTATGGATTTACTAATCGTTAAGACAAGATAAACAAGTATGATGAATTTCAAGTCCCCAGAAGATATTTTTTGTAAATTTGTCATGTCTAGAATGGTCAAAAAGTTTGAAATGTCCAAAAAGTTTGTTCGAGAAGTTTTATTTTCGCTGATGCATCTAACGTGACTCGAGCCGTTACTGAAATCACACAGCTTAAACAATCAATAAACCTACCTACAAAGAAATAGACCGTCCGAGAGCAATGGTCAAATTGGACTAGGTTGTATGGTTAATAGAAGAAGTTCGAAAAATGTTGCGATTACCATTGTTCATTCGCTTATGCCTTATGCAGGTTTTCCTTGAATTTCAAAGGTTATAGTTGCATCACTTACTAGATGCAAAAAAAATTCTATATCGAAAAATATGTCGTACCTAGTTCGCTTGTCGTTTGGTCTATTTTTCCTTTTGGTTCCTATTAGGTTTTTCTGTTGAACAAAATTTTGATAGGAACAGCACCCATTCACGGCGAAAAAAATCCATTTTACCGTAGGTACAGGTCGCAGTAAACCTTACGTTGATCGCAAACATTTCTTTCAAGAACTGAAAAACCCCCCAAAGAAGGCTTTGAAAGAATTAGCGTCCACCGCTACTGTTCAGGAAACTCCATTGTTTCCCGCCACTTTTCCTTCTACACAGCCAACAAGTGGCGCTTCTGATCCTAGTACTACCAGCGGAGTTTTTACAGTGGATCCATTTGGCGAGGATCCGTTCGTGAAGGAAGACCCGTTTGCAGATAGCGATTTTTCGAAGCAAGATCCGTTCGAGAGCGAATTCGCTAGTTTCAAGTTGGATAGCATAGGAAAGAAGGACAATAGTATACAGAATACACTTCCTAAAGGTATGTATGTATGTATGCTAACCCCTGAACCTCATTTACGCCGCGTCAACACCACAGCACACTCGTACCTGCCTATATTTGCTCCAGCATTTATGATGTGGCAATTACACTACTCAAAAAAATTAAGTGGCATATCTGACATAACCGAATAACATTTGTTCAAGTCCGTCTAGATACGACCATTGTTCGCCAAAATGCAGATGGTCAAAAATCATCGAAAAATTTGGATTTTTTCTAGGCCCCTCAATTTTTTTGAGCAGTTTAGAAATACGTGAATTTGAAGAACGGGTGCTGATTGGTCATATGATGTTAAAAGGTACACCACAGAACATAACGATTTAATTGATTTCTAAGAATTGGGAAAAATAAATAACCTGGAGAAAAATGTTAAATTTTCTTCTTCCAGATCCTGTAGCAACATACCAAAAGTCCCCTCTAGAAAAACAAACATCGCTATTCAGTACCTCTCCAAAAGGACCAAGTGTATTCTCGCGGCAAGCTACTTTAGAAGACAAGAATTACAGTAAACTCACTCAGCTCCACGATAACCCTAGCTTGGACATTTCTTCAGAGAGTGAGTGTGCTCCGGAGCCTCCACCAAGACCATTCGTACAGATCAAACCGCCTCCATTGCCTCCCAAAAAGCAAACGGAATTGGCCACTAAACCTCCTCCTCGACCACCTCATGGTGAAGAGTCACCTTACGATTTTATCGAAAAGTAAGTTTTAAAGTTTCATCTTAGGAAAATAAGGACTATCTTCGTCATGCTTTTGATAACAACACATGCAATTATAATGTGTGTTTATTTGGATTATTAAAGCTGAAAAAGGAAGGAAGAAACGGATAATAATAATAATCAGTTTATTTCCAACATGCGGGAAATATCAATAAAATATCAGTACACCAGAGTAAACAATTACATAGATGAGAATAAGAACTTATAAGTAAATAATAATATACCAGTTACAACTTCATCAAGGTAAAGTTCGATGACGCGAGATTTAGTGTCATTAAATATGTCGCAGTTACTAATACTGTTGAATAGTGTCCACATCCTATGAACGGGAGACTTTGACAAAACGTTGGTGTGACAGAAATCACAGTAAACTGTAGCACGAGCGAGGAACATTAAGACCTGTGTTACTCAAAATATATGGATAATAAATCTGATGTCAAAAAGTTTGAACAATATTCCCGAAGCCTCTTTGTGGATAGAAACCATTGCGTATGAAAAAAAAACTGCTAATAGAGTTTTGATAAATAGGTGGCCAGATCAGCATATTCAAGCGTGCTTCTGGCGTATGAAGCTTGATTTCGACGTTTGAGAAACTTGACTGAGTTTCTAACACAGTAGGTACCTCAGCATTCGGGAAGCAGACAATATAAGTTATTTATGTGATCTCTAAAAGTGAACTTGGTATCAAATGTAATACCTAGTTTATAACTGTTACTCCTTTCTAACTTTGCCTGATTAATAATGCAGTCATCATGATGCATAACATTTTTTCCTACAATATGTTACTACTTTATATTTTGACACATTTAGTGTGAGGAGGTTCTTGAAACACCATGAAGTTATAATTTCCAAATTATTTTGAAGAGAATGGCAGTCTTCGGAAGTTACGAGACTTACAAATTTTTAAATGATCAGCGAAAAATAAATGATGACATTTAATCTCAAGCGACAAATCAATGATAAAGATAAAAAATAATAAAGGTCCACAGTTAGACCCGTGCGGAGCTCCTGAAGTAGCTATGTAGTTGTTAGACTTGAGACCAACACATTCCACAGAGAGTATTCTGTCCGAAAGATATGATTGGATGAGCGAGAGTAGATTTTCTGAAAATGCAAGGTTCGATAATATACAGGGTGGCCAATATATAACTGACTGATTTAAATTGAGCGCCATTTTTGATATACGTATTTCAGCAGTTGGCACCATAATACTTGTTTAAAGCACATGTGTCCAATTCATCATGGAGCGCTACACGATCCCACCGTCATGCAATATTGCAGCTTAATGCCCAAAACAACGAGTTTTACGGACAACTGATAATGAGCGATGAAGCCACTTCGATATGAACAGATTTGTTAAGAAGCAGGATTGTCGTATCTGGGCATTAGAGAATCCTCGTTTGGTGCGGTGTTTGGTATGGAGGTGTCATTTGACCTTACTTCTCTGAAGGTTCCTATCGCAACTGGCGAGCGCTAGCGTGATATGGTGCAAAACTTTCTGGCTCCTCAAATCCAGAAATTTAACATGCAAAACATATGGTTCCAGTAGGACGGAGCAACTTGTCACGCAGCTAGGGAAATAATTACTCTTTTGCGAACAATATTTCCGGGACGTTTAATTTCTCGATTTGGTGATGTCAACTGGCCACCAAGGTCACCGGATTTAACGGCTGCTGACTTTTTTTATGGGGTTTCTGAAAAATAGGATTTATGCCAACAAACCAAATACTGTAGAGCAGCTGAAGAACAATATTACGGAAGCGATTGAAAATATTCCTCACGAAACTTACCAAAAAGTGATCGAAAATGCAATCAAGAGGGCTCAGGTTTGCGCGGCTTCTAGAGGCGGACATTTGTCAAATTATTTTTCATTACATAATTTCTAAGTTTCAATAAAATATTGAGATGAAAAAAATGGACGTATTTTATTTCATTTCAAAAATATTCAAGATACAAACCAGTCAGTTACATATCGGCCACCCTGTATATCAAGTAATAAGCAATGATCGATTCGATCAAAGACTTTCTGTATATCCGTATAGATTACATCAATTTGGCATTGCTGATCCAGAGTCTTAACCACAGCCAAATTAGAAGTCATAGATCGGCTATAAACTATAAAACCCATGTTGAAAGTCAGACATGGGGCTTGAAAAAAATAATAAATATGCTCATAATTTGCCAAAATTACACAAAACCACAATCTGACGTTAGTACTTAATATCAGATGTGTCTTAAAAAAGGGCATACTTTAGACATTTTCCATATTTGCTGAAACGAACAGATGCGTACCATCAGATGGAAAATAATAGAAATTGGTTTAGCAAGAGTGTGAATGCAATCTTTGACTATGAAACTAAGAATATTGTCTGCTCCGGATGATGTAAAAGTAACATTTTTTGCCTCATGCATAAAACAAGAAGTCAAGTGTACTACGCATTTTCTTCACCAAACCAGAGATACTGAGCTTCCACATTTTATTGATGTTCAACTGTATTTTACAGATATGAAACCGCTCCTAGTAGTCTGGAATTTGTAAAGAATCCTGAAAAACGTCCTCCACTACCAGTTCCAGCAAGGAAAGCAAAGTTTGAGAGTGATTTTATTCCTGAAAGACCCAAAAAGCAATTCAATGTTTCATCGAGTGAGGAGGATTATCTAACTCCTATATCATTTCCTGATAAAACCGCTCGGATAAGTCCACCTCCTTCACAGAAAGATGCCAAAAAAGCTGATGGGGAAAATAAGGAAGAGGATAGTCTCAAAGGTAGTTATGTTTTTAGTTTTAGAGCCTTTAGTTTAACAAGCCGCTGATAACGGATATTTTCACTTTTTATATGAACGAGACAGGACAAATTTTGCCATCCAAGGTCGTAACCTAAAGCTTAGCGCTAAAATTATAGCTTAATGAATTCTCACATGACTAAGCGTTGACACGCTCTCTTCTTAGTAAGTACTGACCGCTACCGATATGTATATCATATATCAACATATAGGCAATATCGGTCTAATTAGCCTATATATATATATATATACAGGGTGACTTCGAAGTTGAGTAATTTATTTTAACAGTGAGTAGATCTGATCAAAAGAAATGTTTTTTTCCTTTACCATTTTTCTGGTAAAATTAAAGTAACAAAGTTATAGCCCTTTGGAAGTTTGAGTACCGCCCTGACTCAATGATAATATTATGTGCTCGTGTTTGGCAACAACGGATATAATCCGTCATCGGTTCATCGCATCGGAAACAAAAAAGCGAAAGAATTTGGAACGATGTTTTTACAATTATTTTATTCAGTTGTGTTGTATACAGTCAGTGTCAGTCGGTAACGCTTGAGTGAATAGTAGTGTCTGTTGCGTGGCTCAAACGAAATAAAAAATGGCACATGTTTATGCGGATCGGTTTCCCAATCGAGTGCAACCAACCCCTCGTGCCTTTGTTAATGTAGTACAACGGGCTCGTGAATCAGGTGACTTAAGACGGCATGCCGGTGCTCCAAGACCTCGCGATCAAATACAGGTCCGCACTGAAATACTTGTCGGGAGAATACTTTATAAAACAAGGTAAATTTTTTTTTAATTTTTTTTTTATTTTTACACACATATTTTGGTTTATCTTCCTTCTACAGGGTGGGGCAAAAGTCACGAAGGGATTTGAAAAATTAATAACTTTTTTAAATTTATTTTGTTTTCATTTTTTTTTTCAGGACCGTGTAAAATAAATCCTGGAGATTAATTATGGAGCGTTACAACCTCAATCAACGAACCAAACTTATAGAATTTTATTTTGAATATCATCATTCAATAATTCAAACTCAACGAGCATATCGTCGTCATTTCAATTTGCGGAATTCGCCCTCTGAATCAATGATTCGACGCTTAGTGGCACGATTTCAGCAGCAAGGCACAGTTATGGATCTCCCACGAAGCGGAAGGCCACGTTCCGCAAGAAATGAAGGGAACATTCAACGCGTTCAGGAGAGTGTTCAGGAGAATCCGGAAACCTCAACCCGAAGACGTTCTGCTGAGCTGCAGATGTCTCAAAGGTCTTTACGCAGAATATTAAGAGGAAATTTACATCTGTTTCCATATAAAGTGCAGCTAGTGCAAGAACTAAAACCAGCAGATTTTCAAGAACGACTAACTTATGCAGTTCGCTTGCAAAGAATGGCTCGAGAAGATAATGAATTTATTCATTCTCTGATCATGAGCGATGAAGCCCATTTTCATTTGAATGGCTTCGTAAATAAGCAGAAATGCAGAATATGGGGTACCGAGAACCCAAGGGTGGTTCATCAAAGGCAATTACATCCGCTTAAATGTACAGTATGGTGCGCAGTTACGTCTCAACGAATTATTGGACCATTCTTCTTCGAAGACCACGATGGGAATGCTGTATCTGTAGATGGCGACCGATATCGTGATATGATTCAAAATTTCTAAAGACCAGCTCTTGCTGACAATCAAACGATGACTTTCCAACAAGATGGAGCCACTGCGCATACTGCTCGAGCCACTATGCACCTTCTAAGGCAGATTTTTGGCGAACGTTTAATTTCGAGAAATTCAGGATTCAATTGGCCCGCCCGCTCGCCGGACTTAACAGCCCCTGATTATTTCCTTTGGGGATATCTGAAAGGAAAAGTGTATATTAATAAACCCACAACCCTGCAGCAACTAAAAGATAATATTCGAGCAGAAGTAAGTGCTTTGGGGCCAGATATTCTGACTCGGGTAATGGAAAATGCTCTTGCAAGAGCTGCACTTTGCGAGGCTGAAAATGGCGGTCATTTGCGTGATGTAATCTTTCACACTTAAATTGTAAACAAACTCCAAACATTGCATTTTAGTTTTGTGTTAGGGAAAAAAATTAAAATTAAAATTTAAAAAAGTTATTAATTTTTCAAATCCCTTCGCGACTTTTGCCCCACCCTGTACAATCATTATCTGAAAATTAATGACTCAACTTCAAAGTCACCCTGTATATATACTCGTATATGCATTCCCATCAATTGTATCGATAGAACTTCGTTTTTGTTATTTTTACATAGGATACAAACGATTTTTTCACCCTTGATTGGACATTTTTTCGAAATTCTTCGCAATGTCCACCATTTTAATACAGCATTACTAATGTCTTCAAAACAATTCAAGTAAAATGCGACTCACACCCTTATTGAAAGTGAAGTTGCTTGCAACAATAGAAAGCTCAGCACTGTGAACACTGCGTTTGATTTTAATTGTAAGGATCTCCTAGTTTTACATTTTAACTGGTAATTTCGAATTGAAGGAATTTCCTTTAGATTTAAAGTGTTTCAATAGCTGCCAAATAGGCTCTGACGTTCGGTAGACATTATTAAATTTCATTAAATCGCTTACGTAAATGCTGTTTTGCCGATCTCTGATGAACGGTTTGACATAGGTCAATAACACCGATATATCGGGCTTTGAGATATCGGAATCGGCAAAAATCCTGTATTGGTAGATCTCTAATTCTGAAGGTGATCCTACTTTCTTCAGATTCGGGCTCCTATCTAATTTACGCTGTTATTCATGAGTTCTCTGTTGAATTACATTAGGTTTTCGTGAGGGGGAATGCATCGAAATGAATAAAATATTTATATCCTTGAGTTTCTTAGGCTGGCGTTTAATGTGTTACGAGTCAAAAAACTGATTTCATTTATAATAATTTCGAGCTTTCTCCTCCGCGGTTTTACCTGCAGGACTTGTAGGTGGTGTCACTAATAAAGTAAAAAAATCTCCAAGCCATTCAAGTCGACTATCAATCAACTAATGCCAATAAAGATACAAAACGTGATCAGAAGAATTTAGGACAACTTTTTGTGTGTGTTTGGGTAACAGCTAGTGCAAAATAAAACGTCTGTATCTCTTGACGGTCACAGATTGAGTGGGCGATGTCTGGGCGCTGTTGCTGGCTTGATCTGATGATGGAGATTTTGGTACTTACTATAGCATTAGAGTTTGATTGATAATAGATAAAAAAAAGATTGTTTGACAAATAACACAATAACTATACTACTACAATTATTTTCGACTGCAAACTGTATTATTTAAAATATGCCTTATGTATTCATGTAATAGAGACTATAATCTATCTGTGTACCAAATTTCATCCAGATCCGTTCAGCCCTTTTGGGGTGAATGAGTAACAAACATCCACACTATCTCATTGATGATAAAGGGTTTTCCATTAAGAACTTGACAACTTTATTTTTAAGTAAAACGCAAACCATTGGAGGGTACCTCGAAAATTTTATTGTTGGATTGAAGTATACCCAAATGTATGGAATTCCACCATGGGCACGTTGGCAGCGATCGATTCGTTGAACCCAATTTTCATTGACTCGGCCAAATATTTCTACAGAAACGGCCGCTACCTCTCGTTCAGTATTAGCTCTGAGCTCGTCTAACGACGCCGGCTTGTTGGCGTAGACCAATGATTTAATGTAACCCCACAAAACAAGTCTTGAGGTGTTGAATCACACGATCTAGGCGTCCATTCGACAGGACGATTTCTCGATATAACACGTTCACCGAATTTTGATTTCAAAGTGTCGAATGTTTCACCCGCTGTGTGGCTTGTGGCATCGTCTTGTTGCAACCACATATCGTTAATGTCTAGCCCATCCAAAAAATAACGTTGCAACATGTCTCTGTAGCTATCTCCGTTGACTGTAACGTGTCGATCATTTTCATCAATGAAAAAAATCGGCCTAATGACACCACCGGCATGAAAACCACACCATACAGTTATTTTTTGTGGATGAAATGGTGTTTTTTGTAGCGCATGAGGGTTTTCACTTGACCAATAACTCATATTCTGTTTGTTGACGAAGCCGTTTAGCCTCATGACTGAAGGTGATTTTGCGACGAAATTGGTCATTTTCTTGCAACATTTCTAGAGCCCAATTCGAGAACGTACGTCAGTTCATATGATCGAACGACTTGAGTTCTTGAGTTAACTTGATCTTAAAGGGTGCAGGCCAAGATCTCTTCGCAAAAGTCGCCATAGCGTAGTCTGAGCGATGCCCAATTCTTGAGAACGCCGTGGAATCGACGTGTTCTGTTCGTTTGCGATGGAAGCTCGAACGGTAGCAATATTCTCTGCACTTTTTTTACTAGACTAAGAATTGCTTGTCTACTGGGACAAGAATTACAACCAAAAATTGGCGTTAACGCTCTTAAAGTTGCAGTCATCGACTCGGAATTTCGGTAGTAAGTTTTAATTATTTGTAAGCGTTGTTCGTTCGTGTACATCACCATGATGAACATATGTTTTCTTTACTGAATGTTTTGACATTAACAGTTCGGTAATTGATTTGAAGATGCGTTCACACTGTAAGTTAAATGTTTTCAAGTAACTATTGGAAAACGCGATATTAGTAGGGATTGTTCAGTACATTGTTTAATAATTTCAGGCCTCGACATAACTCTGTCACAACTGACGCTTTCCGGATTGAACGAACTGGCTCAAAAGCTGAATATCCCAGCAGGACAACTAAGCAATATGACTCTGGTACAGCTCACCGCTCTCCTATCGGACTACATAAAAACGGGAAGTACCGGTACATCTGACATAAAGTCAAACGATACAACAACGAATGACGATAAGTTTCCTGCTTTCGAAGCAAATTTTGCAGCGAACTTCAGTAACGGTGGCGGATCTACGATAAATTCTTCGTTTGATAGGTATGCTGTGTTCAGGTAAGCGGTGGTGGGTAGATGTTTAAGATCATTTGGTTTTAATATTGATCATTATATTCTTCAAGATGCCCAACTCTAGGATTTAGGCTTTGGTCCTGTGTGGTGCCTCATGTATAAAAAGCTCACAATATGGTTTGTCAGCTGATAAGTGCGATCATTTCTTATTTTCTCACACCACGGATAACTCGATTTTATAATCGTGTAGTAATCATATCAATGTGTATCTAATTATTATTTCTTTATTTCTTACCAGGGAATTAATGCAGGAGGAAATAAAACAAACAAAGATAGACTCGGAACCCGAAGAAATATCGGAAAATAAGGAGAAAATAGAAACGGTGTCAGCCACTATCAGCTTAGAAATGAAGTCACTGCAACAACAAGAATCGATGACAGACAGATATGCAGCTTTGAGAGAAATAGTTGACATAGAACTGAAACAATCTGGTTTAGGAGAGAATAAACTAGATGATACAAATGTACCGGAACAAGATGTAGCTATACAAAACGTAGTAAACCAAGACACCAACAAGGAGAGTGAAATTAATATAATTAACACAAAAAAAACTATAGTATCTGATGAGAAAGCCAAAGCAATAATATCACCAGTAAAATCAAATATAATAGAGTATTCTGCTCCTTTAGATAGCAATGAAAAATCTGTAACTATAGAGAAATCACCTGTGAAATCGAGTATACTGAAAAGTCCCCTTCCAAGTGCAGTTTCTGAAATAGTACAGAATAGTGCCAGAATGACCTCAGGATCGCTGTCTGATGTGGTCAGCGGTAGTTCTCCGGAAGTTGACAATACTGCCAGTAATTCTGATGCTGGGAAAAAGGCTAGTGAAACCACTGGTAAGTTACCTGTCACTGTTACTAACCGTTTATGACAAGGAATGTGACCCTACTGGATATTTATAAACATGTATGGTAAAAAATTAAATATAGCAATAAATAATGAATTATGTTCTTAACGATAAAAAAGTTCACAGACTTCTGATTCCAATACTTCGTCTTTTAGCGACCGTTTTTTTTTTCATTTTTGATTGTTGTTTGACCAAAGTCATTAACTTCACATGCTCTACTGTAAGCAATATAATAACGTACTCTTTTGAACAGTTGTAGAAGCAACTTCTTGGAGATTATGAAACTTTTCAAAAATCCAAATGATTCTTAGTCCACGGAGTCCTTTATGCCCAACGAATCCAAATAGATTAGAAGGAGCCTAGCCTATATGTTGAAATTGCATAGTTTTAGTGCATACTTTTGACTCATTTGCCCACCAAAGTGACAGCGTTGTATCAACATAATAATAATACTTACCGGTGGAAACATCTACCATCAATAGGCTTGTGCTACTGTTCACAAAAGTTTGAACACAACACGACATTTATTTGTTGCTAGGCAACAGCGCAACTACCGGTTAAATAATACTTCAGTCAATTTATTTGTTTCGATATTACTACTGCTCTAAGTTTCTGACCTTGGCCGGTTGTGGATAAAATTTTGTAAGTTTCTCTTGCGTTTATTTCTCTTTCCGAATCACAGCAATTCTTAGTGTACAATGGTTGTATACGTATATAATAAATTACTAACTACTATAAATTCACTGTTTCACGTCGTTATTCTGGTTTATTTACTTTTTGGATATATCTGTGTTTCACTACCGTAGGTGAATCATGGGCAATATTCGACCAACCTGCGCTACCAACGACAATATTGCCAGACAAGGACAAACAATCCCTTACTTCTCAAACACATCAACTACAACAAACCACCCAGAGCGAGGAGGGAGCATCGCCATGGTCGAGCGATTCCAAGGAGTTCGGGGATGGATCTCCCACCGAATGGGGCGAGAAGGAAAGTGGGGGATCGGAGGGGAGATGGAGTGTAGAAGGAAGGAGGGGTAAGAGCAGAGGCAGGGGAGACCAGGAAGGGTGGTGGGATACGTCGGCGGAACCTGAAGGTAGGTACCTGCCATTTACAGTTCTCAAACGAACAAAATAAAAATGCATAACTTGTTTATTCAAAGAATCGATCTCATATGCTGAACTGTATAGCAAGTTCATCAAAATGGGAAAAACCTAAAGACCGAGCAAAAATTGAAACTGTACTCCATTGCATGATGGAGTCCAGTTCAGGTACAGGCCTACTATGGGAAAGGGATGCTAAACTCTATTGTACTGGAGACTTTAGACCAGGATATGTAGGATTTCAGGGAAAAATTGTATGGACCGATTTTAAAACGAAATTATATTTTTGCTGATAAACTCTTTTCAAAAGTCGAATAAAAAAATATTTGTTGCGTATATTCTAAAATGATAAATTTACTGCAGTGGCTAATTTGTTTTTACAAAAAATCGCCGATTTCAAAGTTAATGTACAACCAAAAAGTGCATAACAGGACATATAAAATAATATAGCTGGATGTCTTGGTAGTGTTTATAATTAAATGATATCAAAAATGCTCATACTCAAACCTAACTAAAAACCTGGGGTAAATCTAACGGAGAAGTGGGACAAACCTAACGAAAAAAAGTAGGACAAACCTAACGAAAAAAAGTGGGACAAGCCTAAAAAAAAAATTGAGACAGTACTAACGAAAAAGTGAGACAAACCTAACGAAAAAAAAGTAGGACAAACCTAACGCAAAAAGTGGGACAAACCTAACGAAAAAAGTCGGACAAGCCTAACGAAAAAAAGTGGGACAAACCTAGCTAAAAAAGTCGGACAAACCTAACGAAAAAAAGTAGGACAAACCTAACGAAAAAAAGTGGGATAAACCTAACGGAGAAGTGGAACAAACCTAAAAAAGCCAAGTAGGACAAACCTAACGAAAAAGTGGGACAAATCTAATGAAAATAAGTAGGACAAACCTAACGAAAAAAGTGAGGCAAACCTTACGAAACATATTGGGACAGACCTAACGAAAAACCTGGGATCAACCTAACGGAGAAGTGGGACAAATCTAACGAAAAAAGTAGGACAAACCTAACGAAAAAAGTGGGAAAACCTAACGAAAAAAATGGGACAAACTTAACGAAAAAAATTGGGAAAGACTTAACGAAAAACCTGGGATAAACCTAACGGAAAAGTGAAACAAACCTAACGAAAACAGTAGGACAAACATAACGGAAAGAATCGGGACAAATCTTACAAAAAAGGGGGACAAACCCAACGAAAAAAAGTAGGGCAATACTGACGAAAAAAATTGGGGCGAACCTATATGTAAATACATAATTGTCACTTTTCCCGGTTTTTAGTTTTTTTGATAAGCTCTCTAGCGATGCAAATGCTAATACATATTTCATATAGGGTCTCATAGAATTATTTTCTACACGTCTTCTGATGACCACTTATATCAATACTTGACAGTTTTTTCATTATACAACAAATGTATTTTCCATGGTTTAGAAAAAAAGTCGCACAGCAAAATTGTGTGTATAGCACAGGGTCGATTTTGACTAGATGATCTAATCTACTTCTCTTGCGTTAGATCGCTTTACATCATATGGATCCAGTGAGCGTTATCTTCCAGTAAATAAATTTGTTCGTATCATTATACATCTCTCATACAGTGAAGGTGCCTAAACCGGGGTCCAACGGCTGATTCAACAAATCGTGCGACACTGTTCGACAGCGGAAGATCAATGCACTCAGAGCCTTCTTACAAAACGCCACTGTAGAAAACAAATAATCCTACGTCGAGTCCAGAAACAAATATAATGACAGTCGATCTTTCTGGACGCTGGCCAAGCAGATGGAAAGGAACTTCTCACAGAGTAGCTTTCACCACTTACGTGCTAGGATTGAACGATTGTGACCGACTCGAAGGCTAAGGCGGAAGTGTGCTAAGATCTTTGCTGCCAACTCCACCATGCACGCCTCCCTAAGACCCGAGTGCCGTCGATTCAAAGAGTTCCCTACACTATGCGGGAAGTAACATTCGTAAGGCGGGTGCTCTTGTCGCTCAACATCAACAAAGCTTGTGATCCAGACTTGATTCCTGCGGTTGTATTGAAGTGGTGTCCAGTTCTTCCGCATCTCTTCCAGATATCTTACGAAACCAAAATTGGAAATTTGGTCACGTCCAACCCATACCAAAAAAGGAATCTAAGAATGACCCTTACAACTATAGGCCTATAGCTCTGATTTCTGTTGTAAGTAAGGTGAGGGAGAGGTGCATAAATCGCGAGCTTCTGGAGTACCTCAAACGTCACGGCTGGATTAGCGACAGACAGTATGGTTTCCGGCATCAGCAATCCACAGGGGACCTCCTAGCTTACGGCAGGCAGTTGTAGAGTAACATCTAGTCTTATGGTGAGGCTCATGTAGTTATTCTTGGTATCACGAAAGCATTCGATCAGCTGTGGCATGCTGCCCTCTCATGCAAACTTCCATCCTATGGCCGTCCAGAGAAGATTTGCAGATGGGTTGCTGACTTTCTTTCTGGCCGCAAGATATCCGTCGTCATTGTCGGCTCCTCTTTATCCCACAATGTCAAGGCCGGTGTTCCCCAGTGTTTGGTCTTGGCCCCAACACTGTTCCTCTTACATATCAACGACCTCCTTTCCTATACGATCAATCCAACACACAGGTTTGCTGATGACGGCACTCTACATGCAGGAATTAAGAGCGACAAGCCGATCTCTTGAGCTGGAGGTTATCACTTGTTGGGGACGTAACCGTGTCAATGGATGGCCGAGTTCTGCCAAAGAGCCGTTCATTTCGGCTGGTCGGAGTCCAGATCACCGAGGATTTAACCTGGCACGAACACATCTCGTCAATAGCGGAGCTGCTGAGAAACAGCATGTTTAGGTCTAAGAAGTACTTTTCTCCACATGACCTCCTCACTTTATACAAGGCCCAGATGAGGCCTAGCCTCGAGTGTTGCTCACATGCTTGGGATGCTGCCCGCCCCGACTACATTATCCATAATCGATGCTATTTGGATGAGGTATATCCGACTAATCGATGACTCTTCTCTAACAGACAGTCTCAGGATTCACACTGGCGGGCCGTCGGTGATGTCTAGCTCTCTTCTTCCGCTACACCTATGGGTTTTGCCCCTCAGACCTCTTATCCATGATGCCGCCGCGCGATATGCCTGCCAGACAAGCCCGCCTGACTTCCGCCTCCCATCCTAACCGTGTCGAACGTCGTACATCCAGAACTGGCTGATATGACCGCTCCTTTGTCCGTAAGGTATCAAGGTTATTGATCAATCTACAACAGGAGGCTTTTTCCAGTGCTGCAAACCTTATATATTTCAAAAATCGGATTAGGCCCTCATAGCAGCCGCGTAGCCCGGGCATGTAGGCATTCTGCCTGCGCGGCTGCTTCGGTGTAAACAAAATTGTGCGTACTGCACCTTTAACGGTGATTTAGGATTTTGAGAGATGAGCTTTTCAGGAAGGAAGAGCTCACTCCACAAACAGGTCTCAGTGTCGCAACATTTTTCTAGTCTAGTTACAAGATTTAACATCCCTATTTTATTTTAGTCCATCAGTATCCAACCCGTAGATCTACAACAGACAGCTACGACGACGACTATCCCCCACCCCGTACACCATACGACCAGCGGGCTCCTCGGAAACGCACTCGTCAACCGCCTCCCTGGCAAGAAGGGGCAGCAGGACAAGGAGGAGGCATGGGAGATACTAGGGGCGGTGGGGGACACTCCTCAAGCAGTAGAGATGTTAGCCCCTGGGAGGAGGAACCTGCAAGGAGGTATAGGCAACATAGTGCAGGGACCACTGGAGGTAGAGGAGTGTACCAGAGGAGTAGGGGAGGTAGAGGAAGTAGGGATAGCTGGGACGACGATGACGATTACGAGTAAGTGAACACAGACAATGTAAATTCCCATTCCAAGGTTCCTTAGAGGATACCTTTTTTACATAACTTCTCGGCTCGACAGCGTTCGTCAGAATACAACTGCCTCTGAAATAAAAAAAATTAATGCGCAGCTAGGAAGTGAAAAAAGAACAATTAAAGTACTCACTGTTAGTCAATGACGTATACGGTGTGATTCAAATTTGGCTGACATCATAATTTGTTCGACAGAGAAGCGCGCTAAGCATGCGATATGTATGTTAGAAAGAGATTGAAGTACCTCAAGTACCACCCTGTCACATGTTGCTTATAAATACTCTTCGAAGATGTCGCTGTTCGATTAAAAAACGTAGGTTTAATTCTACTGTACCCATCTCCACGGTCATGCAAACGGCTTTTTGAGAGTTATCTGTATCTATGCGGCGCGGGATGAAAACGATCATAGGTAATACTTGGAAGAAGTACGTACCATGTGAGCGAAAGTCTCAGTTTTAAAAACACCATGTGTAATATTATTTTGAGTATACATATAAAAGAACGACCACACATGTTTGGATGCCATTTGAAGATGAACGCCTAAATTGTATGTCTTTTGCATTCTTTTGTAAAAAGAAAAGGTTATTTTTTTGTAAAATTTCTTTTAAATTGTCTTTAAATAGATATGACGAGGAGCCTACAGCAGTTCGTTGCCACTGGTCAGACAGACACGGCCCTAGAAGTACAGATAGAGAAAGTAGACATAGTGGAGGTAGTAGAGATCACGATGATTGGAGCGATGATAGAAGGCATAGAAGGAGAAGAGGTGACACAAGAGAAAGATGGTGCTGTCCCGATTGGGAACAAGGTAATTATTTTCAGTTGACAGTTTCTGATATCAATTTCTCAGCATTACTTCCTATGAACTCAGCAGTTTTGGCTTACTCCTGACTTATAATATTTAACAAAAGATACCTTTTATATCAGCCACAAAGACAAGCTGATTTACAAAGACATGCGATGTCTTTTACGAAGTATGCTTTCTCATAGATGGCGCTCCGAGCTGTCTTACTTCGTATTTTACAAATATTGCATGATAATGGCTGACTGTCCCAAAACAATCATTTTTAGGCGTTAAAGCAACTATTTTCCAATTTAGATGAGTAAAGTGATAAATGTTTCAATTGTCCATATGCTCCTCTCTATTGATGAAATTACAAGATATACAAATCCATACAGGAAAGGGTTCCCTCATTATGCCTATCAGATTGTTCAACAAGTTGAGAATTGTTATCAGAACTGTTACCAATTTTAACATTTTCCAACGCCGCCTGAAAAATCGATTTATGGAAAACTATTTTAGCACCATTGAGGAATACTTACCATCAGACTTGTGAATTGAATACAGGGTCATTTACAAGCCGTGACCAAAAATGAAACATCATACACAGGACCGTATTTTAAGGGCGGTCTTCTTTGTAACATTTTTTTCCTCAAGGGCTTCATTAAAAAGATACGGGGTGTTGGAGTTGAAAAATATAAAACAATTTTTTTAATATACTTAAAACCGTCAACTGGTATGAACTAAAATTTGTTATGTGGTTTTACCTAAGTATTGTCCACATTTAGAAGACTTAACTTTAAATTAACGTGCGCCAGTGGCGGAGATACAGGGGATTAGTGGCATTTATTTTCCGAATAAAAATAGTACGCCACTGTGTTTTTTCCTAGAGTGCATTGTTTTCTTAAAAAAATGAAGTAGATAATCAAAGCTTTATTTCAATAAATGTTCAAAAAGACCACCATTCTGACAGATACAAGTGTGGCATCTATTTAATAAATTAAAACGTATTTCCGCAAAATTTGTTGTGGCTTTAATTTGATGAAACGCATTATCTATTCATTCTTGTAACCGATCAACAGTATCAATTTGTTCAGCATACACTATTTGTTTAAAAGCGCCCCACAAAAAAAATCCAGGCGGTTCAAATCAGGAGTCCTGGCAGGCCAATGTACGGGTCCGTTTCTGCCAATCCATCGTTGTCTAAAATGAATATTTAACCATGCGGTTATGTCACGACGAACATGAGGTGGAGCACCGTCTTGCTGATACCACAGTCGTACTGTCGTTGCTAACGAAACATCATCTAACACATTTTCTATCTAATTCTCTAGAAAAGCTATGTTCTTTATGAGAATTAAAGATTCTACTCCTCGTAAAAAGCGACACAAAACCAAATCAATAAAATCTGCATTTTGATTATGCATTTGCAATTTCGTCGCCGGGTTGCAGACATTGCACATTTTGCCGATGGTAAGGATATAAAATCTCCCGATTTAAAATTCTCAACGCTAGACTTTGGGAACATGGATCATTCAACGCCAAATTAATCACTTCCAGGTCCCCTCGAACAGTATGCCGGACACCATAACCTCTAACTCCGGGAAGTTTGTCAATTCTATATTGCCGGAGTCTTAGAAATGAACCGTGAAAACCTTTGGAGTAAGTTGGCGTCTGTTAGGAAATCTGCGTTGATACTCCTAAGCCGCTAATGCATTTCCATTACCAGAACCCGTACACAAAAATAAAATCGGCGTACTCATCATTGATAAATTCCATTTCACCACACTCAAAAATTGAAAAAAGAAACTTTTGACTTAATTAGTGTGGACTGAACCACTTTTTAAGTATTTTTCATTTTATGTTCCTTGACAATTTACCGATTTTCTTTTAAGTCAAATGACATCATTCCAGAAAAATCGAGATATGCAGGTAGGTGGGCTGAACAATCAAAATGGCATAGAGACGAACGTTATTACGGTCAAGAATCCCCTTGGGACGAGGATGAGTACTCCAACGATCCAGACGAATCACCTCACTATCTGTCTGCAAAGAAAAACTGGAAACAACGGCCGAGCAGTGCAACTGAAGTAGAGCGAAAGATAGCTGAAGGTGCAAAAGGAAGACATTATATGGGAACAGGTAAGTCAAAAATAGTTACTCTGTGCGCCGCCCCATGATGTTACTAATTCCTACTACCAAACGGACTTATCAAGGTGCATCCTTATTGAGGGAAGAGGAGGGAAACGAAACTCATCTGCTAGGTTCCGTTGCGCATAATCAAATGACATGCGCAAATGACAAATGACGGACTTCCATTGTATATAAGGTTTTTTGATTCACGACGTTTCGATTGATGTGGTCTTCAAACGAAATGTCGTGAATCAAAAAACCGTGTAGACAATGGAAATCTGAGAAACAGCATCCGCGGCTAAATCCCCAAGAAGGTGAGAAAAAATTCTAATAAAAAAACACCACTCTATATATTCTCAACTCTGCGAGTAAAGCTATTTCACAAAATCGGATAGTGGGTCGCGGAATTCTTACACAAAAGCACCGGAAATAGCACCAAGTCACCTTCAGCTCTCGTATTTATAGTCGACAGAAATTATAAAAAATGACCTCCAACGAGATGAAGAGTATAGTACGATTTTCAACCACAAAATTATTAGACCAGGAGAAGTGTTTTATTACTAAAAATAAAATTCGGTATTTTTAAGAATAGCTATAAAATTATTATTCGAAATAAGAAAAACGTTGTAATAATTTACTTTATCAAGGTTTAGTTAATTTTTAGTTGACCATAAAAAGAAACTATAACAATCTATGGCAAATACTATGATGAGATTGAGGATGTACTTCATTGCGCTTGTACTAGGATGATTCAAATTGGGTTTCCACCTTGAAAGTATTGAAAAAAAAGAAGAAATTGAAAATTATAAAAAAAGAATGTATTTGTCTTTTCCGGACAGTTCATTACAATTATGCTTGAAAGATGATATCAAGTGATATCAAATGACCGCCGCGGCTCATGTGGCATGACGTAATCCGTTTCGAGAAATTTTCGACTACTCCGTGGCAGAATCAGGTCCTATGTTGGTAATTTCGCGTCTGATCTCCTATTTCAGCTCCGCAATTGTGTTCGGGATAATCTTGTAGACTTTGCTTTTGAAATACCCCAAAGAAAATAATCTAAGGGAGTTAAATCACAGGATCGCGGCGGCCAATTGATATCGCCGTTACGTGAAATAACGCGATCTGGAAACTTGCCGCACAGTAATTGTATCGTTTCTCCTGATGTGTGACCTAGGCTTCAATTCCTGTGTTAGTTGGACTCTGTATGGGTGTAACTTCAAATCTTTTGTTAAAATCCGCTGTATTGTGGAATAAGTAAGGTCCAGTTGCTGCGATCGATGACAAATCGAGGTTCTTGGTTTTTCGGCCACACTTTCGACACAATAGCAATATTGTGTTCCGACCGACCTTTATGAGCACGCCTAGGGGTTTTGGTGTTAGCGACGGATCCAGTTTGCTCGAATTTTTGCACCAAATTCCAAACTGTCCTCTCACAAGGCCGATTTTGCTCGTCAAAAAATTCACGTAAAGCACGGAATGTATTCTTCCTTGATCGGCAGTTTTCACTATAGGCTTGGATAATTTTAACACGTTGTTCGATCGCATATTGCTTCATGACTGTTTTGTTTATATTTTGACGTTAGAAATGGCACGTTGTAGTTGACAAATTCGGTGGCGTTACAAAAAAAAATTATTTGTAATGTGGAAACTCAATTTGAATCACCCATTATTTGTTTTATGTGACCCAAACTGCGCACGGAAAAAAATTGAATGTTTTAGGTAGCAGTGACGGTGAACGAGATAGACGGTACAAACCCACTCGTCGATCTCGAAGTAGAGACAGCCAATACAGTGAGCCCTCACATAGGTATAAGCCTGAGATTGGATCATTATCCAGAAGCCTGCACAGGAAACCTCACGGACATCAGAAGACTACGCCAGACGACGAGTTCGTGAAGAAGACCGACCAGAAAGATACTAATAAGGTAAACAGTTTGTTATATTCATTTTCCATGATAATTTTCAGTGATGGAATTTTCATTCTAATACAGATCTTCTCATTCGCAGAAATCATTGATGTTGGCTAGGAAAAAGCCTAAAGATACCGCATCAAAACTGGACGAATCTCCTACGTGTGGCACTTTTCCTCGGAAATCTTCATCTAGGTCAAAATCTCTGTTTGAAAACGACTTCGTCTCCCCAGAACCCGCCCGTATGCAGCCCAAATTTAATTTTGACGACTTTGAGACTTCTGAGGCTGAGTCTCCGACGACTCTCACCAGGCCTTCGAAACCTACTTTGCGAACTCACTTTGAAAAAAGTGGAGGTGCTGAGAGGGAGTTTAAAGAGCATCGAGGTTAGTAAAGACATTATCATCAATAGGTTATACACCGCTTTCCAAATATCATCTCCGCTCCTTATTTTTTAAACGAGCTGACTAAGCAAGCTGAAATTCGGGGAGAGAAAAATTCTGGCACAAATACTGCACTTTAGCGTAAAAGTAACAGTTGAATTCCGAAAGTGGCAGTTGAAAATTCCAAGATGGTGATAGGGCGCCACCTCGAAAGAGGTTTTCAAATGAAATGGGGGATTAGCTGATATCCTACTTTAAAGCTCCTCACGAGTACTTTAAAATCTTAGAATATCAAATCACTTTCTTTCAGAATGGCGGGATGCCAAAGTTGATCGTTATTGTACATTAAATTCCTTATAACTCAACAACTAATCATCAAAATGGTATACTACTTTATAACTTGAAATGTGAGATTGTTTCGCCGATTTTTTATGAGATTATGAAGATTTTTTGACATAACGTTGGTCTTCCTATAAAATGTCAAGTTTTAACCAGCTGACATTCCCTTCATGCTCACTTGTAATGGGTGATTTTTTTGCTAGTATCTTTTTGGCAACACTGTTTTTGACAGATGACGCGTGAATCGTGTCTTGTGTCATTATCAAACTTGTTCAGTTTTGTCTATAATTTAACCATGAATCGACTTACGAACGAACAACGCTTGCAAATTATTGAATTTTACTATCAAAATTCATGCTCAGTTAAGAGAGTGCATCGAGCACTGCTTCCAATTTATGGGCAATTTGGTCGGCCTACTGAGGGAGCTATTCGGAAGCTTGTGACTAAATTTCGAACCCAGTTTACATTATTGGACATTAAACCACCAACACGCAGACGTAGAGTGAGGACTAAAGAAAATATTGCGGCTGTATCCGCCAGTGTTAGTGATGACCGTGAAATGTCGATTCACCGCCGTTCGCAGCAACTGTTACTCCACTACGTGGAAAATTTTGCGACAGGATTTGGATATAAAACCTTATAAGATACAGCTGGTGCAAGAATTCCAGCCACACGACCTCCCACAACGTTTCCCATTTGGTGAATGGGCGCTGGCAAAGTTGGAGGAAGATCCACATTTTTATCGAAAAATTGTGTTCAGCGACAAAGCTCATTTCTGGTTGAATGGGTACGTTAACAAGCAAAATTGCCGCATCTGGAGTGAAGACCAGCCAGAAGCATTGCAAGAGCTACCAATGCATCCCGAAAAAATCACTGTTTGGTGTGGATTATGGGCCGGTGGCATCATCGGGCCGTACTTCTTCAAAGACGACAATGGCCGGAACGTAACTGTGAATGGCGAGCGCTACCGTGCGATGATAACAAACTTTTTTTTGCCCAAAATGGAAGAGCTGGACTTGGCTGATATGTGGTTTCAACAAGACGGTGCCCCATGCTACACCGCACACAAAACAATGGCCCTATTGAGAGGCGAGTTCGGTGAACAGTTTATCTCACGTTTGGGGCCCGTCAATTGGCCGCCTAGATCGTGTGATTTAACGCCGTTGGACTATTTCTTGTGGGGCCATGTTAAGGCTAATGTCTACAGGGATAAACCAGCATCGATTGACGCACTGGAAGCTAATATTGAAGCATTTATTCGTGAGATACCGGCCGATATGTTGGAGAGAGTGTGCCAAAATTGGACCTTGCGCATGGACCATCTAAAGCAGAGCCGCGGCCAACATTTACATGAAATAATCTTTAAACATTAAATTATATCGACCGTTCTATCGACTCAAATAAAGATTGAATCGTTTTTTCAAATTTTTTGTGTTTTTTTGAAAATCAAATCCTATTCCTCTTAAAAAATCACCCGTTAGTAGGCGCGGAATGAACGAACGGCACATTAACGGCTGCCTCGTGTACAAGTTGACATTGTACCGATTTTTTATATAGGTTTTTTACGTAATAACCATTTTTTGAACGGAATGTCTCAAGTTTTATTGCACATTCATAATATAGTCCCTCCCAAAAGAAAAAGATTGATATAACACCGTTTTTGTGAATAGTTGTTGCGTTATAATCGATACAATGTAAAAAACTCAGCTTAGGCACTCCGCCAGTCATTTCTAAAGATTATTCTCTATGTTTATAAAGTACCCATAAAAGGAGCTTCAAAATGAGGTATCAGAAGACCCCCATTCCACTTGATAAATTTTTTCAAGATAGCCATCTTCAGATTTACATTTATCGCTTTTACGCTAAAATATAGTATTCATGTATCTCGAATTCCAGCTCGCTAACTTGATCCATCCAAAATTAAAGGGGTGCCTTTTTGAAAAGTAGTGTATGTAGTCAGGCTTTCTACTATTTTTTAGGAGGAATTTTGACGAAGGAAGAGAAACTATCGCCACGATATCGAGAGGTTAAAAATGAATCGTTTTTTGAAGATGATTTTTCGCCGAACGAGAAATCTGAACCGGTACCTGAAGACAGCATATCCAGTATTAAAGAAGAAGTTGATAGGTAAATAACTAACATTTGGCGAGAATAAGATAAGCAATTGTTAATCGCTTCATGGGCAAATAAAATAGCATGTCCTACTGTCAGCACAAATGAACTTTAAAGAAAATGACAACAAAAATTGAAATAGACTTATTCATTGTAAAATGGTAAAAATGAGAAATCTTATCATAGGGAAGAAGAAGATGAATTTAGTGACAGGAATCACGAAAACGCTTCTAACGGCAGGAAGAAATTCATGTCAAAAAATCGCCTTTCTAGCGCCAGTTCGAGAGCGGATGTCAACCTCAAAAAGTCTGAATCTGTAAATATTTTTGCCAGGTAAGTCTACTTTTGCGATCTGACGTTTCTATTGATTTTGCTTTTCAGAAAAATTTATTTGATAAGTCATTCTGGGTAAAATATTAAAATTAAAATTCAAGATACTGAAAATAGTAAATTATATACGTAAGCGATGATTTAGCGACTCAGATGATGTAAAGTAATTCAGCATCCCTATTTGAGAAAGTCTCGGTAATTTGCTTCGACCTGGGAGAGAGGAATCTCCATTTTTCAATAATCTCTAATAGAGTTTAGCTTTGAGTATGACGGCTAATAAAATTTTTAATGACTTCCATATTTTATTTCGATTAAATATTGTCTAATTATAAACTTAAATTTTCACTCCATATAGCTCAAAAGTGAGTGAAGCTTCACTGGTGTACGGTTTTATTTATGAGAAACATTTTGATTAAAAAAAAAATACAAACTTAATGAACAGAAAATATTTATTACTATCAACATATTCGTAAATTCGGCGAGTTTTATTTCTTGAATATCATTCCGTCCCTTCGGACACACTCTTCTAATCGCACGCGCAAATTCTGAAACACTCTCTTGCAGAGTTCCGGAGTGATGTTTATTTCTCGTCGAATGTTGTCTTTAAACTCCTCCAGTGTTCGTGGATTATTGGAATACACTTTTGTTGAAACCATGTCTTTCTGTTGAATCGACGTTCTGGTCTTGCAATAGGTGCAAAAAAGTGTCAATCATGTCCTTGTATCGCTCGGAATTCAAAGAAATACGGCCCAATAATACCGCTAGAGGATATGGCGCACCAAACAGTCACCTGTGGACTATGTAACTGGTGTTGATGTTTTTCTTTTGGGTTCGTTGGTGCCCAATATCTGCAAGTTTGCTTGTTCACATAGCTGCCTAAATGAAAATTGGTCTCGTCACTGAAAACAACGTTCTCGAGTCTACGCTACGTAGGGAATATATTTAACAACCATTCAGCACAAGATTTCCGTAATAAATAATCACTTTCTTTCAAAGCATGGACTGATTGGATTTTATAAGGATGAAAACATTTTTTTTTTTGTTAATTGTGCCATGCAGTGTTGACCTAGAGATTCCCAAAAGAGCGGAATGCTTCCGTAGAGCTTGTTTCACGGAATGTCTTAATCCACTTTTTCAATAGGTACTTGGGGCATCTCTTGGTCGGCGAATGTTGTAGTGTGTACAAAATTTCCGAAGGACGGCTGCGTATGCATCACCACTCTTAAAGTAAGCCTCGATAGCAAAAGCACGTTGCGCTCCGGTCCAACGTTCTTTTGTGACTATTTAACCCGCACGCCGAACGCTTCGATCAAGACCTCTCCCCGCTTCATCGCATATACGGTTTCCGCGTAATTCAAATTTGAAATGTGAACTTTCCCACTGGACTACAGCAAAATTGGTATATTCATCGTTAACTTGGAACCCAATTTCTCAAATTTTCTCAAGGTTTACAGTGCATATCCTGAGCAGGGTCTATCTGAAAGTTTGCTACAGTCTCTGTTTTTAGGGCTTAGAAGTAAATGTGCTTCAATTATTTTCTAGCATAAACTGCTGCACAATACAGTTGATGCTAATGAGATTGAGCTCATTTTAATGTCTCATCTATTCGAACTAAATCTTTTATTGTGACAGGGCTCGCAGAAATTTATTTTTGAAAGCCCCCTATATATGTAATGTGTGACATTATTAATGCCATATCTAATTATTGTGATATACGTGCTGAAAGATTGAACAGCATTCTGGGAGTAGATGAGAATTACTTAGACAATTTATATGTTTCTCACTTGAGTGAAGTATCTTTTTTACGTTATTTCTTGTTTTTTTCCTTTAGATAGAATGACCTGCTTTTTGTATGTTGTCTATTTCTGTTAGTTTGTTTAACCTTATCCTTGGATTGTCCTGTAAATGGTTTCCTTAACTGATAGACAATAAACGCTATTTATTTATTTTTTATCTATAAAATATCTGTAATAGTGATTTATCCTTTTTTTTAAGGGAGGATGATCCCTTCGACGATGACTTTTTCTGCGAAGAATCGAACGAGTTTCAAGAAGAAAAGCCTTCATCTAGAAGCACAGAGCTTAGGTGGACTGAAAATTTTGATAATTAAAGTATCCCCTTAGGTAATTATAATTCGATGCGGTCTAAGTGGAGCAAGCGAGCGTTCGTCTTTTTCATATTCTCGTCATCGTGTATATTCGAATGTTTATACGAACCAATTTTAACTTAATCCAAGTGGTAGCTAGTTCCCGTAACACTCGCTTACTCCATGAGTGCTGCGAGCAGTGTCCATTTAGAAGCGAAGTTGAAGATGCAGTGTTTGAAGAAATGTAATAATAACCTCCGGTTCATTGAGCAACATTTTTAAGCCGAAAGTTGAATCTCCATGTTTGTAAAGTCTGGTTTTATTGATGCAAGTTATTCAACGGGGTATTTAAAACATGGACGAATAAAATGGGTATACCAATTTTTGTGCGAAAACTTTTTATTTGACAACAAAGAATGAGAAAACGTGTTTTTTGGGATTCAATCGAATGTGTTGGCAGGAACGAAAAAACTCTTCAAACAAGATTTTTAAGTATTTATGAGACCTACAAAATGAGACCACACGTAAAAAGATCCAACTAATAGCAAAAACCTAATGGACAAAACACGAGGCAAAATGCAGATTTTGGCACTTGTTGGTAATGCAACGATAATTTCACGCAACTTCTTGAAATTCTTCAAATCCGTAGGATTTGTACTTCATATCGGCAAGGTAAACTTGTGCATTTTGCTATTAAATGCCCTTTGAACGAACCCTGTATATTACTCAATAAACTAGTAATGATGGCCGAAAAACTAGTGTTTTGAACAATTAAAGATTTTCAAAAACTACTAGACCAATCTATTCCAATTTTGTTGTGGTTATTTAGAAATATGAATCCTACGAGTTTGTAGAATTTCAAGTATATGTGTGAAACTATCGTCGCATTACCAACAAGTGCCAACACCTGCATTTTGCCTCGTTTTCAGCCATATTTTTGCTATTAGTCGGATCTTTTTACGTGTGATTTCATTCTGTAGGTCTCATAAATACCTAAAAATCTTATTTGAAGAGTTGTTTCGTTTCTGCCAACACTTACGATTGAATCACAAAAAACAAGTTTTCTCATTCTTTGTTGTCTAATAGAAAGTTTTCCCACAAAAATTGGTGTACCCATTTTATGCGTCCATGATTTAAATACCCCCTTCAACAATTTGCATCAATAAAACCAGACTTTTCAAATATTTTTGGCTAATATGGTTAGACTATATAATCAGATTAAAATATCTTGTCTTCAAGGTGACCGAAACGTCAGTAAATCTTTGAATTACACAACTGTGGTTTTGATTTGACGTAAAACATGGAGATTCATCGGCGAGACAGACACAGGATATGTTTCAGAAGTAACGTTATGTTAAAAGTTGTTTTTCCAAAAAATATTATTAGGGCATGTGATTTTGATACTAACAGTATAAAATGCAATGAAAAGGGTGCCCTGAACGTTTAGGTGAACATTTCTCCAAGCTCTTCATTAAAGCCTCCTTTAAGGTGATTTGTGAGAATGTTCTTGTTAAATATCGACCAGTGTTGAGATAGAGAATGGTTTATGAGAATATGGTTGGCGTATTGATATATAATTTTTAGACTGAAGTATGGTCAGTGATTGTCAATTTTTTGTACATATTTATTTATTTAAATTATTGTCTATATGCTTTCGCCTTTGTTCAGTGAGAATGATTAAGATGTTATTGTTAAGAATCTCATTCATATTTACTAACAAATTACAATTTTAATTGTGATCATGTGAAAGCTGTTCAAAATTAAGGTATATAATATTTTACACCAACATTGATATTAGATTTCATAACAATGTATTGATCTCACTTTAAAATGATTCATCGAAATCTCTATTACCCCTGAAAATTATAAGTGTGTAGAATATTCTTGCTATACTTTGAAATTATGGAAATTGTAGGAATTTGAATAAATTTTTCATCAGGCATTTTGTACAATTTAAATGTATTTTTCAAAGAAAATATTTAGTTACTTCATAAAACATCCGAGAATTGTGGCAAAGATATAATTTTATTGTAATTTGTATATATGTCATAATGTCAATGTTGGCCTTCTGTTTTCATAGTTTTCAAAATATAGTCACTGAATATTGATGAGATGATTTCTGTTGTGCCTCTTTATTTTACTGAATAAATCTTTTTTGTTAATGTTGGTACATTATTCAACTACTGATTAAAAGGAAAAACGCCGAGACACGTCAAAATATTTGACAAGGGGGACAAATTTTTAACCAAAAACTACTTCACTTTCACCCTCGGCCTCCCAGGGTCATCAACTCAAAAATTTCAAGTCACACGGGTTTCGAGTAATAGCTTGTTGGAAAGGTCTATCGAAGTATTTTATTTTGACATTTTATTTTTTTAAATCAGTCGATTCGTTTGCGAGAAAATTAGAAAAATCTTTCTCTTAATTTGTTTAGATAGAAAACAAAAACACACAAAAATATCAATAAGTATTCAAAATGTTGCCCGTTAGGGTTTTTTTTTATACTCCAACTACCACGAAGGCCTAAGGCCTAAGCAACCATTGGGTACCGTGGGGCTATAGGGGGATACATGGGAAAGGGGGGGACGCCACACGGACTCTGGCGAGGGAACACGTGTACATGCAACATGCACACATTCTGGCTCCGCCTACGAGATCCGCCGGGTGGTACCTCCGCGTTCGACAGTCAGAGACCGTCTACCACCTACGGACAATCACAACATCCATAGCCAAGAGAAAAATTTCTCCTGAGACAGGACTCGAACCCGCACAGCGCACGGCGACTGATCAGGAGACCGAAGAGTCTACTACTGCGGCCACCGCTGCTGCCTTGGTTTTACAAGTCTAATTCATTTATAATTTAAAACGGAAACTACCAACATAAACAGCAATTCGGAAGATTAGTCGTGGCAACAACCCGAATTTCCGCATTATTTTCATCAACACAGATTTTAGTTGTTTAGTTATTTGTTGCTAAGGGAAAGAAAGAATTTAATTTACTGTCAGTTACCTTCGTGACAATCTTGGGATAGTGGAAATTAATTTATTGATTCAGATTTTACTTCCAAAATGGTTTACACACTAGCCGAAAGAGTGGAAATATTTCTAATTTATGGTGCCCAAAATCAATGTCTGCCGTCACGTTTAACGACAGACATCCGGGAAAGATAACTTCGCATAGGTATGTTTTGAACCTTGTTACTAAATTTACTCAAACTAGATCTGTTGCAAATAAAAAACGTGATCATCGGAGAGTTTTGGATGAAGCCGCTCAAGTTGAAGTTTTGGGTCATTTTGGAATAAATCCTAATACTTCATTACGCAAAAATTGTTGCTGCGACTGGTATTTCATTAGGCTCTGTGCACACAGTTACTAAACTCCAGAAATTTCATCCTTCAAAACGAAAATATTGCAAGAGTTAACCGAAAATTATTAAAAGCAGAGATCGGCCATGAAGCTCTGGCGAGTAGGAGACTCTCTCAACAGATGGCGCTAACAGTACTATTTATCGTCACAATATGTTGGAAAATACCATCAATCCGCTTATCACTGTAACCATTGAAAACCATTGGAAACCCTATCCTTGATGATACTGAAATATATTTCCAGCAAGATGGCTAGACGACGAGTTTCCAGATAAACGGATAGCGCGAAGAGGGCCTGCTAGATCTCCTGATTTGACGCCATTAGACTTTTTTCTATAGGCCCATTTGAAATCTATTGTTTTTACTCCCAAACCTGAAAGTTTGGATGAACTTCGTTAACGCATCAACGAAAGCTGCCATGATATCCCACGTTTTTGAAAATGTCCGTCAGGAGTTTGAACATCATTGTTTGGCCAAAAACGGGCAACATTTAGAACACTTATTGGAATAAAAAGTGATATTTTCGTGCTTTTTTGTTTGATATCTGAACAAATTAAGATAAAGATTTATCTAATTTTCTTGAAAACGAATTGACCGTTTTTAAAAAAGCAAACGTCAAAACAAAGGGCTTCGAAAGACCTTCCAAACAAGCTATTACTCGACACCCCTTGTCATTGAAAATTTTCAAGGGGATGACCCTGGGGCCAGAGGGTGAAGTAGTTTTTGGTTTAAAAATTGTTCCGCTTTACAAATCTTTTGACGTGTCTCGGCGTTTTGTCTTTTAATCAGTGGTTTTCGATAAATCCTTGGTGGTAAGTTTTCAAATTAACACCCTGTATATCCACTAGCACTAGCTGAACTGAAATTCAGCAACACAGAAATCTGGGACATGGTGATTATTATTTCCAAAAATAAAGGCAATCGACTGTTTTAAAAATATATTTGTGAAATATTTAAGGCACGTTTTCATCATATAACAAAATATATAGTTATATCACAAAAAAAGTTACGCACAGCGATAAAAATTCGAATAGACTTTTCTATTATAAAAATATAGGAATCCAGCTACAGTCATGTACATCTACACATAAAGCTACCAAATAAATATAGTTTAATCAGCTGAAATTCACAATAAATCGTTGCAAACGTCTTACTACAGCGTTGTCTTATAATCTATGGCAAAATTATGATATGCAGTCAAGATGTATAAAGAGCTTTTCCAACAAATATTGGAAGAGCAATCAGACCAACATTATAAAGAACTACATTGGCCTCCTAAAAGTTCATAATGTATTGTGTGATTTCAATATTGATAATAATACAAAACTTTCAGGAGCTATAATTTAATTAATGAGATCAGGAGAGACCAAAAACCTTCATCGCATTAAATGATGTAGCTAAAGCCACATCTTCAGGATTTTTCTTCATAAAGGCAGCTATCATCTCCACAATGGCGGGTAAAGAGCATGGTTCGTTTCTTTGAAAGGTGCAGTAACGATGTAGGAAAGTCATAGATCTGCAAATTAAATGTGAAAAACTATGACAGAAACACCAATCAGACCACTATTTGAAGAAGCAATGATAATACATTTTTATTTTGAAGTGAATAAAAATATTGGCACCTACCTTTCTGTGAGACCATCTTTGACATGATTTGGCAACTTTGAGGCTCTTGTATTAGGATACATAAAAGGAGAATCAGTTTCAACCATCAGTCTTTCCAGTGGTATCGACCCATTCTCTAGTAATTTCCTTACACCTGTATCTGATTTATCTTTACAAAGGTATCCTGAAAAAAATACAAGACAACTTAGTTATTGAACCACAATTGCAAAACTTCGTCATACCAGTTAGTCCTATGTAAAACCCTTTGTTCAGATACTCCAGTGCTTGTTCGTAAGTACCAGTAAAGCAATGTACCAGCACGGGTGGCAATCTACCTTTATACTCCTCAAATATTTCGATCATGTCGGTAAAAGCATCTCGTTCGTGTACAAATAGGGGTTTGTTCAGCTCGATGGCAAGTTCAATCTGGAACGTATCAAAAGACACTTATGATGAGTAGAACATAATAAAATGTGAATAACTGAGAAACCAGGTCTGCAAATTAAGTGATGAGACTGGCAACGTAGCTTTACGATCTGGCAAGGTGTTGCCTTTCAGTGGAAAGCGTCGGGCTTGGAGGGGAGACAGGGGAACATGTGATGCGCCTTCAGTACAGGTTTGAACTCGCTCGAGTCGTTTAATTGTCCATAATATTTTTTTGTGAAACAGTTTTTTCTATTGATTTCTAAAAACGGACATCAATGTCGAGCAATGGTACGATATCAGAATTTGCTTCAGACTTGGGCGGAGTGCAATGGAAACTCTTGCTAAACTTCAGCAGGCCTACAGAGATAGAGTTTCGTCAAGAGCCCAGGTTTTTCGGTGATTTAAGGCATTTTCAGAAGGGATAGAGAGATGAACCATGAAGCAGAAGACCTCCATCTTCAAGAACCGATGAAAATATCGACAGAATCCGGGCTCTTCTGCGTTCAGATAGTCGGTTGACAGTCAGAATAATTGGGGAAGAGTTAAATTTGACTCACTCCTCGATTTATCAAATCATGAACAACTGGGTGTTGCATCATGATAATGTTCCTTGTCAAATTACCTGCATAGTACCAAATTTGGCACACTTGAAATCTATGTTATTTCCCAAGTCCCCCAATAGTTTAAGACCTTAACTTAAATTGTCCCGTATCTGGCACGCTCGCTTGTCTATCTGCAAGAAACATTGTCGCCGTCTAGCACGTATTTTATGAATTCCGTCAGATTTCGTTTAGCGGCCCGTATGCATGAGTTACTATGTTTGCTTATAAAGTTGTGGTGGCCATAAATCATTCAAAAATCAAATGTGACTTTTGAAAAATTATGTCCCTCAACTCATACACCTGTCAATTTATCGTCAATTGTTCTCTTGTGCCATAATCGTAACAACTCGATGTTAGGGTAACATAGGATACTTATAAGGTCAAAGAAATGTTACCGAAGAATTTCCATTTCCTCAACATGTGCTGTAATAGGTAGATATTGTGGAGAAGAGCTCTCATTAGCAAGAAATCTGATGGCTATTTGCCACTGGCTGAATTCAAACTTAGTTCAGCAGAAATTCTAACAAGATTCCAGGTAACTTGCGGAAGTACCAGCCCAAGAAATTCGTCGCGACAATGTGGGACATATTTCCTGAGTGTATGTAATGTAATGTTAGATTATGTTTAATCAGACTGAAATTGCTTTCGCCAATTTTCATTTGGAGTAACTATACTAAGTGACATATCAATCCGAATGGTTTTATTTTAATAAAATTTTGTATAAGTACTTAATGAAGCATAATAAGTAAATGATAAGAATTTCAAAATGATTGCACTGCTTTAAAGCCCTTTGACCTTTAATAATGTGTGGATGCACCCTGATGTGCTACGCATTCTCCAGCGCGCCTAGGCATGCTTTTGATCAGGTGGTCAATGTCCTCCTGTGGTATCTCATTCCAGGCAACCACCAACTCCTCTCGAAGTGCTTATAGAGTCTGAGGAGGACGTTGCAAATTGAGCAATCTCCTACCCATCATATCCCACACGTGCTCAATTGGGGATAAGTCGGGAGATCTTGGAGGCCATGGTAACAATGTGACATCATTATGTTGAAAGAAGTCTATTGTGACTCTTGCAACATGTAGTCGGGCATTATCTTGTTGGAAAGTTGGATCTGCCAGGGTGTCAAGATAGGGTAAAAGATGGGGTTCTAGAACTTCGTGGATATAACGCTGCGCGTTCATGTTACCTCTGATCAAGATTAAAGGTGACCTGGAACCATAAGCTATAGCACCCCAAACCATAACTCCAACAGTGTGATGAACATGTCTTTCAACAAAAAACTGTGGATTCCTCCTTTCACCACGTCGCCTTCTAACCCTGGCACGACCATCGTGCATGCCTAAACAAAATCGAGACTCGTCACTAAAGACAATACTGTTCCATTCCCGATCCCAGAGTGACCGTTGTCTGCACCACTAAAGGCGATTACGTCGGTGTTCTCGAGTTAAAGGGAGGACCCAGTGTGGCCGGTATGAAAACAAGCCAAAACTTCTCATTCGTCGGTAAACACTTCGCATGCCAATAGGTCTTCCGTGTTCTGCAAACCATTCATTTGCAATGGACCTGGTAGTGGAGAAACGGTCCCTTAAGGCCAATAATCTTAGGAGGCGATCTTCACGGTCTGTTGTTCTACGGCGGCGTCCAGTGCTCCTTGCTCTTTGCGTACGGCCTTCTCGAAGCCATGCCTGGCAACACCTAACCACAGTGTCTACACTTCTTTGCACTCTAACTGCAATTGCTCGAAAAGAAAGTCCAGCTTCCCGAAGTCCCACTAAGTTGACGAAATCGTACAGGTCTCCGTACTCTAGGCATCGTAACCGACCGTAAAGGATGTCAAGAACCAAAATCCGCCAACGTTGATTCTTTACTGCGGCTGAAATATTCATTTTTAGAGCGTTAGTGAATTAAAAAAAAGCAGTATAAAAACCGGAATGTCCAACTGATAAGGCTGAAAATTTTTTCACTTGTTATTTACAGTAAGATAAATACATTCACCAACTTTTATTAAAATAAATTTAAACTGGGTGTTCGGATTTATATGTCACTTAGTATAAATATATCTTCAAATATGCATTTAGTTTAGGTATGTTTACATGTATTTTGAACAATTTATAATACATAGGTGTATGGTTTGAGTAAATTTGTTTGTTTTCATTCAACTATTGCAATTTGTGGTAACGTCACATAGGTCAATTTAAGAAAAAAGGCATTGATAATTTTTTTATATACTTTTCTAGTTACTTTTGAAAAATGAACTATCACATATTTTTTTTAACAAAAACTTAAAAATCATGCAGTAAGAGCTTCATATATTTAAAAAATTGTGACAGGCAGTACAGCCCTAAGTTTGTCCCTTTCACAAAATCCATTCTGAGTTTAAATCTAGTCTGAACAATCTCATTATTGCCAATATTTAGGTATCTAGCATAAAAGTCCAAGAAATTACAAACAATTTTGCAAGTACACTTTATTTTATGATGTACATATATCTGCCTCCCAAATTTCCTGTTCTTAGATCAAATATTGTTTGAAATTTCATGATTATCAGTGAATTACTTTTACAGATTTGCATTAATTTTTTTTAACAAAAACTTAAAAATCATGCAGTAAGAGGTTCGTATATTTAAAAAATTGTGACAGGCATTACAGCCCTAAGTTTGTCCCTTTCACAAAATCCATTCTGAGTTTAAATCTAGTCTGAACAATCTCATTATTGCCAATATTTAGGTATCTAGCATAAAAGTCCAAGAAATTACAAACAATTTTGCAAGTACACTTTATTTTATGATGTACATATATCTGCCTCCCAAATTTCCTGTTCTTAGATCAAATATTGTTTGAAATTTCATGATTATCAGTGAATTACTTTTACAGATTTGCATTAATGTGATCTGCAAGTGGGTACCTATAATTTATAATAAATTGTGTCTTACATGTTTTCTGAACACCATTCTCTGGTCTTCAGGTTCAGAGAAGTTTCTGTTGAAATCTAGTCCACATTCACCAATAGCCACACATTCAGGATTGTCAGCTACCCTTCTAAGTTCTAGCCAAGTTTCATCTGTGTAGGATTTGGCATCATGTGGATGTATACCTAAAATATATTGTATATTGTATTTTATTTATATCCATACCAACAGGGTTACTGGTAAATAGTGGTAACCTCAAGTATTCCCAAGTATGACATGATAGAAAACTTAAAATGTAACAATTTAACTCCTATAGTTCCTGTTTGTGGATAAAAATTAAGTATGAAGTTTATTATTTTGAAGGAATTTGCTTTCATTTTATTATTCATTCTTAAATGAAGTCCAAGCTGACACAACTACAAAAAGTACACACAATTATAAAACAGTTTAACATAAAATAATGTCAAGGTCAATGAATTACTATCAAGCCAAAGTAAGACTAGCTACATTCTTATGTAGCCTTTCAGATGTCTCTAGTACTATGTTTGAAGGTATGGTATTTGTTGTTTCAAATAGATTGTGGCCTATTAAGAAGTGCCTTCAAAAAGCTTCCATTATATTAGTATATGGTTTGTCTGGAGTTTAAGCTCTAGGTAAATAGTGATTAGCTCTCCAAGTAACAAGTTCTAAGCAGAGCAAATATGACCGTGTTTAATGAGTTTTAATATAAATATATTATGTAATGAAACTATTTTCTCTTGATAAAAAGCATTGTATAGGAATAGTCATAAATTCTGAACTTGAAGATAAAAACACATATATCTAACAGAAAACAATCAAATAATGAAAATGACTTTCAAATGGCATATATCACAATATTCTTTCACACTATAGGAGCTAGTTATAATTAAAGTCTTTTGAAAGATCCTTAAACATCCTTATATTGTGCCAAATCTTTATTTCATAGGCAGTAGGTTAAATATTTTTGGGCCAATATGACTTAATGTTTTGAGTTCTACATGATGTTTTATCACTATAATATACCTTATGCGTTTAATTATTCTTTTTTGAGAATGAACATGTGTATGAATACTAATTCATTCATTTCATGGAAGAATATCTAAATTCAATCAAATAATGTGATGAAATAAGCCAGGTTATTACATAGTCACAGTACTGCTTCCAATCTATGCAGGAATTCAAATACATACCAGGAAATTTACACATTATTAATATTAGGTTCATCCAATTTGAAATTTAGGTCATTGCAATTTCTTTGCCTTGTGTGAGGTGCATTGCATAATGTTTTATTTGAATTAAAATATGAGTTATTATTCAAAAACCATTCGTGTAACCTAAATAGGGAGACATCTATATTGTGTTGTAACTGTTCATCAGAAGAACCCATAGCTTCTATTGAGGCATTATAGGTAGTTTTGCAGTGATATTGTTCATTCAATGCTTCAGATTATCAGATGAAAAAAGTAATAATAGAACTGTGCCCGAACCTACCAGCTGTTGAATACAATGTATTGGGATAAATCCTAGTGAGTCGCAGAGATTCTTTGCTGCCTTTGAGGGAGGTTCCTGTTACCATAATTTTTTGAACACCTAAAACAAATATTGAACAAATGCGAACTTTAGTACATCCTTTGATCGTACCTGAATCCTTGGCCCTTTGAATAACGCTTTCCAAGTCCCTACCAAACTTCTTGTTTGTCAAATTAGCACCAACGTCGATAAGTATATAATTTTCGTAACACTTCTCCATATTATTTTGATTTTCTTCGGGCGTAGTCATACTTTCCTGGGCAGCCATTATTATTTGGTCTAGATAACAAAGTTAAATTCTTCTTAAGTGAGTGATTTACAAAAATATAACATATTAAATAATAAATAAATTATTGTCAACATGAGTGGTAACAATGGTGACATGTATTGTTACCACGTTACCAGTGTTCTTGACAGGGTTGTCGTTGTCATCATAAAATATAGAGTGGCGCATCCATAGTATATGCTCCCTATTTCAAATTTCACAAGTTAAAGTAATGTAAAAAATCATGCTATGCTTGACAAGCATTAAAAGATATACGTAAGCTCGAACATTCAACGAAGAAACAGTTTTCAATTGCTAACCACCTCGTTTATTTTTCAGCTTCTTACCCGCCTTTTGGCTTTGGGTAAAATACATACGTGTGATCAGCACTCTATATTTCTCGAGTGACAGCTCTCAGACTTTTGATAACTTAGGTAACCTAAAAATAAAAAAGGGGAGTCTAGCAAAAATGTAAATAAAAATACGGAAGAATACGGGAATTATGAAGAAATACAATCAATTGCTGTTATTAATAGTTTCTATAATAAGTTTATCATTATTCTTAATCTACCGCCACGAATATAACAGATTACACTACGTACTGGAGGTCTTTAATTTCTTCGGTCAACCATGCAACTTTTCTGATCTGCAGAAAGCAGATACAATCCTGAATCAACACGATTGGGGAGCTACACCCGTCTGGCAGGAAAACGAAAATGGATACGTCTATTCTGCTTTTCTTACTGGAAAAATTGAGGTGAAAGCTATAGCCCTACAAACTGATGCCAAGTACCTACCAAGAAACTGCCTGCTGTGGTTTGAGGACAAGAAAAAGGCTGTACCAGGAAAGTTCAAGTTTTCCAAGATCGGAAATGATGATGCTACCGTTTTAACTGCATATTTTTATATGTGTTCTATACCAAATATTGAAAATGTACCATATGCTGTGTCATTCAGTCACAAGATTAAAAGGGATAATGAGCTTAAAAAGATTATGCTAACAAATACTTTAGATCACAAACTCAATGTTAATACGACTATATGTGTGTCACCTTCAATTTTCAGTAAAAAAAGATTTATAGAATTCATAAGCTTCCATAAACTGCTTGGTATAGATTCATTCATATTTTATGATAGAGACATCCCTCATAGATTGTCCAAATTGATTATGAATTTATCAAAAAGGCTAGGTATACAAGCCTCATTTTTGCCATGGAACTATCCTAAGCTTGAAAGTACCTTGACACGCACCATAGTTGAGAATGATTGCTTGCTGCGTACATTTGGACAATCTAAATATGTTATAACACTAGAGATCAATGAATACATTGTACCTACAGGTGCAGATAGTTTTGATTCACTTATAAGGGAATTCAACAGTGATTTCCATAGGTTAAGCCTCCCAGTACAAAAGTTCTGCATTAACAATGTCAATGTGGACAAACCAATTGCTTTGCAAAATTTTGAGATGGCTAATGATTTCAAATATAATGTAGTAAGGAATATTCACAGAAATATAAATAGTGATAATATCATATCTACTAATGCTATTAGTAAGGCACTAGCTTCAATCCATAAGTACGTCAAATGCAATTTAGAGCCATTAAATACTTCAACTGATAAGAGCATGCTGAAATTTTCAACTGATTTTGTTAGATCTACTCTAGTGCAGCTGTTGATTCATGAACAAATGTAGTAACCCTCTTGAATTGCTCAAAGCTTATGATTTAGTACATTAGATGTGTGTTGTCAACAAGAGAAGGAGAGAAGAGACATTTATTAACTAGAAATGACAATTCTATAATGAAGAAACTCGTAATTTTTCTGCTTTCTGCATCTACACTTTTATTATAGATATTTAGAATCACCTTTTGGATTGATATTCCTAAAAATAATTGCAAAAGTGTTATACTCAATAATCCTACATTTGCTGACAACATTCTTAGTACCAAAAATTTAAATGAAGCATAATGTGGGTTATAGCATTGGAGATTATGAATGCAATTTTTGGAAACTGTATATCAATCTTCTACCTTTGATTCACTAATATGTCTTTTGGAAAAAAATAATAGATATAATTCATTTCATGTCAACTTTAAATGTTACAACAACAGGTATTATATACCTAAAACTGAGTTTGAAACATTCCTTCAATATCTAGGTTCTGATTAATTTGTCAAGTTATTCTTTCCATTATATAATGCTTCTAGGTGTAGAAAATATTAATTAGTATAGCCTTTGACATCTTTTAGGCTTGTTTAGTATCTATCCTGATCACAATAATAGATATGTGCCTGTTTTAAAAGGGACAAAATTTGGTTGTTGTCTTATGAATACAATTGTCATTAAAAAGGTTTGGCAATTCAATTACTACAGTCTAAATAGAATATAGGAATCTCATTTTTTATCATGACTATCATATCACAACCATTCTCTTTTTCTATACAAAATTGTTCTAATGAAATTAGGATGTACTGACCAGTGTAGTAATTTCACAGTTGATTTGAATTGCTAATTATTAAATGTTCTCCAATTACAACAATAGCACCTCTGTAAAACTGTTATAACATTAGCCATATGATATAAATAATTTAAAAAATTTCTCAGTTAAATTTGTAGTCTTCATTTCATTGTTTAATGTGTATATTACATTTAAATAAGAATATTTATTGTGACTGATATATTTGAGTTTATATAATTATTATCCTCTTTGATTAAATTCTTAGATGCTATATTCATGTTTTTAATTCTACCAAAACAATATGTATCTAGCCTAATATTCCTCTTGGCATAGTACAGTGTCTCCTATGGAAAAATGTCAACAATTAGTTTGACTTCATGTATTTTGCATTCAGTAGAGTGCAAGTTTAATGAAAGATGAAATAAAGATTTATCTCATAGTTATATTCTGAAATTGTTGGAGAGATTTCACAAATGCCACGTTGCGGTATCTATTTTGAAGTAAACCAATTGAAAATTAATTTTCATTTTTAAGATAAACATTCACAAATACTAAAGCCACTTGTTAAAATAACGACAATTGCATGGTGCGAGAAAATGTGTTTACAGGCTTAGGCTACAAATCATACTTATCTTCGAACGTGTTTTCAATACACAAGAGTTGTAAAAACTGGTAATCGCCCTACGGCTAGTCCGTCTCTGGCGGGCTTTTTTTTTTTTTTTTTTTTTTTTTTTTTTTTTTTTTTTTTTTTTTTTTAACGAGGGGGGAATGCATTTACGCACCATACCATAGCACGAGCTACGACGTGTGTGGGGCTCCAGGGTCTTGAAGAGATCACCTAATACCCACTAAACCCTAAACCTCCGCGTGGCCCGACTCATCAGCGTCTCGGTAGGCCATGTGTTGTGCGTGACCTGCGGTCTGCTACAACGTCTCCTCATGTGTTTCAGTCTCTGGGAACGCCGGGTTGGTTCCCTTTACCTCGCACATTCTATCGATGTCGTTAAGCGATCATCGATAGAGGGTCTGCTAGTTTCTCTTGAAACTCTTGTTTTCGAAAAATCAAGAGTTTCAAGTCATCTTACCAATATGTTGTTCCTGGTCCTGGTCCTGAAGGGTCCTGGTCCTGGTGGGTCCTGGTCGTGGCGGGTCCTGGTCCTGGTTGGTCCTGGTCCCGGTGGGTCCTGGTCCCGGTGGTTCCTGGTCCTCTGCATCCACGCCGTGGGGGGGGGGGGGGGAGCAGCCGCAAATTCTCCTAGTCTCCTAGTCAAGGTTCCAGTTAGCGGGTGCCAACTGGGACCTTGGTCTGGGGTACCTGGTTCTGCGGTTGCGAGGCCTCTCGTCTGGCGTCTGGCGGGCTGAAGGCAGTCGTCCACTTATATCTACGAAGTGGGTAGAAAAATGGTTCATGCTAGTTGTAGGTTTGTACGTGTAAAAAGCGTTCTGTACCTTGTGACTCTTCCGTGTATTTTGTGGGGATTCTGTGCTTTCAAGTCAAGTTTGAGGTTAGGTTATTGTTGATTTTTGACGTATCAATTGCATCTTTTATTTTCAAGGAATTTTAACTCATTTTCAATCCTATAAATAATGGCCAGCTAGCATATTCTTTGTGGGTCTAATTCCGAATATATTCAGAGGAAAACACCAGTAAGTAATTAAAATCTGCGTGACATTTAAAGAAACCTGACTGGAAACATCAAGACCATATCAATTAAACATGTACAACAGGTCCAAAAGTTTAAATTACTATTTATGGAATAAGCTTTGTATGCGCTAAACCTTATAGTTGATGCAACAATCACAGTAGAAAAATCAAACCAGGACTCTTAATAGTAGTTTTCAATGAGATCTTGTGACTATATCTAGCTTCATAAAAACCACAGTGAGTGAGAATTTAGTAGCTACACATTCTATTACATGCCTTTTTTTTAACAGAAAACTGTGATTTCATAGCAAGTTCTATACAAGTTAATTGCAAATTCTTAAGACATGATAGGTACTCTCTCAATCTTGTAATATCAATCCTTGTAGTACTGATTGCTGACAATCAAAAACTTTTAAGCACTTCAGTATAGTTGTTTCATGCATCGGTTTTGAGTACCTACTCATTTATTTTTAATGAATCGAATAAAAAAACATATTCAGTACTTTATAATAAATAATATTAATTTATTTGATTTGAGATAATATCCATCATGGTTTATGTGAGTGGCTACAGAGTTAATATTTATCTACAGAACATATTTTTTAGTTAATGTAACAACTGATACTTATCATTTGTTTTCTCTGACCACACACTTTAAATTTTCTCTTGATTGTGAGAAATTTTGGTCCCAATGGTGACTTTTTTAAAGTACAATTGACACTTCTTTATACATATATTGCCAAAAAAAAGTGTCAGTTGTACTTGAATATGGCCCCTGTGGCTTGAATCAGCCAGAGAAACAAGGTAGACTATCAACACTCTTTTTGAACAAATTACTCCAATTATTTTTAAATTAAGACAGTATCTTTCATGGAGACCCTTGCACAAGATCTGCTATAAATACCAATAATGGCTAAAATGTTTCTTAAGATTTGTGCACCATAAAAGCTATCTAGAATTGTAAAATTAGTTTATGTTATGCAAGGGTTGGGAGTTTATATTATTCAGATTCTAGAAAGAAGGTTCGCCAAAACATCAATCTATAATCTTTTGTAGCATAAACCATCCATATAAGCTAAGAAATTACCATAAATTATATATTATGAGATTTTTATATTTGCTTATCTCCCAAAAAATTGTGAACACAATTGTAATACTCCAGATCATTATTCTAGATGCAACAAGGATGGCTGACTATGAGAAGCAATTTCAAGAGGACCTGGAGAGAGCCCAGGCTCTCAGTCTGGAATCATTGGCTTTGGAGCAATTCAAAACCAAAAGGATGCAAGAGTTAAACAGGTCTGCCACTACTGTATCTGTCACAGGAAAGACCAGAACAACTACAGGTAACTCATTGTGCAATTCCATATTTTAATAAAGGGCTAATGCTGCAGGCTGACTATTTACCATTTTGAGAAATCAATTTCAGGTTTTTTATTATAGTTTTTGAAATAATTCTCATGAATATAAAATTAATTGATACAGGTTAAGTATACAAGGGTGTATCAAAAAGTTCCCAGACTAGCTCTGTAACTTACCAATAGTTGGCAGCACGAGGCTGTGCCTGCCTATGAATCAGCTTATAAACTCACAAAGTTTTCCCTTTGCCTTAATTTTGCAAGAATGTTATTCAGCGTTTTTGTGCTCGCTTGATTTTCTCTGTTGGCGGTTTTATCATGAACAAAAGGCTTGAACTTGTTGAAATTGGCAGTATCGCTTAAATATTTAAAAACCACTCATCACTTCATAAAATTTCTGTAGCATACTTACCATTTCTGTATCTGATTTTCCAAGTTTTACGCAAAAATCTTCGCTCTTCGTTCAAACCTTTGTTTCATGATGAATTTGCTGACAGAGGAAATCAGGCAAGCAAAAAGACACTAAATAAAATTCTTGTGAAGCAAAAGTGATGAGGAACTTAGAGTCACTACTTTGTGAGGTTATCAGCAGATTTATATGACGAACTCGGACTAGGTATGAGGAGCAAGCATATGATTTGTTATAAACCAAAAGCCGCCAGTTTGACAGTTGTTGACATTTCACTTTAAATTCCTATTTTTCTAGAAAAACAATCAAAAGTGCGTCTATTCTATAGAATCCTAATGTTCCAGACAATTGCCCGAAATGGTGATGGTTCTTGTGGGATGCAAAAGCCAGTTTCAGCTGAATAAAAGCAGCCTTGTCAAAGGTCACGCAATTGTCGAGTAGGCTCATCCAGTTTTATGGTGAGGCTCATGTTGTTGCTCTCGATATCACAAAAGCTGTGTCATGTTGCCCTTTCATCCTATTGCCGCCTTCCAGAGAAACTTTACAGGTGGGTGGAGGAGCCATTGATTTTGGCTTGTTGGAGTCCAAATCACCAAGGACTTGATCTGGCACAAACACATCTCATCAATAGCAGCAACTGTTGAGAAAAAGCAAGGCTATTTGTTTAGTGCCGAGCAGTACTTTTCTCCACATGACCTCCTCACTTTGTACAAGGCTGGGATATGACCTAGCTACGAGTATTGCACAGATTTTTCAGGTGTTGTCGCCCCAACTACATTACCCATGCTCGATGCCGTTCAGAGGACGGCTGACCGACTGATCGATAACACTTCTCTAACAGACAGTCTCTGGACCCTTTCGCATTAGCGACCCATCGGCGATCTAGCTCTCTTTTACCGCTACGCCAATAAGGATTCCTCTTCAGAGCTCTCCTCAATGATGCCGCCGCGCGATGTGCCTGCCAGACAGTCCCGCCTGACTTCGACCGCCCAGAACTGGCCGATATAGCCGCTCCTTTATCACTAGGGTATCGAGATTGGAGAACAGTCAACATGAGGAGGCATTTCCCAGTTCTACTAACCTTAGCCGCGATGCCCGTGCATGTAGAATTCTGCCTGCGCAGCTGCTTTGGTGGAAAAACTGCTTGCTTCTTTTAGTGTTCAATCCTAATATAAGGCTGGTTAACAGAATTGTATTCGTAACAACAGGAAAAAGTCAAAATATTTTAGCAATGAATTTACTCAGATCACAACTATTTAGAAAAAGATAGAATTGAAGCAAGGTGTCCCACTATTTCCAATATCAGGTTTTCTGTCATTGCTGCTGTTTGATGAAGACATTTTTTTGTATTTCTGAATTTTGATAATCACAAATTAAGTATAATTGTTCATATGCTGTCCTGTTAATAAATCGTTTCTTTGGCTTGTTCCTCTCCAGAGAACTAAATGTACTTTTGTGCATTGGTGTGCCACTTCGGTAGACAATGGTACGCAAATTAGTATATATTATTTACTAAAACTACACAATTTTGGCGACAAACAATTGAATGTAAACATATAGGCTTTTGGCTCTTAATCTCAAGCTGCCATCTGTTGGTAAGTTACAGAGCTAGTCCATACACTTTTTGATACACCTACGTATGTATGCACATATAAACACCTTCATAAAAAGTAATTTTTTGATACCAGAAAAAATATTGATTACACATTTTAAAATAGGCTAAGGCTTTTAGGGCCTCCTAAGTGTTTACCCTAGTTAGCTTGCAGATATTAAATAAAAATCATTTCAATTTTCAACTGCCAGTGATGAAAACTTATCACTGATGTACTTCTTACAGAACACCGCACTACATGTATAAAGAGCTGTCATGATATCTTTTTTGTTATATTTTCTGTCATATATTTCAGTTTACTTAACATTAGCATGGATGGGCACATTCTTTTTTCATCAATATTTGTGTGGTGGACTGTATCAACAGATGGAATATTGCTGTATAAGCTGGACTGTAAGCTCATTATTTGTTGTATCTGCTATGGAATTTGTCAACCATGTTGCCCCTACACTACTACCATTTTGAATTGGTTGCAATTAGATTTCAAACTGGTTGATCTTAGCTATCAAGCGAACACGTACATGTCGGATACTATGTTTACCTGTTTTCAAATATCCAGACAAATATTTTTTTGTAGTGGCTCGCGCATCGTCAATGACAGAGACTGATTCCTTTGTGAAGTATGACAGGCAAACAAGCAAGTCTCGTCCGAGACCAGGTGGTGCACAGAATTCAGGGAATGCTTCTAATCCGTTGATCGCACCTCCTCCATCATCACAAAGAAAGACCAGTATGACAGACAGTGAAACACCAGATCTAATTTCTTTTTCCAGCCCACCTCCTGCTGTCAATACTACTACAAACAGTATAATCGAATTTTGCAATCAACAGAGGTAAGAATAAAAATTAGCTATTAATATTGATAAGCCATCCATCTTTCAGTCAGTTCCTTCAGTTCCCGGCTGTGATCAGATTGACGTGACAGTGATGGGATGAGTTGTCCAGAAACTGATGTTTATGTGTCCTATCAACTACTATTGATTGACCTAATTCCACATCAAAAATTTTATATTCATCAGAGACATGTTTGCTACCAAATGCAAAAGGACCTAGTGATAACAAACTATTCTGCTGGATATTTTAATGGTTTAATGGTTTTTTCCAAGTTTGAAACAGATCATACAGAAACTGTCCTGTTGGAACTTAAACACTGTTGTCAGAATTATCATCAACCCTCACAGGTGTTACTGTTATGGTTTCTCAATGTTTTGATGATTTAACAAATAATAGAATCTTATTAATTCCTTCCAGCTACAATAATTCTCAGCTTCAGCCAGTGGTCCAATCGCCGCTTTTCCACTCAGCTGCTGTACCTCAGCATCCATCTCAGTTTAAACTCTGGCCCCAAATGCCTGTAAATACCACTCTTTCCACTCCATATCCTCAAGTGGGGCAGTTATACTCTCAAGCAGCCCTGTACAGGCCCCCAGGTCTCACTCTTAACATGAGTGGTATTAGAAGTGCACCCATGATGTCCCCAGTTACGATGAATAGCCCAATTGGTGGGGGAGGGTTAGTAGGAGGTGTACCTCCCGCCTTATTTAAGCCCCCACCGATATCAGGAATTAATGCGGGGACTACTGGATCTACCGGAAACTCAGTTTGCCAAACTCCACCTCAGGTGAGTATAATAGATTTTATTGAAAGTTTCAATTAATAATGGCTAAAATGTATTTTTTCAGACTCCTCCTGCATTGCCTCCAAAAAATCAGCCTCGTCCCCCGCCTCCTGTAATTGGTCCTAAAAGCAGCAGTGTGTCATCAGGGCCAAAAAGTACCGTTTCTTCTAGATCATTTTCAAAAAATTCGACAAAATCCAGCAATAAGAAAAGTAGCAGCTCAGTTATTCCAAATCTGATTGATTTCGCGCAGTCAGATGACAAGATCAATGTTAGGGTCAGTATTTTGCAGGAGTTTGACCCCTTGTCTGATACGTTCAGTAGCTCTGCTAGCTCCAGGACTATTAGTCCAGATTGTTCAGGTAAGAGACTATTGATAGTAATTCTGCGCTCGGTTTATTGTGTCGCAAGAATTTTTCACTGGTGTAAGTTCGTATGCAACTACGTGACTGCATGTAATAGAACATGTCCTGTTATCAGCTTAGTTATTTTTTATCAGGACATATTTAAGATATCATTTGGTATCAATTTATAAACATATCTATTTATTTTTTCAGTGGACGATTCGATATCGATATGTAACAGCGTGTACGAGGAATATGATCCGTACGATTTTATCTATTCCGGATCGGGAAATAATAGCGTATCTGACCCTATCTATGCAACTGTGAACAAATCGGATAATGCGCCTATGTCCCCTGTTCCACCCAGGATTTCTACGATAGACAGGCGCAGCTCCAAAAGCTTCAAGGTAAGAGGCTTGACCATACGGACTACAATTTTAATAAAAGTGCAATTGAAGGGCCCGGTGCAATAACCGACCACGTGCACATTTCAAAACTCGTTATTCACTCATAGTGTTGCGAAATTTGTTATTTTGCAGCCGTACTTTGGCCAAAAACTCATCTTTTCCATCAATATATGCACAAATATTTACTTTAGATTTTTTGAAATTTGAAATTGAACCTTCCACGTGGACGGTTATTGTCACCAAAATGGGAGGAATTCTTATAAAAAAAGAAGAAATGCTATTATTTTTCAAAAAAAAACTTCTTTATTGGGTATAATAGAACTAATCAATAAACAAAGTGCATACTAACACTTAAGTAACGTAAATAAATAATTTAAACGACAATCAAACGAAACAGAACATTCTGAATAAGGTATATCGAACTAATCAATAAAAAAAATGCATACATCACTTTAGTAGGTAACCCAAAGAAATAATCAAACGAAACAGTACAGTCTGAATAAGCTCTAATCAGAATCCCCATCTGTCCTTTCGATCGTATCATAAAATGTTTGACAAATGGGGGGCACATATTTTCTCACTAATGGCATAATGCTATCGTATTTAGCTGCTTTCAGTGGTAGCTTCTTGTTATATGCTAGAGGAGCTCTGTTTAGGTCAATAGGGGTACCTGCGCATTTATTTAAGGGATATGAGATTGTAATGGCAGGATTATGTGTTTGAGATACTGAAATATTCCCAGGGAATGTAGAATCATATATAAAGAATCTATATTTCGATAATGTAAATGGTTGTTTTTTAACCACAGAAGTTTTTCTAAAAAAAGGCTCGAGATATGTTTTAAAATCAAACACCATATCCTGTGTTACTCTTTCAACGGTAAACTTCTTACCACAGTTTTCTACTAGCGAATACCATTCTTCAGGCAAATAACAAAAGTTCTTTTTTACGTTTCTTTTTTTCAATTTGTGCAAAATCTCGGTCACATGGCAAAAAGCTATGACCTGGCTCTGGCAAATGATGCACTACTTTAGAAAATCTTCTGTTGTTGACTAAAGTTGACAGAAAGTGGACCATTGCCCCATTTTTATTTTGCCCCCCACAGTTGTCTGTAAAGATATGCAAAACGGTAACTGACCTGCTTATATATTTGTTAATGAAATGCCACAAAAAGGATACTGATTCTATAGAGCCTTTCTTCGCTACAGTTTCGTCAAACATATAACTAACCGATTTGTTATTGGAACAAGAGTAGAAAAGCTGATTATATACCCAAATCTGCCTAGCATAAAATATGTCCCATGTAGTCAACACCGGAACAGGCAAATTTTGCTGGTAATCGAAGCAAATAGTCTCCACAGTTTCGTTAGTTCGTGCCAGTTCAGTTTTTTCTTTCAAATCATCGTAGAAAGCTTGAGCTTTCCGAAGATGTACATCTTTTTGAACTTTTAGTTGCTGCTTAAGTTCATCCGTAGAAGCGGCATCAAGTTGTATTTTCAGTAGGTCACAAGTGTCCGAACGCGGATATCCGAATGACAAATTAAAATGTTCTGTAAAATACCTATAATAGTAGTCATACGTTACTTTAGGTTTCGCTTTTTCATGGCTTTCTATCAGGCTGTACTGTTCAGGTTCGTATTTTTGCAAATAAAGTTCATGCATTTTGCGGACATTCAACTCTGCTGATAGGTACTTCTTTTTATTTTCATTTCGTGAATAGTGTGATTCACGTGCTGGAAAACTGTTTATATGGTCCTCAATCTGTGCTACAACATTTTCCGGTAATTTGTTTGGTCGGTTATGGTGCTTACCACGGGAATCCTTTTGAAGCAGCAGACCAGAAACTCTTGACTGTGAAATTCTTGTTACTCGTGATCTGTGAATCGCATGCAAGTTACAAAATGCTGTGCGGCACACTTTTTCAGTTTTTGAAGAGATTTTAATACTATAACCATAAGAATATCTTTTTTTCACCCACGCTAGTTTTCCTCCTTCTGGAGACTTTTTTTACATCTATGAGCGCTGCTAAGTAACTATCTTGAATGTTCTTATCTCCCATTGCATAAAACTCTGTAAATATTGCATCTTTTTCCATTTCCGTGAATTTTTCGAAACACTTCTTACGACAATCACATCTGAATCCCTGCTGTTTTGCTTCAATAGTTTTACCTCCACTACTTTTATATTCTTTGCCAGAATTCCTTTCCAACTTTCTTACATTTCTTTTCCATGCTTGAGGAGTGCGCTGACGTTTTTTACCCTCTTTTATTAGATGCTTTTCTGCAGGTTCATCTGCATTAAAAGAAATATATGCATTACAAAGCTAGTGAACAATACTAGATCACTTACCTTCCTCAGTTGAGCTGCTTGAGTTGTCGCCTGCAGTAACATGCTTTGAGATAGGTGTCTGATTTATACCTGACGTACTAGCTTTATTTATTTCTTCATCTACAAGGAATTATTTACATCATTGTTATTTTTATCATTTTTTAAAGTTGATCAAATTACCTTGTTCCTTATCGTCGTTCAAAGCATGTTGGTCAGTAACAGAATAGGCATTACTTAATGATTTAATAAAACACTTTCTGCCATTTTTGTTGCCACTCTCACTTTCCAATACATAATCTGGGTCCATATCATAATTATCGGAGTCATGGTATGGATCACTTTCACTGGAAAACTCACTTGAGCTGTCCATTTTCACAAGGCGATGTGCACTCCACAAACGTCAGAAAAGTAAGGTTAGACCTTGCTCAAGTTTGGGCGCAAAAACCGGCTATGTGTGTCACGTGGCCGCTTATTGCGCCCAATAATATTGATGGTGAGAATACGTTAGGGATATATTTGGTGCAAAAAGCGACCACGTCGATTTAAGTGGAGTTTTATGCACAATCCGTGTACTGTTCTTGCTCCAAACGACGCGGATACATTTTTCAAAGCAAAAAAAGTCATAATCTCAATTTTGACAAAATTGGTCTTTGGCCAGTTTTTGCACCGGGCCCTTCAATTAAGGTGGCACGTCCTTTTTTTAGATTTTTTTTCAACTACCTGTTTGCAGCAGTATTCTAAATCCTTTTCATCTGATAATTTCATGGTGTGTATAGAGATGACTAAAAAAACAATGTTATGATTTTTTTGTCAAAAAGTGAATATTTTGTTCATTTTATTGTTATATTTTTCCTTCAATCGGAACTTGTTAACAAATATAAGTACAGCTGTGAAATTGTGTGTGAATATTTCTCTTTTATGGAAGAATGAATCAAGTGATTACACACTTTTGTTCTTATCACTTTTCCTTTTCGAAAAATCTTCTTGAAGCCTCATCTATCAATTGTTGCATTTATTAATAAAAGTAGAATATTCACGTAAAAGTTCAGAACTGTATTAATATTTGTTAACAAGTTAACGATCGAAGAAAAAATCCACGATAAAATGCACAAAAATGCATTTTATGATAAAACAAAATTTAAACCGATGTTTTTTAGTCATCTCTATACACATCATGAAGTAATAAGATGAAAAGGATTGGGCTCTATGTAGGGAAACGAATCATCAAAACATGTAGACAGATTGTTTACTCAACTAGCAAAGATTTTCTTCATTATAAGAACAATTAGTTACAATGTACGGAAAAGTACAGCCTTAAGCAATTACTTTGCCTTACTTGAAGGTATACTGAGATATAGCATTTCTCTTTTAGTGTGTCTGCTACCAAAATTGTTTAAAAAATATGCTTATTCTACTAAAACAAACTATTAGATGTATAACTAAAAGCAAACCTAGAGCCGTATTTAGACCTTTATTTTTAAATCTTAAAATAATTACTGTCATATGTTCATTTTAGAAACAGCAACTCTTGTTTTTTAAAATGAATCTAAATTTGAAACAATGAATATTAGACGAAAACAAGATCTCAAACTAGTACTACCTAAAACAACACTTGTGAAAGACTAAATAATTTATGATCGTCCGAAAATGTACGTGTGTCTCCCTGATGATATCAAAGGAATTAACAATTTAAAGATATTCCACTTTGGACTTAGAAACTTTTTAATATGTAGACCACTGTGTGAGTTCTAGAAATCCCCTACTCAAGATCTACTGTAATTACATTATAGTTTAGTTTTAAGTAATTTTAGCTAATTGGGAAATGCTCAAAAGAAAATATTATCACAGGATAAATGAAATAATTGAAAAAGTTGAATCAATTAAATGTATTAATGATAAACTAAAGTTTGAGGATCATTATGAATAATTTCAAAAATTGCAAAAAAAAACCAAATTACTTTTATAGGGCTTCTCATGGTCTTAGTACATATTCCAAAAAATAGTGTATAATACAATTAATTATTCATCCGCATTTAGTATATAGTCAATTAACTTGTTCACTGCCAGTAAAAGTGCATTCTAAAAATTACAGGTCCTACAAAATAAAGCTATGAAAGTGATATTGAATGAAAATAAGTACACCAAAATAAAAAGTATGTTACAAGAATTGCAGTGTTGGAATATAGAAAAAATATATTTGGTTCTTATTTTCATATTCATAATAAAAAATCATCTTTTGCCACAACATTATATAGAACTGAATAATTATTACCACAATTATTATACAAGAGAAAATATAACTTTCTATTTTCAAAATTGTAATAGTATTATACCTAGCAAATCAATATTTCAGAAGAGATTACTTGAATTTAATAAACAGAAAAAGAAAATTAAGGGAACATTTCATGGACAGTGAGATGCAAGTTTTGTTTTTCTGAACATTTGTATGTTATGTAATTGTTGTAGTTTTTTTTTAAAGAATGTTATTGTAACAATCGTGCTAAATAAATCCTAAACAAGCAACCATACAAGTTAGCTTTGACATTAAGAATGATTGTATTCTTCAGACAATAAAGCATATTTATCTATCTAACGTAATGCACAAGTGCCATCTGTTACCAGAATCCACCACTACTAGAGTGAATAGCTGCTATCTTTTGGAACTCTAAAGGTATCTCAGATCTCATTGATATCAGAGTTACCACTGTGACCGGTTGATGCCGTCCGTTGTGGCAATATAATAGATGTTAGTCTACACGCCATTGGAAACTAGTAATAGTGCCTTGATCCGTCAAACCACAGATGGCCAACCGTGCACAGCTGCTTCATGCTTATTGGCAATTATCAGCATGGTATAGACTTAGTCTCCATGAAGGACAAAGAATGAAGCATCCTGTATCGGTCGTATAGTGTTTATCCGAATACGATTGCACAAGTACAATCTAGTACCAAAATCGACCATTGCGAGAGTGTTGGAACTGTAAAGATATTATCAGTTCGCGTTGATAGCAGAATAGCCGCTGATGCTCTTCACAATCACAGTGGTCAATTCTGGTAATAGATGGTACTTGTAGACTCATATTCGGATAGACCTTATGCTTCCAATAGAGGATACTTTGCTCTGCTTTCATTCTTTCTCCTCCTAGACTGATGATTGCCAATAAATATGAGACCGCTCGGTTGGCTCTCTGAAGTCGGACGGACGAAAGCATTATTAGTTGGAGAGTAGATCATCATCTACTATATTGACAGAACTGACGACATCAAGCATCCATATAGTCTGATATCCAAGCAAACCAAGATACAGTAGCGGACAAAAGTTTGGAAACAAATATTAATATTACATTTTATGTACCTAAATTAAAATTGTGAAGGAACAGATAATATAAATATTAAAGTCTATCTTTGACTCCAGGACTAATACAAGGTTTATCTTATCAATATTCATATTCTTTAAAAATAAAAATACGCGTTTTTTTAGTGAGAATGGCAAAAGTAAAAGAATTTTCAAAAGATTTAAGATACAAAGTAATTAAATTATTTAGAAGTGGTGTCAGAAATGTTGACATTTCTCAAAGATTAAGAATGAACAAAGGGACGATTTCGAAAATTATTAGTAAATATCAAGAATACGGATCAACAGCAACGCGGCCCAGGTGCGGAAGACCGAAGAAAACCGATTATGTTTAGGATCGTTATATTAAACGTTTGTCCCACGAAGATCCTCGAATGCCAGCCACACAGATTTTCAAAAGAATCGTAGAAGAGGATGCCGAGAATCTTTCTGTCAGAACAGTGCAGAGATGCTTGGTGGATTTTTGCCTACTTGGTAGGCGTCCAGTGCAAAAGTCTCTCATTTAAAAAAAATCGTTGGGATCTGACGGTACGGTATATGTGAGACGTCCAATACGGAAAAGATTTGACAGATAGTATCAGTTGCCAACAGTTAAACACGGTGGAGGCGAAAACATGGTTTGGGGCTGTTTTTTTCTGTATCCTCAAAACTGTAAGCAAACTATATGAGAAAAAAATAGTCCTTAATAATAAAGAATGAAAAATTAGAGCACTTTTAAAAAATTACTAAGAATGTTTCCAAACTTCTGTCCGCTACTGTACCTTTTACACCTCCAACAAGATAGCTGCTATTTACTCTCGCAGTGGTTGATTCTGGTAACTGGTAACTTATGCAACAGATTATTTGTATGTGTGATCATTTTAATACTCTGTAGTTACCGAATATAAACGACAACAATTTATTTACAGAGAAACCTTTTGAATATAATTGAAGAAGTCCAAGACCGTTCTTTGATCAAAGATCCTGAACTCAAAGCATTCTACAATATGGTACACAACGTAAGAAGTAAGTGGATTACTTTAGTAACAGGCATTATTTCGTGCTTATAATACCGAGATTTGAACCAATTGACATATTTTTCAGAGCAATATCGTTATAATGATCCCGATACAAATATGGGCCTAGTAATAAGCCCAATGGTGAATTTTGCATATAATGAAGGGCTCAGTATTAAGTTGCAAGTGCATCCAAATTTTGAAGGTGCAGATTTTAATAAGCCTATCAGTTTCACTTGTGATGGTAAGTTAGTAGTGAATATTAATTTAAATATGCATGTCTCATGTCCTGCATTTCTAGTTAGAAATTGTTGACATCGGTTTCTAGCTACATCTAATTTCCTTGCAAGTGAACTATTGCATATCTTACAGTTTGAGAAATTTTCCAATTAGAGAATAGCAACTTTTTTACAGTAAATTCGAGTGTTGAACATGTGACACTTCAACTTACATATGGGTTAGATGCCCCAACAAATTGCCAATATACACTTAAAGTATGGGGGTGTAATGAATACCTGGTTCCTACGACGTTTCTGAGTGATTATGAGTACGTGCATGATTGTATAAAGTTGGACGAAGACGTTGTGTTGATTTTGATTCCTGATTCTAAGAAGGATAAATCTTTCGCAAGAACGGTAAGAAAACTGGACCCTGAAAGTTAGAAAAATATATATATTTTTTTGTTATTTGTGTATGACTTACACCACATTGAACTTTATTTATTTCCTTAGGCACAAGATGACAACGACGATGGAACAATGAAGTTTGATAATATTGTGCCCGACGATATGGTATTTAGGATAACATACGAGAAGTTAAATATTTTGCTAGGTACTGAAACATCATTTCCTGGTTCAAGTCTAAACTTTCATTCAGACTTAATAATCCGTAGCCAGTCAAAAATTTACCTGATACGGTACCCGTGCTGTGACCATTGAGTGTGTTTGTTCATTTCAGAAACTGTTGAAAATGAAATGAGAAAACTGGAGGAAGCTGCATTACAAATGTTTAGAAATAACTCTCCTGGTAGCTTACAATCTCTGAATGTCATACAGTCTGTGAAATATATAGTAAATCTTATGGCTGATCTTTGTACATTAGATATAATGCAAACCATTGAGGCCTTGGAGAAGTCATGTAGAGACTTCATACCTTCACGTGTGAGTATTTATTGAAGGTTCATTGCTCTACCGCATAGCTATAAATGATTTTTTTTCAGGATATTTGTTTCTCCGAAATGATAGCAAATAACTGCAATAAAATCCGGTTTGCCATCCAAAATCTGATTGAAATGTACTGCCAAGCATATGCAGTGGATTTTGAGGTGAAAAGTCAACCATCTAATGAAGGTACGTATTTTTATCATACAAATTACCAAAACACCAGAATTTATTATTAGAATAGGGTATTATAAAGGTTTTGCAATACAGCTTTAAATATTGGCTTCGAAGTAATTTCCACCACATTCAATACACTTCTCCATCCTCCAAAACCAGTCCTTCAACCAGCGAGAAGGTCCTCATCCTTAGAAAACCGTTTTCTTTTTAGCTTCATTTTCACATGCGGAAACAGTGCAAAGTCACAGGGAGCAAGATCTGGACTGTAAGAAGAGTGCTCAATAAGTTTCAGCCTAGTAGTAGTCAAATACTCGATGCAGGCTTTGGCGCGGAGAGCTGGAGGGTTGTCATGGTGGAGGTACCTAGCGTTCTTTTTTGACTTTGGCCGCAGGTTTTTCATAGACTCTATGACTTTAGGCTGGCACTGTTCGGGGTACCACTCTCTTCTGTGTGTCCAAAACGACATGCTCCACAATCCTGCTCGATTTGAAAAATACAGCTATCATTTTTTAATTAAAAGATCGGGATTTTCTGACAGCTACGGGTGTGTCCTCATCATCAAAGACCCAAACTTTGTTTTGAGCCTTGGTCAGCACATCGTAATAATAGAGCCAAGTGTCGTCGCCTGTAACGAAGCTGTTCACATACCGAGATTTCCCCTTATCAAACATTTTCAGCATCTTTCGGCACCAAGTCGAACGACGAGTCTTCTGTCCTTCCGTCAGACTATGTGGTACTCAGTTTCCTTACGTGTAAATGGTCATGCAGAATTGGGTGAATTGCTGGTGCATGAAGGTGTAAGGTCTCCTGAATCTGTTGGTATGTCACTCTCCAGTCTTCGTCAAGCATTTTCCTCGCCACGGTAATGTTTTCCTTTGTTCCTGACGGTCGCGGCCTTTTTTCACTCTCAGCGTCCTCCAGAGTGAAATTCCCCATTGGGAATTCTCTGTACCATCTGAATTTAGTCGTACGATGAGTATCTCACTACGTGACCACGATGCCATAGTTCGCACTTTGCACTGTCAATACGAATTAACAACTAAATCAACAGACGTGCTGCTGGCGGCTACTATGCACTTCTGGACTAGTCGCAACATGCAGTAACATGCAGCCTCCTGCGTCCGTTTGTTAAGTCATATTGCAAAACTTTTAGAACCCTTTGTTAGTCAGTAATTACTTCCAGGCTGTTTATCACTCGGCATTTATATTATATTCAATGATGAAAACGTACATAACTGTCACATGTCTTTTTTCTCAGCTACAAGATATGTTCACGATATTTTGGACTCTGTAGTGATACGAGTTTGTGCGATATATCGCCCATCGGCAGTTTGGGAACACGAAGAATACGTAATAGCTGCGCATATTTACCACGGCACAAAAAAAATTGGCAGATCTAACAGGACACAGCCAAGCAAGAAGATTGAAAGAGACAAATACTGGCCTGCAAGGATTGTATTTGACACTTGGTAAGTAATTACCCATTATAATTGCTCTTTTAAGCGGGATTTTCTCAAGGTTTGAAATTTCGTTTTGACTGTTTTTGTTATAGGAAGTTGCGTACATTAACATTTTTTTTTTATTCTTCAAGGTTGGATTTCGAAGATGTGCCTATAAACAGCCTAGCTAGAGAAAGTCGTTTAGTGCTCCAGGTTTTCGGTAGGTCACTCACAACTGTAGAAACAGATGAGTCAAAAAGTTCCAGTGACCCAGTTTATAAGGAAGAAGAAATCGGATGGGCAGCAGTACAGTTCTTCAATTATGAAAGGTACTGAGTTCTTGAAGTTAAGAATATGAGTTTTACTGGTTTTTCGCCTCCGTCGCAGCTTTAAACATATGATAATATGAAATACCATCTTACCCTTAATATTTTTCACAGCATCATGACACAAGGCAGTCTGCTGCTCTCCTTATGGCCAAAAGAACAAAACTATGCCAATGACCACATCTATGGACCTGCTCCACCGATGAGATCACATCCTGATCCTAATCATCCAATGATTGGGGTAGAGATTGCAGCTCCTCCGAAGGTACAGTTTCCTTCTATCAGTCCAGAGATCTATTCCAATGTCACCAAAGGGGATTTTGACAGGTAAGTCATATCTTTTAATTCACATGTTTGCAGTGGGTTTCTGAATATTCTGTCGTAGTTTGGATAACGAGACTCAACAGCTGTTGGTGGACGCGTGTGAACAAGACATGCTGTATAGATTTCCTCCTGAGATAAGAGAAATTCTATGGGAGAAAAGACACTATTTGTATCATCTTCCTCAGGTAAATGTTTAATATACGATTCTCAACTGTTGTGATATGTATTGTTACATTCCCATTTTTGTTTTCAGGCTTTACCTAAAGTTCTTTTAGCAGCACATAGTTGGGAATATATGCAACTTCCTGACTTACATGGCATGCTCCATGCTTGGACTAGACTCAGACCTATACAAGCTTTAGAGTTACTGTTACCAGTGTAAGTAAGAATGGCATACTTATTAGTTTCAGTTTGCATGTGTAATTTATCAGTTATTAGTGCTTGCTAAACATCTACGTGATAACTTACAGGTTTTGAGAATGTTTACAGGACGCAGAAAGTACTCGCGAAAACTTTGATGCATAACTTTATTTAATGAAAAATATGTTTCTTAGACTGTAAATGAATGACAAATATCCCCACCATGAATACATGTCCAAACAAAACATGCTTTCACTACGAGTGATGGACATTGAAAATCATTCAAAAAGGAGTATCTGTCTGGCACCACCGCATTTATCTCTGACCAAATAAAAACAGCACGTATTTAGACGCCATCTTCTGTTTTTGATTACATCTTTTAGCTCTCTTCTACTTCGCTTTGTTTATGTATAAATAATTACGATTCCTTCATTGCAAGATTTATTCAACTGGATATTCTTTTCAGTTACCCTGATTTAGAAGTTAGAAAGTTGGCTGTGAGATGGATAAGGGGCCTTACGAATGATGAGTTAGTTGATTATTTACCTCAGTTGGTAGTCGGTTTGAGACACGAAACATACGAGAATTCACCTCTTGCTCAATTTCTACTGGATAGAGCCTTGAGGTCTCCCAGATTTGCTCATTATCTTTTTTGGCTGCTCTGCCATAGCTTACCTGGAGAAACTCCTCAGGTAAGAGACATGTTTTCGAGATTTTTTTAGCTATGCATGCTTAGTCATTTCCTTGTAGAATTGCAGTATGGAAACAAAAAGTAAGGAAGAAACGACAATAACTGAAGTGAGGCACCATAGAAGACTGAAGCTAATGTTGAGAGCCTTACTAGCAATTGTTGGAAATTCTCTAGGAGACTGTTTCTTATCACAACAATCATTAGTCAAAGTAAGTATAATTATTTTATAATTGCAAAAAAATGAAATATTTCATGGTTTTAGAAAGAAAAAGGCAAGCATAAATTGCTGTTTGACAGTCAGTTGCTTTGTCCTTTATGTGGCTTCTACGAAAACATCTGCCTCAGTGAAATATCTAGCTTATGATACACAAAAGTCCTGAATCAACCTACACGACGTAATTTTTAATTAATTATCTTTAATTTCAGAAATTGAATGATATTGCTGAAGACGTTCAAAAAACTAAAGAGTCCCATCGGTTGACAATTCTGCATAACGTCCTTAACCAAATTCACAAAGACCTTCAAGAATGCCCAACTTCCCTCCCACTTTCCCCTACTTTGCGAGTGAAAGGCATAGACGTACAGTCTTGCTCCTATTTCCCATCCAATACGCTTCCTTTAAAAATTAACTTTATCATGGAGGACAGTTCAATAAGGCCAGCCATTTACAAAGTCGGGGATGATCTTCAACAGGATATGTTGACCTTACAAATGATCAGATTGATGGATAAGTTGTGGTTGACTAAAGGGCTGGATTTGAAGATGGTCGCGTTTACCTGTGTTCCTACGTCGAAAAAAAGAGGTGAGCATTGTAATATATTTTTGTTTCTATGCCGTTTTACCGTAAACATCTGTACAAATAACTACAGTTTATATAATGTAAAAGTTACACATAATAGTGATGTAATGAATAATCACATGATTCTTGATATTTGCAATCGCTTCCTCATTCGCGAAATTAATGCGAATATTTTGAGAATGTGAATATCAGAAAAAAAGAATATAAAAATAATATTAGTACTTGAATAAAACAAGGAATAACAGCTTATTTTTTTGCTAGAAAGGCAAGTTGTAATAGATAAAAACTTTATTTTTTTTTACATGATTTTTTTTACTTACCGATATTCTCAATAGAAAACATCGTTTGTTTCGTTACTGAAGTGAGACAGTCCAAACAGCGATGAGGCTGTCATATCAGTGACTGTCTGGTCCACTTTAAAACCCAAAACGAACAGCTAATCTTGATCAGGACAACACCTCAAAAAGTTTTTCTAATTTATCATGGAGGTACGCTCAAGTATAAGCATTTTTGAAGTTCGCTGACATGGATCACCACAAACATATAATTGAATCAGTTATTTGTGAAACACCACATGTCCAAAACTAACAATCGCGAGAAAATTTGAAAAAACTGTTATATGCAAAAATACCTTAAATCATCATAACACGTAAAAAAATATGAAGTTTGATTGTTTGTACGAGAGTTTTTTGAAAAAATGACAAAAAAACTTTTATGTATCTTGAGGAAAAAATGAAAATCTGGAGGACATGTGGGGTTTCTAAAATCAACACGCAACTTTTTTGAGAAAAAGTTTATTGGATACATTAGCACGAGGTACATTAAAAAAATAGAAGACGGTCAATTTTCATCCACATCGTCATCGGTGCCACCAACAGTTGGTCATCCAAATATCTCCCTATAGAAGTTTTCGATTTCTTCGCCTATTTCTACGATGAATTTTTCGAACTCTCTGATGCTTACCATCTTTTTGCACTAATTGGCACTTTTGAATTAGGGTATGCGACCACTTCGGGAAAAGTTCTAGTAGATATTCCCAACCTAAATTCGTGCTTTATTAGGCCATCAATGAAGTCGCGAGCAGTCACAATGCCCTTTTCATCATTGCTGTAGCTGAAGTGCATGAAATTTGAAATTGAAAATGAAATTTTATCTTCTTTCCTAACACCCCTTCCATAAGATTCTGTGGACAAAGAATTTTTTTGTAGTAAAGGGGCCACCATTTCTTATAGTTTTTGATCAATGTATTCTCTCCATCCATTACGTATACGGAAAATTTATTTTTAGTGCTTGAGTTGAGAATCAAGGAAACATAATCTTTTTGCAGATAAATTCGGTCATTTTTCTTAATTTTTCTCTTCACCATGGCAAAATCCCTGTCACATGGCATGTACGAATACTGCGAAGTATTGGTTCACAGTCTTGAATCGTCCAAGGTCTGTAAGACCTAAGCACATTCTAAGAACTGAATGGTTTTTTTTCTGACCACCGCATCCGTCAGAAAAAATATGGAAATGTTCAATGTTTGCTGGAACTTCATTGTTTATAAAGTGCATAATGAAGGAGCACACCTCGTTTGGTCCTTTTTTGCCCATACCTTCGTGACATACATAAAACATAGTTTTTCCAGATTTTAGGTCGTGGATATTGAAGACATTGACAGTTGGTTGATGAAGGTAAAATGTGACTTGGACCGGAATAACAGGAAGTGCAAGATTTTGCATGTTGTCCACACGCAAATTGCTCCTACACTGGGATCTGTTTGGCATAACTCTTCAATCGACTTCATTTAGCTGTAGAATTTTTTGGCTCTTCTTTGGTGAACTATTTTTTCCGCCACAGCTACACGTTTAGCAACATCGTTCAAGGCCTTAGATTTAATTTTGTTGGACAGCTCCTCACAGGTGCAGCAGGTGTCGACCTGTGGTGTACCGAAAGACAAGCTGAAACGTTCCTTGAATATCTTGCGGTAAAAACTATACTTTGCAGATGATTCGGGATTGTTTATAAGAAACAATTCATGCATTTGTTTTATATCCAGCTTCTCACTAAGGTAGTGATAGTCACGGCTACCATAATGTGACCTTTTAACTGGAAATGAACGAATATGCTCCTCTACTTGCCTGACCACCTGTCCAGGTTTTGCATTCCCTGGGGTTTCTTTGCCTCTTCTATCATTAGTTGGCTTTCCCATTGATAATAACTTACTCAAGCGACGAACACGGTCTACAGTGACTCCATGGATACTAATAAAAGTTGTTTTGTATACACGCTGCTTTCCCGAACTGGAAGACACATAGTATTTGTATGATTTGCTTTTTGGCTTTGCATTATTTTGGTCTACTCTAGGTCGTTTCCTGGAAATCTCTGAGCACTCTATTAGAGCCTGCATATATGCATCTTGTTCATTTTTCGTCTCTAGAGTATAAAATCTATCAAAAATCTCTTGCCGCTCACCTTCGGGAATTTTATCAAAACAGCATGACCTACACCTAAAAGTGGAAAATGATATTTTGACCGACAAAACCAAAATGACTCGTATTTCTCTTACCGTCATGGTTCACCTATTGTCCGCTGATTTACTTGTATGCCTTTGTAATAATTCAGATATTCTTTACCTCTCACTCGTGCACCTTTAATCACTTATAAATAGCTTGTTTCTGTCCCTTTTTGCGTTTTTTGGGAATAACCTCCGCGGAAAGTCATCCTCGCACGAATACATTGTGAAAATGCGCTAACGGTAAACACCCGCAACGCATGCGTACGACATTTGTCGCGTAGAAGATAGGAGCCGTTTATTAGAGAAACACCACGTGTCTTGGACTTGTGGGGTTTCTCAAATAAATCTATATTTTGGACTAGCGCTGACAGCGTTATATCAGTTGGACATATGCGATTTCTCTACAAAACGTGCATCTATATGAGAATATACCATTGAGTTCAAAAAGTCAAAATGTTGAATTTATGGACATGAGGGGTTTCTCAAATAAGCGATTCAATTACAAGCAACGTTGAAAATCTCACAGTTTGAATCAGCAAGCGACATCTTTGTCTTAGTCTGTAACGTTGGCAATAATGAATCGGATGTAAATGTGCTGAAACTCAGCACTGTGTTCATTATTTGTATGCGAAGGAACTTTTCTAAATAAAAGAGTTGTTAGCACGTACAAAATGAATTTGTTGAGTACAAAAACCTACTATAAAATGAGGTTCTGTCGATCTGGGGTGACGGATCCGTCAGAATTGTGTGTCACTTGTCGATATGGGGAATTTTGAAATATGACTAGTTAATCAGCTGTTATTGTAACTTAATGGATACTCGTGAAAAAGACCTAAATCTGCAAGTGAGGTTAAATCTCACTGAGCTGAAGTTATTGTCTTTTTCATGAGTATCCATTACGATGGAATAACAGCTGATTATCCAGTAAGATTTCAAAGTAGACATAGCCATATTTTGTTTTGGTTTTTTGTACTTACGCTACATATTAATTTAGTATTTGCTAACAACTCTGTTGGATGAAAAAGCTTTGTAGCTTTTGAAAATCGGTGCAGTGGCGCCGGCGCTAAAACCCAAAAAATTAAAATCTCTCAAAATCCCTTTTTTGACGTTACCGAGGCTCCTTTTAGATACATTTTCGCAGGCGTTAAAATTTTAATGTTAGGGGTTATCGTTGGTGGTGCAGAGTATGTCAAAGTGCTACCAATTTATACGTCACTACCCCGGCTAATTCTATGCACCTATTAGACATATTTCGTAAAAGTTGAATTATAAAGATATATCTTGCGTGTTTTCGGGTATAATATAACCCCGTGCTGAATTGCGACGTTGCTGGATGGTCTGTACTGTTTATCAGGCGGTATTCTAGATTGCACTGTTGGCCTATGGACTGAGTGTATGATCCACTTAATGCCTTTGTTATACCTGTCCTTAGCCAATGTTTTTCTAAAAAGGACTAACTTGTGACGAATATAATCCCTTAACCGTCAAAAGTAAATGCTTCGCAGTCTTCTGCTTTTCTTCAAGTAATAGTTTAATGTGGGATTTAAAGAAGAAAAATAGAATATTCGCATTGGCGAATGCCTAAAAATTGACATTCGTTGGGAGAATTCGAGAAACCTTTGAAAATACATTAAATGGTAGTAGAGATTTTGTCAGCACAAACTATTCTAAAGGGTAGATGTATTTATTTTACACTGAAATTTTGTTTGAGGTATGATCGAAATGGTGACTAAAGCAGAAACATTGAGGAAAATCCAAGTTAGCCATGGCTTGACTGGTTCTTTCAAAGATAAACCCATAGCAGAATGGCTGGCAAAGCATAACCCTTCTGAGCTAGAGTATGCTAGGGCAGTGCAAAACTTTACAGGTATGAGGTTCGGGTAACTAATGCATATTAAATTTCAAGCATTCATTATAATTGAGGTGGTTTAGTCTACATACTCCTTTTTTAGCGTCATGTGCTGGATATTGTGTGATAACTTATATATTAGGAATCTGTGATAGACATAATGATAATATTATGTTGAAAACCTCTGGACATTTATTCCATATTGATTTTGGTAAATTTTTGGGCGACGCCCAAATGTTTGGCAATTTTAAGAGGTGAGGCTGGAGTAATCGAAACCCATTCTCGTATACTAAAATAATTGTTTTCATTATTTTAGAGATAGAGCTCCATTTGTGCTCACGTCAGATATGGCTTACGTAATCAATGGAGGTGATAGACCTACAGAAAAGTTCCATCAGTTCGTAGACTTGTGTTGCCAAGCTTTTAATATCATCAGGCAACATCGAAACTTGTTCTTATTTTTGGTAAGTAAACAGCGCGACCAGATACTGTAATGTTGATGAACGTTTCGTACTCTCAACGCTTTGAATGTTACATTACATGGCCGATATGTTGCCTGTAGTTTTGAGCTGTATCAGTCTTATGGGGAATGGGTGGAAACGTTCGCTTTTTTTCTAAGAGCGTTTAATCAAACGATTGTTTTCAGATAACTTCGTCTGGAATTTGTCGTATAACTCCAGAATCAATAGGCTACATGCATAATGCTCTTCTACCTGAGCTATCGAATCCAGAAGCTGCAGCATACTTCACGCGACTGATAGAGGAGTCATTGAAAACGAGATTTACCCAATTCAACTTTTTCCTTCATAATTTGGCACAACTGAAGTTTTCTGCTGATGATACTGAGGGATCGCTACTTTCCTTTGTACCAAAGACGTACAGGTCAGTGTTTCGTAGTAGTTTTTGTAGTGTTTTTATTTGATTTATAAGAGTATTTTTCCTAATCTATATGCTTTTTTCAGTATGGCTACTGATGGACAACTTGTTCATGTTGAGGTAGTCAATTATCGAAAACGATACGATCCAGACAAGTATTATGTTTACATTTTGAGAGTATATAGAAAAGATCAAAAACAACCTATGGAAATCCAAAGAACTTACAAGGAGTTTTGCGAATTACACCAAAAGTTGTGCATTTATTTTCCTTTGGCCAAACTTCACAGGTAAGTCGTTTTATAATTTATATTCTCATTTATAGCGATGCAAGTGTCTTGGGTAGCTAGATGTGTTAGTACGTCGAGTTGCTAAGAAATCATGTTTATGATTCGCGGGATAGAATCTCGTCCTAGGAAGTTGTATTTTGAGCTATGGATGTTGCTTGTCTATACAAGGTACTCCACATAGAACTGCAGCGATCGATTACTCAAAACTTGGACGTTAGATAATTATGAAAACTTGAAGTTATGGTATAACGAATATGAGGAAATCGGCTTAAATATTTTCAAAATGGTGACCCTTCCGGTTGTACCAGAAGTAGATACCAAGTTGCTTATTTTGAATGGAATGTTCTCTATATTTTTCAATTTGAAATCGTCGCGAGATTCTAAATACATGCCATATGTAACCTTTTTCACGTGTATCCATCACGGTAGAATGGCAGCTGGTTATCTTGTAATATTTCAAGATTCTCCATATCGGCAAAGGACACATAATTCTGACGGATTCGTCAATGCCAGGTGGACAGAGCCATATTTTGTTTTATTTTTTTGTACGCTACAGATCCATTTTGTACGTGCTAAAAGCTCTGTTATTTAAAAAAGTTCACTTGCATACCAAAAACAAAACGCTACATTTACACCTGATTCATTATAGCCAACGTTGCAGGCTAACACAAAAATGTCACTTGCTGATCAGTTGTTCACCTCAGTAGATGTCAAAGCGTGATGGATACTCGTGAAATAACGTGCGATAGCTATGTCTAACCATTTTTGAATCGTATCAAATTTTGTGTAAAAAATCACAAATGCAGGTCCATGAAAGCCTATTAATTTTTCGTATATTTTTGTCCTTGTCGAACTGTTTTCTTATAGAAGGGAGTTGAGTTGTAAACAATGTCAAACTTTATTTTTTCAAATGGGAACCCCGCTTCTATAGTATCATCATCTAAATCAACGAAAAGAGCCATAGTTTTGAATAAGGTCGTCTAGTTCTACGACCATCGTGGGTACCTAGACAGAATCGCGATTCGTCGCTGAAGATGAGATTATGCCATTCTGCCTCCCAATGTTGCCGTTGTCTGCTCTTCATACGTTGACGACAGTAGTCCGCAGTCAGAGGAAGCACAACCCGTGGACGGTATGAAAAAAGTCCAAAGGCTCGAATGCGGCGATAGAGTACGCATAGTAATAGGTCTACCTTCTCCAAATCATTCTATCCACACAAGACACACACGCCTTACCGTCATTGCAGTACAATTAACACGGCATTTTGTTATGCTTAACACTAGTAAATGAAAGGGCAATAACTAAAAATATTTGTTCTACTCAGAAACTGCTTTCTTCACAAAAACTAAGAGATAAGAAAGGTAAACAAAAACAAAGATAAAACGTTGACATTGTTGCTACAGCATGCTTTAAATATAGTCATTATGTTGCAAAAAAAAAAATTAGAACAAATTATTTTTTCTGGATGTAACAGTTCTAATGTCACTGAGTTTACTATAAGGTGTGATTTATTCATATACGGCGCCATCCCGAGTGTGTCGAGATTGTGGAACAATCTACAAGAGGAGGCTTTTCCCAGTTTTACCTTAGGCAGTTCAAAAATCGGATTAACAAAATTTCTTTGGGACCCATAGCAGCCACGATGTCTCGGCATTTGGGCTTCTGCCTGCACGGCTGTTTCGGCATAACAAATAAAAAAGGAGATGAAAAAAAGAGAAACTGATAATGAAAAATAAAAGAAAGAATTCGTCGTATAAGTTATACCATAACCCCAAGATTTCAGAGTATTTCTAAAACTCGTCGAGTAATCTATCGCTGCTGTTTTATGTCAGATACTTATATCGCGTCTCTGGAGCTGGTCTATCCAGTCACCAGTTACCAGTAGATAGCATGTGTTGATACAGCAGGGTGGGCAAAAACCGTCAACGGTTCCCCAGTGGCCAGCGTCGCCTCCCCACCACTATTACCAGTACTTCAGAGATGCAACTATGTATCACTTTTTCATTTTATATATATATATATATATATATATATATATATATATGAAGCCAACCAGCAGAAATACGTATCGCTCGGGTTACCTATCCTATTTTCTGCTTGAATCCACTTTTTGCGGATTTTGCCCATTATTTCCTATTTTTGTTATATACCTTTCTCCGCATGATCATTTTCTCTTTATATATATACAGGGTGTTTCAGTTTATTGTTGCATAACTTTAAGATTCGATAGAACTTTTAAAATTAATGCATAAAGTCTATATAAACATGGGTCGGAAAATGCGTGGCTTCCGAAATACAGGGTGTTTAAATTTACTTTCTAAAATAGTTTTTTTTTAAATATTTCGAACGATATTTGATGTATAACAGTGAAAATTGGTATACGAGGGTTTTTTGGTACGACAAAACGAACCATGGGCATAGTTTTACTGTAGCCGCTAGAGGGCGCTCTCTACTGTACCTGTAGTGTATTAAAATGACCGAAAATTTTCTTAGTGCAATTTTTTGCTTTTTGAATAAAAATACTGATTCTTCGCACTTTTCAACATAAAAAAGCTCTCCTGTGAATTTTCGTTATAGTTAGCCGTTTTTGAGATATTTCGATTTTTAAGGTTCGATGCATTTTTAATTATTTATGATAAAATAACGTTAAAAAGTCAGTATCTCGATAATTTTTAGAAGTAGGCTGTGCCTGCAAATATTTTTGAAATTGAAAGCAGAATAAGGTTAAAAGTCAATTAGTTGACAGTTAGTTTTGTTGTCTGTTGAAACCTGAAACGTTTTTTTTGCAATTGTGAATGCACGAAATTTAGTTTCTTTTACCTGTTTTATAAAAATGCCATTTCCAAACAGACGACATCCAACTCGCTCAGTATTTGTAAGAGTGCATCGCCAAATAATTGAAAATGGTTTTGCAAACCTCCAAATGGATCAAAACATAAATGTTCGTCAGCGCAGATTTACCCGTATGATTCTGCGTGAGTTTGATAGAGATCCGACCACAAGTGTTATGAGAGTTTCTGGTGCCTTGGGAATTTCAGCAAGCCATGTTCACCGTGTTCTTAGAAATGACCATAGACGTCCTTACCATTTGCAACCTGTGCAAGTACTACACCCAGGGGACACTATAGGTACAGTAGAGAGCGCCCTCTAGCGGCTACAGTAAAACTATGCCCATGGTTCGTTTTGTCGTACCAAAAAACCCTTGTATACCAATTTTCACTGTTATACATCAAATATTGTTCGAAATATTTAAAAAAAACTATTTTAGAAAGTAAATTTAAACACCCTGTATTTCGGAAGCCTCGCATTTTTCGACCCATGTTTATATAGACTTTATGCATTAATTTTAAAAGTTCTATCGAATCTTAAAGTTATGCAACAATAAACTGTATAAACTGGAAGAGGCTCCATATGCAGAAGTAAGCAAGAAGCTTGTTCCTGGCGTCAAAGATAATAGAGGCAATGTTTAACACTTTTTTTATTTCATCTTAATTTATATATTGCCATATACTAATATCTGTCATGTTTTCCCTATTTACTTATCAATGTGATTATTATAATCCATAGCCCTACTCACATATGCAAAAAAGCAATTACACACAATATTGTATTTACGACTTTTCACTTCCTTAAAAGCAATGTATGGAAAATTTACAATAAATACATTAACACTTTATCTGAACCTATTTTTTTCTGTTAACATTCTCCTTCTGCACTGTTTCGATCACCCTCTGTCAACATAAGTTTTCTAGGTTTAGGCTTTGGTGGGAAATCTCCAAAAAATATGCTGGCTGCATGGCTACTGTAACCTACCAATTCGTAGTCGCCCTCCTCATTTGTGGTTATGTCAAGGTCCTCTGATAACTATTTACGGAAAATTAATAATATTGAAATATTTGTGGTATAATACTAGTCCATATATGTGTACGAGAGAGAAGCACGAGAAGTGTGTATCAACACATGTTAGAAAGAAATAGACGCTGGCTGTATAGGGAAGGTCATCGCTATATTGCCTAGCTAAGGTGACGCAGAAGGTCGTACAATCTACCGCGTTGTCAATATGCTACACCAGAAAATGTTCGCGCAGGCTGCTACAATAGGTTACTGTCAAACATAAAAAGGAGATCTGTTCGAACATTTAATTTAATATTTTGTTTTTATTTTGATTAGAATTATTTACTTCAAGTTTCATCCTCAGTTATTGTTACATTTTGCGACCGAGCTGCGGTCGGAAAATGTGACAAATAACGTTATGCAATGTAAATTATCACTGCCTGCGTATACGCAGGTGAAAGCCATTTAGAAGCAGGACGACACTCCCCTACGAGCGCGAGATGGGTACTGACCAAAATCGCTCAACTATGTTCATGGAGGTGGAAACCTTGCTTTGGAATGCACAAGATGCCGTGTTATCAAACGAACCAATGATGCAATGTTGCCGAATTTGTGGCAATCCTGACCTTTCATTTCGACCTAAAATGGAGCGCCGCTAAACAATTCAAAAGTGTGTACGCTCAAAATAAAACCATTATTTGAGCGTAAAGAATAAACTAACGCATATTTTCAATATGCATCTTAATTCAAAGAACTGTTGTAACATATTTCCAATGCTACCGCATCAGCGTTGCTAGGCAACGCGATGTCGAGCTTAGCTATCCAGGGGGCTTCTATCTCCTTCTAACATGTGTCTATGTACACTTCTCTCTCGTACACATTGAACTCAAGCCGTCTGACAAATTTGGTTTTCTCTGTAGAATTATTATAGAATCAAAAAATAGAGAGCACAAACTAAACTTAAGTAGTATCGATAACATACATTATGTAATAGCTATTTGCATAATAAGTTATGAAGTGGGTAATTTTGTTCGACGAGCATTAAAAAGTTCTAGAATATAATGTAAGCTGAAAGAAATCGTATTCTATCTCATATAATATTACTAATTACCTCGTCCTCAGAAAAAGAAAACTTCATTTCGGGGTCATGTGCAACTATGTTAACTTTAAAATCTTCGTTGTAATCATCAAAATCCTGGATCTGAGAGTGGTCTACCTCGAAACTGTCTGACTGTATTTCCTTTGAACTATCATTTTTCATGCAACGGATAATATGCTACAAAAATATAATTTTCAAATATCACTTATCAGTGTAATATAAAAAATCTACAAGTAGTTTTATCTATTGCTTATCTGGAAACATCATCAATCGACAATATGTCAATATTACATCTATCTGTTTTGTAGTATTACAACTGGATAACGATATAACGAATAATTTTATGTGAAGCATGGTGATATATTCACCCAGAATACGTACTTCTACCGAAAAGTTGTAGATGTCCAAATCATATCTTTAAATGCTGGTTTTGAAGAACATATATGCTATACGCCCATTGATAAAATTTGATAATGCTGACTCAGAGATTAATTTGATCAAACAATAGAAAAATATTTATAATCTACCTGCCTCAAGGTTATTTTCGCCAGATTCTTCATTTTTTATATCACTATCAGTTTCACTGTCGCTTTGTGACATGAAAATTAGGGGTGATTGATCCGAGAATCTGGTATTCTTTTCTTCATTTTGAATATCTTTGTTGTCGAAAATGTCCCTTACTTCGTCGTCATCCTCTACGTTTTTCGTTGCCTTGAGTATGGACTTCGGGTGCTTTGGAATAACTTCGTATCTGTTCTCTTCAATATCCTTAATTTCAATGTATTCTACAATCTAAATAGACATTGGTATCAGAAAGCTATTACAGATTCAAACGGTGTCACCGTATAAAAAAGTTTATTACGAGAGTCATGGTTTAATCTCTTTTTTTTAACAGTCGAACGTCGAATTTCGCTTCACCCTCTGGTCCTAATTGTAATTGTGTCAAAAACGATAAACTTGTGAAAGTTACAATTTTATTAGCGAAATTGAAGTTAATTACATTTTTGAAATAGTGTTTATGTTTAAAATGTTGATAACATATACGATTCATCTGATATGTAGTTTGCTTTTTAATGTTCTAAATAAAAATCTTAAGTAATCAGCAAGAGAGAAAAAAAGTGTATTGCATATGCTGAATGCAATCTTGTACGAATTAACAAGCTTCACATGATATTTTTGCTAATAGCATGTTGGTTCGTCAAACAATGTTTGTTAGTTTTGTGTCTTCGAAGCAACAAATAAAATCGTTAAGAAATAGAACATTGACAGTGTGTCGGGACAGTCGAAACTTTAATATTTTTTCAGCATCCACGGCTTTATTTATCGCCCAGACAAGCATTTAGAAAAGACAAAATATTCTTAGAATTACCCATCTATTGAATTTTTGTATGATGTTTAGAAAATACGCTGTATAATGTTCGTATGCATCAAGACGGTATCTAAATAATTGCTGCTTGTTGATATCACCACGAATATGAACTACATTTCTTAACCCTGCCAAAAAATCCGCAATACAGCCTGAACAAATATCAAAGTTTTTTGATAAGTACATATTTGTATATTTTCCAAGCATAAACAAAGTTGCATAATCTCTGTATTTATCGTGGTTTTGTTCATGGTTTTTAAGTAAACACTATTTAGTTGGATCTTTTTTAACATGATGTGCGTGTATGTTTATGGAATCCCATATGCATATAGTTATAGCGCTCATGTTCAAACATGTTTGGGTCTGCGTACTCGCCAATGTCAAAGGGGTTCGGATTACCTGTGCTCTGAGTGCAATCATTGTAGCTTGATAGGTTTGTCAGTTCTAGTTGCCCACGTACCAGACAAAGATTTGGAGAAAGAAGATCAGAGAAAAGTGGGCCAAGTGCGTTAGTTGGAGGGTTGCCTCGGATTTATCAACTAACGTAACGAGCTTTTGCATGACGAGCATCAGCCAAATTGTTGCTGATCGCTCCTTTTTTTTGCACCTCGACAATTTGTTCGGAAATTGATTGTTGTTGAAAGTAAATGTTTGATTGGACCTAAAATTACATGATTTTATTTTATTCCCAGTGCGAGCCGCGGTCTTGTTTGCTTGTGAAGTTGCTCCATTGCTGACTCAACACATTGCTGTGCGATTCGCCTTACTACAAGGGTCATTTTCAAATTAACAACCGATTCACAGTTACGTGACATCCGTTCAACCTCGGACACTCTTGGCCAGTCTCTGCGCCGCCATTACGTTCCACGTCTTTGTCGGTGTTGGTTGTGTGGTTATTCGGCGTGGTTTGTCGTCATGTCAATCAGTAAACCTGCCGCTTAGTAATTCGGTTTTCAAACGCAAATAAGTTCCTCCTGCTGAAAATTGTCAGCAGCTTGTTGAATTAGGAGCGGTATATAAAACCGCGGGCGGAGCCTGCTCTCTAGCGGCAACTTTCTGCTTCACGACAACGCTCGGCCTCACGTTATGACAAGAACACAGGCGTAAATGGACAAGGTTCGTTGAGAATTACTGGATCATCCACCATCCAGACCTGGCGTAGCACCATCAGACTTTCATCTTGTTGTTAAGGAATTTCTTGGTGGAAAGCTATTGGAAAATGTTAGTTACTAACTGCTTTAACTCTCAGGCGGCAGAGTTCTTTGACGACGGGTTCCAAAGCTGGGTTCGCCACGTGACAAGGGATCATGATTATGTTGAAAAATGAAAAAGTCTCCATGTTTTAGTTTGTGATACAATTTACGTTCATAAATAAAGATTCTCTTGCTCCATTACAAAATGGTTCTCACTTCACGCGATTTATTCTCTGGGATTTAGTGGTGTCCGTTAGTGGTAGACGGTCTCAGATCATTGAGCATGGAGGTACCACCCGGCGGATCTCTAAGGGGCAAAGATGTGTGATGTTCCCTTGTTAGAATTCATGAGACGATCTCCTTTATCGAATGTCTACAGATATTTAGGCCTTAAGCCTGGTTCAAATACAAAAAAAAGTCGCTGTACCTATTGATTAATATTGTACCTCAGATAAGGAATGTCGAAGTCTAAAATATTTCGAGTTGCTTTTTACCTGATCATCCTGAGGGATTTCCTGCCCTGAATCATTGCTGTCAAATGAAACTCGCTTGCTCACTCGATCGCTGTGGTCCGTCACCTCAATATATTCTCCTTCATTTTGACTCGTTGGCAAAGGTGGAGGCAGGCTATAATAAGGTGCAGATGATTGTTTCTTTGGCAAAATCGGTGGGGGACTTTTGGGCAAAGGTGGTGGTGAGTGTCGTGGTACAAGTAAGGGTGAATGCCTTGGAACAGGTGGAGGTGAACCCCTTGGTTGGGGAGCTGGAGGTTTTGGAAAAGAGGGTGGTGGTAAGCGTTCCAAGGATTTGCTTTTATGCGATATATCCGGTAACTTCACTTCATTTTTTTCTAGGCGCACACTTGTCGGTCGTGGTCTTCGACCGGTCGAAGGTTCTGGACCTGTAAGAGGAAAGCAGGTTTTATTTGAAGCAGTTGCCGAAAAGGATTATGATAATAATAATCGTCTTTACTATAAACAAAAGGCGAAATTTATCTCAAAACTATATTTACACCTTTACCTTCAGTAGCTGTTGTACACTAATACTTTCAAATTTAACATAATTTTGTCACACTAGTAACAATAGATTTTGAAGTAAAGACGACGCCCACGTCTTTTCACCTTAAGGATATTGGTACAGTATTCTTGAGATCATACGATATCATTTTTCAGAATACATGAGAAAAATGTACCGCCTTACTTAAACTATTACCTGATGCTTCAACAGCTTTGAGAAAATTCCAATAACTATAATATTAATCAATATGTCACTTTATCTTTAAAAACCCCGAATAATTTTCTTAGCATAGTGTTATACTTGCCAACGTGGTAGCCGAAACGTCGTATCAGTAAACATATGTGGTTTCATTTAGCGGTCAGACAAATATGGAGTTAACTATTTTTGCTCACAAAACCAGCATAAATCATAAATACTCACTTTTGCTGTCAAATTCACTGAAAATGTAACTGACGCACACCACCTGTTCATGTTTCTTCTTTTCTTTACTGTTCTTTGTGAACTTAGCCCTGAATCCGCCGAATAATCCCATATTTCTCTTGACATAACGGATTATCCGAAATGTTGTCACCTTATCTCTTTTTCACGAGATATGCACTACAGAATGTTATCATGTCATTAAGATACGATTATCTTTTAGTTCGCTATATAATATTTTTTATTGAAGCTTGTATCGATAAGTGATACCTCCCTTCGAGGATTCGTAAATAATAAAAAAAATTGAAAAACGCCGCTATATCTACCGGGTAAAATGGATTTTACATATTAAGATATGTAAAACACGTCCATTCTATGATGTAGCTTTCCTGATAAAGTGTGATTGGTGATTGGCTATCTAAAATCAAAGTAGTTTGAATAAATATTACTTGGTTGAAAAAGATACATCTTGAAAACAAGTATTTATTTAGCTGTTGGTAAAGGGAATAAAAAATTTAAAAATATTCAATTTATGTATTTAGAATGACGACATTTTGGTTATTATCTTTCCCGCATGAAGCCCTTCCATTTGATACCCATAGTATAGAGGTTACGATGGAAATTATAAATCGCCATTTTGTGGTGGTAGCAATATTAGATTTAGAATGACGCCACTTTACGTATTGCATTTCTTTCATCAAGCCCCTCCATTTGATACCCATATCGTAGGGGTAACTAGGACTATGCAAATCGCCATTTTATGATAGTCGCCCTATTGGATCTAGAATGACGAAGTTTGCCAATTGCGTTTCTCTTATCAAGCGCTTTCATTTGATACCGATATCTTAGGAGTTCCTATAGCTATGATGATTTTGTGGCATCCGCCATATTGGATTCAAAATGGCGGCAGTCAGTTCATTTTTTATTGTCACGCGAACCAAGCGTGTGACAAAATTTGAGCTCAATTGGTTAAGGTAAACTAGATTAAATTCCAAGATTTGCCCCCACACATACAGTAACAGACAAAAGTATATAGACAAATATGAATATTTACCTAAATACCTTTAGAAAACGAATTGATACTGCATTGTTCCATAAACAAATGCGTTATTAGTAGAAAAACTAAATTTCTTGTTTTTACATTATCTGCAATGAACACAATACAAGTCTGAATATAAGCACTTTTTTATGAGGGACAAAAATATGTAGACAAATTCTTTTCAACATTAGTTTACTACAGTTTCGTGTCAGAAGAGGATTTGTTTGTGTTCATTGTGGAATAAGTTGAGTTATTTTAAGACCATGCCGCGTGGCACAGAAATTTCTTTCGATGTGAAAACTAAGATCATTGACTTATACAAAGATGGTCAACGTCAAGTCGACATTACCAAAAATTTGAAGCTGAAGCGTAAAACAGTTTGGGCAATATTGAACAAATATAAACAAAAAGGTATCTTGCAAGCCTCTAAGAGATGTGGTCGGCCTAGAAAACTAAATGCTAGATGAGTTGATTAATAAAAGTAATTTCGTCCAAAGATCCGTTTAAAACCCCAAGACAAATAAAAGCCGAAATCGAGACAAAAGGAATTGTCAGTGATTCTACGAAAACTATAAGTAGAAGATTAAATGATTTGAAGTTATTTGCACGTCGCCCGATTAAGAAGCCGCTAATCAGGAGGAAAAACCGTAAGGACCCATTACAATTTGCACGGTTGCATCTTGATTGGAGCATCTGTGACTGGAAGAGGGTATGTTTCAGTGACGAATCCAAGTTCAATATGTTTGGATCAGATGGTGTTCATTATGTTAGATGTCCTAGAGGACAAAGATTGAACCCCAAGTACACTTTGCCTACTGCCAAACAGGGAGGCGGGTCTGTTATCGTTTGGGGGTGCTTTTCGGGGTTTGGGATGGGATCGTTACATAGAATAGATGGCATTATGGATAAGTTTGTAAACACAGACATACTAAAGCATGTCATGTTACCCTATATGGAAGACAATATGCAATTAAGATCAATCTTCCAGCAGATAATGACCCGAAGCGCACTTCAAATCTCGCAAAGAAATTATTTCTGGATGAAAAAATACCAGTTCTCAAATGGCCTTCACAGTCTCCCGATATAAATCCTATTGAAAATCTATGGGAATACTAATAAGCAAATACGAGATAGAAATTATTCAAACAAAGAAGAACTTTTTGCCGCTTTAGAGCAAAAGTGGAGACAGATCGATGAATCTTATATCAAGAATGCTACAAAATGTTAACAAAAAAATGGTTGGTTTTCTATAATTCAATGAACTTTGCTTCTTTTTCCTATAATTGTTTTGCTTGGTCTATATACTTTTGTCCTTCATAGTTCCAGTTTTTTTCAATTAATTTGTTATTGAAGGGAGTCTAATGAATTTATTTATGTATAAGTGAGTATTATGCTATAACGAATTATGTATACAGGTTGGTATATAAAAAGTTAAAAAAGAAGTACAGCACAATATTAATTTGTCTATATACTTTTGTCCATTACTGTACATACAAATAGGTCAAGGAGAAGCTTGAAAAGATGATTTACTGGGATTGCTAATCGAAATCTTTTCACAAGAACATTTATCTTCAGTTCAAAGCTAGAGACTCTTTAACACGATTTTAACTAAAACTGAATAACAAGAAAAGTTCGTTTTGATGATGAGATCCTGTGTAATGTTAGTCATCACAATAATGTACTTCCAACTTGTTAGTAAAAATCATATCTTCTCTAGCTAAGATTCTCCACGAACCAAGATGTGTTGATTGCACTGGAGCTATGTATTGATTTGTCAGAGAAAAATCATACATTTTTAGGAAATAAGCTTTATTTTTCGCTTGAATAATTTTTAGCGACATTGATTGCCTTAAACTTGCCCTCAGCACGCTTATAAGAAAGATATAGTTCAATCAAAGAAGTAGAATAATCTAAAACAATAAATATTTTTCTTTTGCAGTCTATCGACAGGTCTGCATATGGGCAGGTCAAATATAAAACAAGTAGCTCAGAAAAGGTTTCATGAAATCAGTTTATTTATAAAGTCCTTGTTTCTATGTGCCCCCGAAATAGCTCACTCTGATCTGGTTTACACATTCTTTCATCCACTTTTGAGGGACCAACAGCTACCTGATGATTATTCAAAGAAAGTAAAAGGTAAATATGTTATTATTATGACATTGTTGCGAAAAATCTTTCCAATTTCACTTCTTTATGTTTTTGCAACAACTGCAAAAACGTTCGGCGTAATATACGTTTTGAAATCCAAAAATATCAAATACCTTATGGCAAACTAATACTATCTACTGTTGGCAAAGTTTTGGTTACATTATATATACATTCTGAAATGACACGTTTCTCGTTTCCTTACAATCTTTTGTAGATCGAGAACCTCAAACTTCAGGCAGACTGATGGGTCAACTAAAACTCTCCCTATTGTATCGAAAAGGTGTATTTAGTGTGATGGTCCAGCATGCCAGAGGTTTGCCTAGACTAGCAAATGGCCAAGAACCGTCTACCTATGTTAAAGTATACCTTCAACCAGACCACCAAAAAAGTACAAAGAGAAAGACGAAAGTTGTCAGAAGGAATTGCCACCCTAGTTTTATGGAAATGGTAAGTCCACACAATATACACTGATATATACTTTGAAGTCGAGTCATTAATTTTCAGATAATGATTGTAGAAGGAAAGGAAACCAAAATATGTGTGTAAAAATAAAAAAAAAAGTTACCTTGTTTTATAAAGTATCCTCCCGACAAGTATTTCAGTGCTGACCTGTATTTGATCGTGCGGTCTTGGAGCACCAGCATGCTCTTCCCTGTGAGGTCTTAAGTCACCTGATTCACGAGCCCTTTGTACTATATTAACAAAGGCACGAGGGGTTGGTTGCACTCGATTGGGAAACCGACCGGCATAAATCCGTGATGCCGCGGCAGCATTTTGTAAAGACCCCCCCGTTTCAAATTCTTTCGCTTTTTTGTTTCCGATGCGATGAACCGATAAGGCGGATTATATCCGTTGTTGCCAAGCACGAGCACAGCACATAATATTATTATTGAGACAGGGCGGTACTCAAACTTCTAAAGGGCTATAACTTTGTTACTTTAATTTTACCACAAAAATGTTAAAGGAAAAAACATTTCTTTTGATCAGATCTACTCACTGTTAAAAAAAATGACTCAACTTCTAAGTCACCCTGTATATATATATATATAATTTTGGTGCTTCGTCATATTATGTCCTCAAAGAAACGAAATATTTTACTGTAACTAAGGATATGCTGAGGCAAAGCGTCTTGTACATGGTGGCCAATATATAACTGACTGATTTAAATTGCGCGCCATTTATGATACACGCATTTCAGTAGGTGGTACCGTAGTAGTTGTTTAAAGCACGTGTCCAATTCATCATGCAGAACTACACGATCCCACGCGTCCGTATTGTTAAAACGTTTTACTTAAATAATGAGTCGATTGTTGTAACGATTGGGAAGCTACGCCAAGAGTTCGGTCGAAATAATGTGCCCAGTGTCAACACCATTCGTCAGTTTGTGCGGAAATTTAAACAACCAGGTGTAGTTAAAAACTTGCCAAGGTCGGGCCATGTTCGAACTATTCGTACTCCGCAAAATATCGAGAGAGTTCGTGAAAGTGTAGTGGAGCGCCCTCAGGCGTCTACCAGACATCGTTCTCAAGAACTGAGTATTCGTCGCACGTCATTATGCACTATGTTAAAAAAAAGACTTGCATTTGCGGCCATAAGACAACTGATAATGAGCGATGAAGCCCACTTCGATATGAACTGATTTGTTAATAAGCAGAATTGTCGTATCTGGACATTAGAGAACCCTCATGCCATCCATCAACGACCATGGTGATGTCAACTGGCCACCAAGGTCACCGAATTTAAGGGCTCCTGACTTTTTTCAAGGTTATTTTCGAAAAATAGGGTTTATGCCAAGAAACCAAATACTGTAGAGCAGCTGGAGAACAATATTACGGAAGCGATCGAAAATATTCCTCACGAAACCTACCAAAAAGTGATGGAAAATGTAATCAAGAGGGCTCAGGTTTGCGCGGCTTCTAGAGGCGGACTTTTGTCTGATATTATTTTTCATAGATAATGTCTAAGTTTCAAGAAAAGATTGAGGTGAAAAAACGCAAGTTTTATTTCATTTCACAAATATTACAAACCAGGCAGTTACATATCGGCCACCCTGTATTGAGTCAAAATTTGTATTTGCCATGGTATGCGTAGTCATATCACTGACGGATATACCTGTACTTCTCATTTTCCTGGGCTATGTTCTTTTGTTGATGTTTTTATTGCCGCTGACGTTTCATCATATGTTCAAACAAAACTCGAGTGTTAATGAGGGAGATCACCTTTTATATATATGATATAATTTCAGTTGGAATATCGGATGTGCTTAGAAATAATCAAAACTCGCTATCTGAGAGCAACAGTATGGAACTACGATGCACTACAAGAAAACGAATTCATGGGCGGCGTTGAACTAGATTTGGCGCCTTTAGATTTATCTGAAGAGATTAGCGAATGGTATTCGTTAGTGAATTTGAGCAGATAGCATCGACTATGGCAGTAAAATGGTCACATTGACACTATGCCCAGGGTAATAGGAAAATCCTTACGAAGCATTGGGTTTGTTGTGGTTGGATTTGACTAAAGGGCATAATTTATATTTTTGAAGGAATATGATCGATACCACAAGATTTAATCATAGCCATACAGTATTTTCACAAGTATTATCTCTCACGTAGAGTATGTGTCCATGAATATTACACAACTGAAGCATGATGAGTGATTAAAATAAGTGTAAATGGCAACATCGGAGAAGTGGGGATACAAGAGTTGAGACGTATGGCGAGTCTCGCCGCTGTCGGTGAACATTACTTAGGCTATATTGATATGGACACTATATAAGATGCTTCAATTGTATAATGTTAGTGGTGGTATACTCACATATTTGAAATATGCTGTTAAGTAGATCCAGTGCATCTACATTGATTGATGGAGGTTATTTCAAAGATTTGCTCCAAGAGTTAAGGTTCATGTAAAATTATCTGTCTTTCAACTCACTTAACATTTACAAACTACATATCACACATATAAATGTATTCAACACAGGGTATGGTACGAAGTATGTCCTTTCATAAATTCTTATTCAATTTTCGTCTATTTTGATTTGGTCTCGCACTCCCCCTAAATATATATTGATAACAATTCTGCACATATTCCTTCATGCTATATCTGCACAAATAAAAAGATAAACCATTATAATCACAAATAATTATAGTAAGGTTAACCTCAAAGTCTGATTGTATAGTAGTAGCATAGGAATTGGGAAAGTGCATTTAAACATTTTTAGGCTTGTAACTTTTGAGTTGTAATTTCCTTTAAGGTCCATTTTTGCTATTTTTTAAATTTTTCTATGTAGACAAGATGGATTTATCAGTAAAACAAATAAACAAATGGTTAGTAAAACTGGATAATCCTTAATCCTCCATTTTTGTCTGGTCGCGAAATGAAACTACATATGACTGAAATTCAGTATGAAAACCATAGGATGAATTTCACGTGTTACATGGATTATCCTTCATCAGTAAATATTTGTATTTTTAGCTATGTTCAACATTATAATGCTGTGATCCGTTGAACGGATAATGGCCGCATGACACGATGATTCTGAATCAAATTTGTATACGACATCTGGCAACCTGTCAAAACTAAGTGAAGGGATGTTGAATCCCATCTAACGTTTTCACACCTACACTAATGCTTTTGTTACCATGACTGGCTAAGCATTTGACATCCCTACAAACCGACACCACTTGTCAGAAATGAACAATTGTAGCTTATGACCGTCAATGCATCAACCATTTTTCTAGATCGCCAGTCAAGGTGGCACGTCCCCTTTTTAGATTTCTTTTCAACTTCCGGTTTGCAGCAGTATTCTAAATCCTTTTCATCTGATAATTTCACGGTGTGTATAGAGATGACTAAAAAACAATGTTCTAATTTTTTTGTCAAAATGCATTTTTTCTGCATTTTATTGTGCATTCTTTCTTCAATTTTTATGGAAGAATGAAACTATTGATTACTTTTGTTCTTATCATTTTCCTTTTAAAAAAATCTTTGATTTTTTTGGAGCCTTGTCTCACAGCAACTTGAGTTTTCAAGAAAAGCAAAGATTTTTCAAAAAGGAAAAGTGATAAGAACAAAAGTAATCTCTCGTTTCATCCTTCCATAAAAGATGAATATACACATACAATTTCTGAGCTGTACTTATATTTGTTAACAAATTCTGATTGAAGGAAAAATGCACAAAAAATGCATTTTTTGACAAAAAGAAAAATGAAAATATTGTTTTTTTAGTCATCTCTATACCACCACGAAATTATCAGATAAAAAGAATTTAGAATACTGCTGTAAACAGGAAGTTGAAAAAAATCTAAAAAAAGGGACGAGCCACCTTAAGTTGTACATAAATATGATATCAAGTTTCATATCACGTCACGCGGGCCTTATATGATTATGTGAGTGATTGTATCGAAACGTCCAGTCAATTATTCTACCAATAATTATTCATAAACATTTTTGTTATATGTATTCCTGAAATTTTCTTTTCTGTTCAATCGCTCGTAATTGGTATAGTAAAATTAGTGTTGAAAATCTGTAAATTTTTGATGGATTTCCGTGTAAAGACCTCGAATTTTTAGTATTGAAAGAGGTCTGTACGTAACAGAGGAAAATTTATAACATTTACAGGGTTGAAAATTATCCCTGTAATTGCATATATGTTATTTTTGGTATTTGGTATTTTAAGAATGTGCTTTTCAAAAAGGTCCCCCTCCTCACCTTTTGAGCCGTTCAAGCTGGCAAGCTGAAATTGGGGGCAATTAAACTGATTCATGAATACGGTATTCTATCGTAAAGGTGCTGGTAGAAAATTTAAAGATGGCGGCTAGCCACCATATTGGAACATTTCTTTGTCACCTAGTCAATACTGCATAACCTTGGAATATAAAAGTCCCCACCTTATGTGTCCATGGATCTAAAGATTTTCCACGAGAGCTTTCTAAGATTCCAAAAATGTCTAAAAGAATAATTATACAAAATTGACATTGCAGCATTAATGCTAAATAAATATTCAAAAAAAGAACAAAGATACAGGACCTTCAAGTTGGGAAGTTCATACCCTATTACAACGTATTGAGGGCTCGAAATTTTACTTTACTTTATTCATTACAACACCCTACAGTGAATACCAATTACAGGGTGAGGAAACACAGAGTATAAGATAGATATAAAAGATAATAATAAGTAATAGACTACAAAGTGTAAAAGATACATGCTGGACGCTAAAGTTTTCAAAGTATATATGCATAGTAAATAGAGGAACAGCTGTGACAAATTTTCATGGATGACGCTGCAGTATTAAATTTTACTTGATACATTTTTGGACGTGGGAATTTAGCATTAGGTTGTCTATCTCGTATACGTTAATCGATGCTTTAAGTGGAGAAATTAAGGAAAACTTTTTCACTCTAACTATTAAGATAGTCGAGATACAGGTTGACATACTTTGATGTTGTTACGACAAAATGTGGAAGTACATATTTAGATTTATCCAAATACGACAAAAAATGTTATCTGTAAAAACAATATTGATTTCTAGCTTAGTAGTATTTGGACTGAATGACCCATATTTTATTGCACATTCAGACTGTCAGACCTCTGCAGGAGAAGATAGATATAATTTTCGTGATTAGTTATCGAGTTATAAGCAATTCGATGTACAATAACGCTCAACTTCGACAGCCCGCCATTTTGATCCTAATCGTATATTGTATTTCAAGGATAATGAAATACTTGCGAGGAGATTTAAAACTAGGTTTCACGTGACCACCGATTACATTTAAAAATGTTCCGATATGGGGGCTAGCTGCTATCTTGAAATTTTTCAACTATCAGTTTTACGCTAGAGTATAGTATTAATGAATTTGTTCGTCCCGAATTTCATTTTGCTAACTTGACCCGTTCGAAAAATAAAGTGGGAAGGGAGCTTTTTGAAAAGCACCATAATTTTTGTCAGTATGCCGCATAGTATCTTGACACCGGAAGAATTTCCTTCAACGATTATAATTTTTAACTGATACATTTTGATACATCTGCATGCAAATATTAGAATGTACGGAAATGAAACGGTGTTTGTGAGGCGTATTTTCCATTATACAGGTTGTCCCAGAAATAACACGCCAGAGTTACACGGGAGGTACATTGGCTTCAGATCAATCAGATAAAATCCACATAACCTTAGTAAAAGTTTTCTAGATTTCGAGATATTGCCACTTTTGGTATTTTTTAAAAAAATCACTACTGTTTGCTCCTTTTTTGCCTGTTATGGCTATTAAGAACTTCTAACTTATGAGTTTTTTCCTGGGCTACCGTTAATAGTTGGTTGATACAACCGAGTATTCATTTAATCGAAAACTAGAATGGTATCCTAAAAAAAAAATAATACATTTTCTTTCAATGTGAAAGCCTTTACTAAAGTTTGACACTGTGAAAAAATATACCAGAGTGAATCGGCAAATGAACTTAAAAGCTGGCCTAAAAATTGAATAATTCCAGCGAGAGTTAAATAACACGTGTTAAGCACTAACACAAGGGGACCAGTACTTTATCGAGGTGACAATGCTATCGACCGAACAATGAATATGAGAGCGAGGGAGCTAATGACTTGTTTAGGTCGTTTCATTACTTAGTGATTTGTATACAAAAGACGGCTGCACTTATTTTTTATTTATAGTATTTCGAAAGTATTACGACTTCAATGACAAAACGTGGATTTATTCAATTTTTAGTAGAAAGAACCTACAAATGTTTTACTATTTTTCAAAGAGCATTAAATAGGCTAGTTTTTAAGATAATTTGCCGATTCAGTCTGGTACATTTTTTTCACAGTAATTATTCAAACGTTAGTAAAGGTTTTCACATTGAAACAAAATCTATCAATTTTTTTTAGCATACCGTGCTAAAAAGTAGTGATTTTCTTGAAAAAACCTGAAAGTAGCAATATCTCGAAAACTAGTAAAACTTTTAGTAAGGTCATGTTGATTTTATCTGATTGATCTGAAGCCAATCTACCTCCCGTGTTACTCTGCCGTGTTATTTCTGGGACACCTTGAGTTAAATGGTGCTCCGTGTATATCTTTTGCGCAAAAAGACGGCAAACTTGGTATAAAATATTCTCACTAATAATCAAAGTCAACGTCTGATAGAAAGACGGCTTGGTAACAATGCTTTTGCTAAGTTAGGTGATTTCGTTGTGGTATATATAATCGTGTTTCATGTAATCATGCCAAAGTTACACATTTTTAATATTACGCTATTTTATATCAAGTTCTATTTATTTTTTGTATTTAACCTTGTATTTATTTATATGTAATTAATTTTGTTTAATGCTCATGCTAATGGTTTAGATAGTTTTCAAAACACATCCAATTATAAATTGGACGAAAAAAATATCCAGTATATTTCATGAAATAGTAGTACCATGAACTATCTAAAACGTATTGGGCATAATAAGTCATTCCTATATGCTATTAGTTTTATTCTATTGTACAAGAAATAATGAAGGTTGAGGAATCATTTTTCTGTAAGAGATTCGTATTATATTATTTATGTCTAAATGTAATTATTGTTTAATATTGCAATTTGATGTTTAGAGGAAGGTGTAGTGATTTTGTAATTCTTAGCAGCGGGATTACTTGAAAGTTTACAGGACCTGCTGCGCGGGAGTCAGAAGTCAAAGAATATACCACTCCTCGTTTTTTTCCGAGGGTTTTTTGACCTTTCTGACGGTGCGACATTATTCATTAAATTCCAGTAAAACGTAATTGAAATTAAGCAATAGCATTTCATCGATTTGTTAAAATTTGATTTACGGATATAAAAATGTACACTATACATTATTTTCTCTGTAACGCATTTATTATATAGTTTTTGATTACAATACATATACTACGTTGTATTAGCTTCTTTTCATGTTTTTTTTCACCATGGACAAAGTTCATGCCTTATGGAGAAAAACTTTATCGAGTGTGTTTTTGAATAGTATTCTGATAGGATACGGGTGCTATGTTGGTGGCTCATGTTTCATGAATACACCATATACAGGGTGATTCACAAGTCGTGACCAAAAATGAAACATCATGCATAGGACCGCATTTTAAAGGGGGTCTTCTATGTAACATTTCTTTCTCGAGGGCTTAATTAAAAATAAACGGGGTGTTGAAGTTTAAAAATAAAAAACAATATCTTCAAAACCGCCAACTGGAATGAATTTGGTATGTGGATTTATCTAAGTATTGTCCACATTCAAAAGTCTACTTAAAATTAACTTGCACCAGTGGTGGAGATACAGGGGATTTGTGGCATTATTTTTCCAAATAAAAATAGTAAGCCACTGTTAAATAATTACTCTTGCGTTTTTCCCTAGAGTTCACTGTTTTCGTAAAAATAAAACTAACTGAATCATTTATGAAGAGCCGACATACAATTAGTTACAAAATGAAATAGGAGGGCTTGGTACCAACTCGACGTTTCTTGGGAGATAGTTCATCAAATTTGTTATATGGTTGTTATCGATACTACTGCCATTTTTTTTTTGTAAAAGTCAAGTCAAAAGTTTCTTTTTTTCATTTTTGAGTGTGGTGAATTGGAATTTAGCAATGATGAGGCCGATATTATTTTTGAGTCCGGTTCTGTAATGGAAATGCTGTTGCGGCTTCTCGGGAGTATACATTTCCTAACAGACGCCAACCTACCCAAAGGTTTTTACTCGTTTATTTGTAAGACTTCGGCAATATGGAATTGCTAAACTTCCCGGAGTTAGAGGTCATGGTGTCAGGCATACTGTTCAAGAGGAACTGGAAGTGATTAATTTAGCGTTGGATGATCCTAGTACAAGTACTACGCGGATTGCAGCCCAGTTACCATGTTCCCAAAGTCTTGCGTGGACAATTTTAAATCGGGAAGTTTTACATCGTTACCATCGGCCAAATATGCAATGTCTGCAACCCAGCGATGAAGTGCAACATGCAGATTTTATTGATTTGGTTTTGTGGTCAGTTGAATCGCTTTTTACGAGGAGTAGAACCTTTAATTCTCATAATGAACATATTTGGTCGTTAGAAAATGCGTTCTGTAGGAATCCACTCGTTTCAACACAGATTTTATAAAAATGTCTGGTGCGGTATTTTCAATGGCCAACTGTTTATGCACGTTTTGTCACAACGTTTAAATACAAATTCATACTTGGCTTTTCTACAGAATTACATAGAACATGTGTTAGATGATGTTCCGTTAGCAACGAGAGTACGAATGTGGTATCAGAACGACGGTGCCCCACCGCATGTTGTATAGATTGGCAGAAACGGACCCTTACATTGGCCTGCGAGGTCTCCCGATTTGAACCCCCTGGTTTTCTTTTTGTGGGGCGCTTTTAAACAACTAGTGTTTGCTGAACAAATTAAAACTGTTGATCAGTTATAAGAAAGAATAGATAATGCGTTTCATCAAATTCAAGCCACAACAAAGTTTGCGGAAATGAGTTTTTCTTTATTAAAAAGATTCCGCGTTTTTATCCGTCAGAATGGTGGTCTTTTTGAACATTTGTTGAAATAAAGCTTTCATGGTCTGGTTGGTTTTTGGGTTGGCTACTGTACAGTAGCTTACAGGACTCCGAACTATGAACACCTTCTGAAGATGCGAACCACTCGTGTAAGCGAAACGTCAAGTAAAAATATTTTATGATGGCCTAACAAACCAATCAAATAACATTGGCTGATGGCTGCGAAAGGCTTTCGAATTTCATTTGATTGTCTAGTTTGTTTTTTATTTTTACGAAAACAATGCTCTCTAGGAAAAAACACGAGAGTAATTATTTGTAGCAAATTGAAGGTAAAATTCGAGAAATTGCGCGAAAACAGTGGCGTACTATTTTTATTTGGAAAAATAATGCCACTAATCTCGTGTATCTCCGCCACTGGTGCACGTTAATTTTAAGTACAGACTTTTGAATGTGGACAATACTTAGGTAAATCCACATACCAAATTGACGGTTTTGAAGATTTTTTTTATTTTTAAACTTCTTTTTAATGAATCCCTCGATGAAAAAATGTTACATAGAAGACCGCCCTTAAAATGCGGTCCTGTGTATGATGTTTCATTTTTGGTCGCGACTTCTGAATCACCCTACATATGAGCATGTAATTTTGGTGATTAAATAAGAAGCATCCATGAGGACGTCAGATTACTTTATTTTTATTTTGTAACAGTACTGGTATAAACATAAGTGGGAAAATCATGCCTGAAACAGCTGTTATGAGGAAAATATTCCAAGCTTGATTCGATATGGAAGGTAGCCACTAGACAGTGTTTCGTAATTGAATTTCAATATTTAAGGAAGTGATTGTTGGGTCCATTAGAAAAAAACTTCATATGAACCGATATCTTAAATGCCTTAGGTTTTGAGATAGAGGAGGGTAAAGTTTTCAAAAATAAATAATTCATTATTATATATTTGTAACACCACTTCATTTTAATGAAATGTGGCATTTTCAATATACCAGATCTCTTTTTCGTCAGTAAGGAATATCGCTTGACTAGTTTGGCAGGCATTGATGGTACGCCACTCATTTCTCTTAAAACGATAATTATTATTTCTCTTCAAATAAAAATTATCCTTGAAAGTCTCAATAATTTCTGAGCAAATATAATCGCTTGACTTTTTTGAATGCGACGCACGGCTGTTGCTTAAAAAATAAAAATCGTTCCTCTGCATGATCATATTTTTTATATGACAATATCACCATGCGGCGAAAGCTGTTCTTTAGGTGAAAACGCGCATCGGATAGAAAAAAATAAGCGATGAAATTTACTTAGGAATGATCGGGGATCTCAAAAATAGTTTTTATTGTGGCGTTACCATCAATGCTTGCCATAATAATAGGCAGATGAAATTCTATAAGAACGCCACTGGAGGAAATTGAAAAAATGGTACATCGAAACATGCCTGTTGATACAAAGTACATGAACGCCACACTTCATTAGAATATTGGAAGTGGTATTACATATACTAATAATGAACGATGTATTTTTTAAAACTTTACGAGCCTCTGTCTCAAAGTTAATACATTTAGAATACATGCTCAAATGAAGTTTTATTCTTAAAATGGATGCAGAAATCTGACATTCAATTACGAAACAAGCTGCAGAAAACAGCAAATTCGTATTGGGTAGAAAAAATTGTATTCAATAAAATTCACCATTATTACATACTTTGCAATAATTCGGTATCTTGTAACTGAATGTCTGTTATTATTTATTATTTCACCCCTACTCATCACGAATTTGCGAAAAACATCAACGGTCACTGTAGGACTTCCTCCTGCTGTTCCCCGAATATCATTGTTGGCTCATCATCTCTATCTGAGCAGCACTGACGTTCTTCATCCCTTCCTGGACGCAGCTGAGATTGTTCTTCCAGCAATGCAGCAAATCTCGTAGTTGCTGCCACTGCGCTCGACCGAACGTTCGATGCATCGTGCTTGACACGAATACCTTCTTCAGCGACTGGTCCATTCTTGCTCTTACTAGCTTTGTTTTTAGTACTGCAATAAGAAAAAAAAATGATCAAATTGAAATTGTATACAGGTGGTCCATCCATGTGTGGAGGGAATATTACTCATACACAAATACATTTTGGGAAAATCTATTTATAGCATATTATAGAGTAACATGACATTTGAGGGCACATATCTAAAATATTGGCAATTATACAATTTTGACCTACATATCAAAATTGTGATTTTTCAAATAGAATGCCTCAAATTTTATTGCATATTTGGATAAGCCAATTCAAAAGAAGAAGATTGATATTATATGCTATGAGGTTTTGGTAATTAGCTGCTGAGATGTAAGGTGTTTTGTCCAAAAAAACCGTCCACTTCGGCAACTCCTCAATCCGCCATTTTGAAATTTGGAGTGTTGAATTTTGTATACAAAAAACTTGCACATCTCAGCTTTTATCTTATTTGTTACTTTCTCGAATTTTCATTTTTGCTAAATTGGAATTGTGAAGGAACAGATGATATAAATATTAAAGTCTACCTTTGTCTCCCGTACTAATACAAGGTTTATCTTATCAATTTTAAAATTCTCTGAAATTAAAAACACGCGTTTTTTAAATACCACAGTTTTTGTAACTACAAAAGTATGGAAACATTTCAGTTTTGCCATATTCATTCGTTCGCGATACTCTGATAAATATTAACATCAGTGAGAATGGCAAAAGATTTAAGAGGCAAAGTAACTGAATTATTTAGGAGTGGTGTCAAAAATGTTGACAGTTCTCAACGATTAAAAATGAACAAAGGGACGATTTAGAAAATTATTAGTAAATATCAAGAATACGGATCAGCAGCAACGGGGTCCAGGACCGAAAAGAAAAACCCGATTATGTTTTGGATCGCTACATTAAACGTTTGTCTCATGACGATCCTCGAATGCCAGCCACACAGATTTTCAAAAGAATCGTAGAACGGGGTGCTGTCACAACAGTGCAGAGACGCTTGGTGAAGTTTGGGCTTTTTGGTAGGCGTCCAGTGCAAAAGCTTCTCATTAAAAAAATCGTATTGCTAGACTTGAATTTGCTAAAACTCATCTAACTTGGACATAACAGTTTTATGGGGCGATGAAAGCAAATTAAACTTGTTTGGATCTGACGGTACGGCATATGAAAGACGTCCAATACGAAAAAGATTCGACAAAAAGTATCAGTTGCCAACAGTTAAGCACGGTGGAGGCAACATCATGGTTTGGGGCTGTTTTCTAGTGCTGGAACGGGTCCAATTGTGAAAATTGTTGGGAAAATGTATCAAAAACTTTCCAAAGATATTCTTAGCTAGCTCCCTTTTGCTGAAGAAGAAATACCTGTATGATGGACATTACAGCAAGCTAATGACCTCAAGCATACCTCAAAATTCGTAAAGGACTGGTTAAGACTAAAAAATGTTAATGTCCTAACATACCTATAGAACAACTGATTATGTAACAAATATTTGGCAAAGTATCCCGTCTGTAAAAAACTGGTGTCTTCTATGAGCAGCAGATGTCAGGCAGTGTTGAATGCTAAAGGCTATACTACCAAATATTAGTTAAACAATATTTTTTAAATCTTTTTGTAGAGTTGTTGTATTTAATTTTGTAATAAAGAAATGTTTCCAAACTTTTGTGGTCTTATTTTCAGTCATAATATGAAGGTAGTTTAATGCTGTAGTACCACAGCAAACACAAATTGTCATTTGTATCAACAATACTGTACGCAAACTATATGAGAAAAAGAATAGTCCTTCATAATAAAAAATAAAAAAATTAGCACACTTTTTAAAAATGACTAAGAATGTTTCCAAACTTTTTTCGCTACTGTACCTAGTAATGTCACAAAACACTGACAAAGAAAAAAATGATATTTCGGATCGCGTAAATAGTAATAAATCCTTCAGTAGACAACGAGAAGATCGAAACCTTCGTGTCAATTACTGGCTGTGAGCCAGGCAAAACACAGACATTCTAGAACGCTGAACACACACAGAGGCGGAAGAAACTTTGTACATGTGGTTTCTTCAGGAAAGAAACAGGCATGGGCCCATTCTGGAACCCATTTTACAAGAAAAAAATGAAAAAAAAGTACTTTGTGTCTAGTAAGAGATGGCCAGGACGTTTCAAAAGTCGTCATCACATACGTTCCTACAACGAACTTTTACTTTTGAGAAGACTAAGGGACAAAGCTTTGGTCACGCGCTTCAACAACTTAAAACAAAAAAATTAACGAATATTTTAATGCTTTATAAATTGATTGGTACATATTATCCTTTGTATTTTAATTTCTTGACTATTCGTAATATCCTGTGAAGAACATATTTTTAGTACATATTTATGTACATTTGTTTGAACATAATTATTTTCTAACGTAAATAAGTTTAATTATTATTGTTTGGAAGTTCTGATTGCATTTTTATATAAAATATTAGCTCTACATTTTCTGTTTGATTTACCAAATTCCACATACATTTTATACATATACATAATTCTGTAGTTTAGATTCTTTGATTTGGAATTTGTCGGATTACAAGGTACTCTTATTAAAAAAAATGTGGACTAAAGAGGGTCTTAGACAGTACTCTATAAACAAAAAGTTTGTCGGATTACCGCGGGTCCACTGTATTTGGACGTTCATATAAATTCTCCAGTCAGGTTGCAAAGTATGTCGCAGCAATGCTACAAGGTGTCTCGAAAAGTAGCCCAGAGGTAGACCACCCCATGGAGAGTTCGAATCACACCTGTATACGATCCGATTTTTTTTTAGTTTAGGAGCTATGATTTTTTGTGAATTTTCGAATTCCGAGCTTATTTTAGCCATAACTTCTTAAATGAGATAAACGCCTGCTTTTTTCTTTATTATTTAGCTGAAACTTGAGGCCTAAAGCTAAACTAAAAAAAAAAAATCGGATCATATATGTATGTGGGCGTGATTCGGACTCTCTATAGGGCTTCCGATTATCACTACTTTTTGGGACACAATTGTCGAGATCAGTCCTGAATTTTCCGTTAATTATCCCTGAGTTTTGTATTCTCATTGGCAAATTGACGAAATTGCTCAGCATGAGAAAAAAGTAAGTCAAACAGGATCCTACAATTAGTCCATAGATATTCATTTCCTGCCCTACCCGAAGTGCATCTGGAAACGTCGCCAAACTCAGGCAGACGCTGCACCGTATAGTCCAATCATAGCAAATTCCCACGAAATGATTGTAAAGTATCGTTTTATTGGTACAAGTTGTTCAAGTGGGTATTTGAAACATGGACGCATAAAATGGGAACACCAATTTTTGTGGGAAAACTTTTTATTCAACAACAAAGAATGAGAAAACGTGTTTTTTGAGATTCAATCGAAAGTGTTGACAGGAACGAAAAAACTTTTCAAATAAGACTTTTAGGTATTTATGAGACCTACAAAATGAGACCACGTGTAAAAAGATCCGACTAATGGCAAAAATGTTATGGCCGAAAAACGAGGCAAAATGCAGGTTTTGGCACTTGGTAATGCGACGATAATTTCAGGTAACTGCTTGAAATTCTTCAAATCCGTAGGATTCATGCTTCTAAATAACAATAACATAATTGGAGTATATTGGTCTAGTAGTTTTTAAGAATTTCTAATTGTTTATCCCAAAACACCTATTTTCCGGCCATCACTACTAGTTTATTGAGCAATATACTAGGTTCATTCAAAGAGCATTAATTAGCAAAATACACGTGTTTACCTTTTTGATATGAATGACAAACCATTCCGCAAGATAAATGTTATTTTTATGCAAAAAACAAAGGTTAAGTTATTTTCTTCTAAACAAATTCAAACATTTCGTATTTGTGAGTACATAATTGAACAAATGCGCTACGATATTCAAAGAACATACGTTACTATACACATTTTAAAACAAAGCGCATGTGTCTTATCATCCTTTGTTGCGAATGACTCACAAATACAATATTTGAATTTGTTTAGAAGAAAAAACGCAACCCATTCCTTTTTGCATAAAAGTAACATTTATCTTCCTGAATGGTTTGCGATTCATATCGGCAAGGTAAACTAGTGTTTTTTGCTATAAAATGCCCTTTGAACTAAGCCTGTATTTTGCTCAATAAACTAGTAGTGATGGCCGGAAAACAGGTGTTTTGGGATAAACAGTTAGAAATTCTCAACAACTACTTGACCAATCTACTCCAATTTTGTTGTGGTTATTTAGAAGTATGAATCCTATGAATTTGAAGTATCTGCGAGAAACCATCGTTGCATTACCAACAAGTGCCAAAACCTGCAGTTTGCCACGGTTTTCGAACATAACTTTGTTGCTATTAGGTTTCTTGTGAGTGCATCAGTAACGATCCTCCACTGCGAATAAAAAGTTTTCCCACAAACACTGGTATACCCATTTTATGCGTCCATGTTTTAAATACCCCCTTGAACAAATTTCAGCAATAAAACCAGACTTTACAATCAGGGCTAATGTATAGATAAATCTATGATGTGTGAAATGTGTGTAAATATGTATATATGTCTATGAGGTGCGTAGAATTACCAATGTTGGGAGCGTATAAATGTACCATCATCAAAAAACTGAGATAAAACCTCCCCACCCCCTTATAACCCTCACCCTCAAGTTTTTTTTCAAAAATGTTCAGGATACTTTGAATCGTCAAAAAACGAAGTTTGAGCGATTTTTACTTGACTAGTTTTAGACCTTTTTCTCTGACGCCACTGGAGGGATATTCAAAAATTAGAAAGCTTTTGCATCCTTCGCATTGAAGTAACAAGTGTAAACATTTCATCGAAATCCGAGCGGTATTTCTCAAATTATAGGCGGTTATAAAATTAACGGACAGACAAACCGACGGAAATGAGTAACAGCACTGGCGCGGAAAGTAAAAAAGCTGCAATTGCAGTATATTTAGACTATTTTATAATTACTAATTGATGAATTATGATGCATTTACCTTCGATGATGAAATTTTCTACATCTTCTGGCTTTATCTGAAGCTCCTTTTCTATCATTTCAAACGTTATCTCTGGGTTAGCTTCAGCCATTTGCATGAATGACAGCAGACGCATTTTGCGCATCAACTGTTCATGATTCAAACCTTGAAATAAAGATGCTTTTTTAGATTTCTGTAATGCTCAACTCTTACTAAATTATAAGCAGGATTAAGCTCCAGAGTGATAATCCGACTAGATTATTCTGTACTTCATATAAACAAAATTATCACAAAACCTAGGTATGACAGCATTGTTTCCAATTTATTGATCTGAAGAAAACACAAGTCTTCAATCAGTTGAACTGAACATTCCTTTACCTTGACTTGTGACGAATTCTTTGTGGTCATTGTAAAATTTCAGGTAAACCGTCAAATTTTCACTCACGAAAATGTTCAACAGGTCGTGAATGAGCTCTCCTTCAAGAAACCGGACTGGCTTCAGATCTAGAAGAGGGTCCAATAGAAATGTATTTGGCTCAGCTAGTGCTGAAACAATACAGCGAATAGCATCTTCCCTTGCATGTGAAGCATTTTTATCAGTGTAGGTCCCTAACAGTTCTATCATCACCAAGGCGGCCTGTTCACTAAAAAAAATATGCAAGGTCAAAAAATAGATATACAAGGTGTCCAGAAAATCAAGAATAATCCTGCAGTTGCAAATAGGTAACACATCATCAAATCGTTACACTTTAAATTTTTAAACGCGCAAAAAGCTCGCCGAAAGTCTGGTTAATGTTATTTCATACTCCCTCATCCTCTATTATCCATGCTTAGACTATCACCATAAGACCAAGCTCCAGAAATTACAAAACAGCTGCTGGTTTGTTTGGTCTGCAAGAGATGTCACATTACAGATAAAATCAGGGAACAGGTTGAAAGTTGATAAGCGATGCATATATCTTATAGATGTCTTCACACATAAGATTCTACTAACAGATCAGCCTATCTTACTAGCAAATTAACTCTTACCCCATGGAGATTTTATTTCCAGGACTTAGATTCAATATTAATTCCAACATGCCTATACCTAATACCTCAACTTTTGAAAGGAGTTATTCCTTTAATGCTGTTAAAAATTACAATTCTCTCAACAGTGCATATCAACCTAAACAGGTCATTACTTTCAAGAGACTCCATCTAGCCCTCTCTATTGTGCTCATGTGAGTGTTTTCTTTTTTAGACTGACAGTTTCTTGTGTCATTATTAATTCATGTTGGCGTGTGCATATATTTTAAAGTTGAATATTTGTTCATTGGTCCATGCATTTGACTGAATGTAAGGTAACATTTGGAAAAAGCATTTGGTTGAAATTTAAAGGTATTCGTTCAGTCCATTTAGACTTTAGAAAAATGAATTGGTGAAAATTCCGAGCATTATGAGACCTTTACCAAAACAATTATCTGTCAAATAGTAGGTCATATTTGTGGTTGCAGGATTATCATCCAATTTCTGAACACCTTGGATAAGATATCAAAAAATAACAATAAAGAGGAATATATAATTTTCTCCATTTTTACAAATTCAGTGAAAACGTTCAGTATTGATGGCTGCCAAACAAATACTAAACAACGTGGCATCTTCAAACTTGACGCATATGCTTTATAGGTTGCATACTTTCTAATACAATGATATTTTTCAAACAACTATTGCCATTTCTAGGTCAGGCCGGGTACTTCTGGGACCACCCTCGTAGAGGCTCATACTAGTATAATTAAATATATTCTTGTTTACCTTTGATTACACTTAAGTAAAACCTCATGCAAAAGCCTGTATAGCTTTTGCAACTGTTCACTCGAAGGTGGACAATTTGCAAACTGCTGTTTCAATTGTGATATATCTTGGTAAACCATTTTCACAGAGTCTGTTTGTTTGGCAATTTGAAGAAGATGATAGTATACAGGATACCTCATTGGAGAACTGTCATCCAATGACTTGAAGAGTAGCCATAAACTGAAAATATATATATATATAATAATTAATCTGCCTGTTGAAGGATTCAATTAAATTAGAAGGTACCCCTCACTATCATAACACAAATGTTATTTAGAACTAATGTAATATGAATAATCAATAAAAAATCATCTTGAATGAGATGAGCCACGATATTAGATTTTACCATAGAAGTAAAGAAGTAATAGTACTTACGCTCTAAGGCACACAACACCCAATTTTTGGCCAGGAGCTTTTGTGAGCTTCTCACAGAATGCTAGGATGAGGTTTTCTGATCTCTCTAAGGGTATCTGTGAAATTAATTTAGAATATATCATCTAGGAAATTTGCCTTCATGAGCAAGATGAAAATGGCAAATGCATACTTATACTTCGAAGTTGGGTCATTTATTTTAACAGGTCCTCACTGAAATACTTGTCGGGAGGAGACTTTATAAAACATTTTTTTTTAATTTTTACACACATATTTTGGTTTATCTTCCTTCTACAATCATTATCTGAAAATTAATGACTCAACTTCAAAGTATATTATACCTAATCTTATCAAGGGTCTAATATATGCTCTCCACTGCAACACTTGCAAGCCATTTTTTGTATTTGCTTGCTGTCTAAAAGAACATTATTAGCACTAATTATCAGTTTGAAATGTACCTTAGCTATAATGCTTAAAATAATGGGTAATTCTCTACCTAAACTACACCAGCTATGTTGTTGAAATGATTTTAGACCCTAATTTTCATTACTTCATGTTGATGGACATTCTTAATTATTAAATTTGTATATATGCCCTAAAACTTACACAACCCTGCATAACGTGTAATGCACTATGCACTATTGGCGCACTTACGCGCGCCGCGACAAATGGGGAACAAATTATAGATTATAAGAGCTGCTACGCGTGGAAATGCGAATTTTTGTTAATTCTCTTATATTTCTTCAATGTGGCTACAGTGCGGAATGTATTGGATCCATTCCATTCTGCAAATATTGTGATTAAGGTGTTTACCTTTTAAAACCCAGTTAATAATAACAATATTTTGCAACTAACCCATTTGCGGACATTTTTAATCTCAATTCCATCATTTACAACCCAAACCTAGTGCTTCTTCGGATGGAGAATCAAAAAAATGCTGGGTAGCTAAGCTAGAGAATTACCAAATAATCATAAGCTATGCATACTGTTTTTTAGAAAACTTATATTAATTTATTATTTATACAAACAGTTTTGTTTACTCACAAGGACCATTATAGAGACAATATCATTCAAAACCATCTCAACATCGGCTTCTTGGCCTTCCTTGAAACAGGCATCGCACACACCTATGATCTTGTGCAAATCATCTTCGATACCTTTTGGCGACTTCTCTTCTGATATCTCGGCCCCCAGCCCTTTTAAGTAGGCTCGAAGCTCTTGAGCCTGAAAACACATGGTGTAACCAAACATTTGGCGGGTAGCTTTAAAAAATGATCTGAATGAACTGAAAGTAAACATACCTGATCCTCCAGGGACATATCAATAAAAACTGGTGGCACCTGCATGGCTAAGTTATTAATATTTTCAGAGAAATATGTAAAAATTCCTAACCTAAACGGCAGATAAATTTTGTCGTGTTGAGACTTCAATTGTCAATTTCTCGAACGTCACGCCACTGCAGTGTTGCCAAACCAAAAAAGACGAACTTTGTAGATAGTGTCTGAAATTCGGTGGTTTCAAGGACTATTAGGAGGAAAAATTAGGGCCATCGCTAGACCAGCAGTGGATCAGAAGCGTCAAAAGTAGTATATTTTGTATTGCTGGCGCCTGGCGCTTAACAGCAGAGGTTTTTTGAGAACACCTTTTCCTGAAAACATATCAACTTCTTTATTACAACTTCAATGAGCATACTGGTCGTTCTTCAAACTCATTTGCAACCATCCTGGAAACTCCTTTTCCCATTCTTGTTCATAAGATTGTGAATAGTTTTTTTATTGCTTATCTGGTGATACGATAATGATGATGATCTACCAATCTGTACTTTATTGTACGCGCAAAAACTAATACAGGAAAAGTAGTGTGAGGGATGTTCGTAGATAATTATAGGCAGGCCAAATCTAGATACGTCGTGTGCATGACTGCACAAGTGTTTGTTTAAGATTTATTTAGCATGACTGCTACAATTACATTCTTTTAAAAAACTAAACAATTACATAACATACAGATATTTAGAAAAAACAAAACTTGCATCTCTAAGAATTTTCACTGTCCATGAAATATTCCTTTAATTTTCTTTTAAACATTTTTAAAAAAGTAGACTTTATATCTTTAAGTTCAAGTAATCCTTTCTGAAATATTGATTTGCTAGTTATATTACTATTGCAATTCGGTAAATGAAAATCTATATTTCCTCTTGTATAATGTATGAAATTTTTTACATTCGACCACTGCAATTCTTGTAACAGATTTTATTTTGATGTACTTATTTTTATTCAATATTATTCTCATGGCTTTGTAATTTTGAGAATGTAGCTTCATTGGAAGTGAACAAGATAGTTGAGTTTACTATCTATATATATACCTAAATATTTGATTGATTCAACATTTTCAATTTTTTCACCATTTATCCTAACTGTATTTTCATTTAGGTATTTCCTTATTAGCATACATTTTTTTTATAAGTATTCAATTTTAGTTTATTTACATTTAACCAATTAATGATTTTTGCCAAGTCAGAATTTAGCATTTTTAAAGCAATGTCTATATTTTCATCTGATATGTATATTAATGAATCATCTGCAAATACCTGAATTTTGAATACAGATCCTTTAAATCAGTAGTGATGCAATTTTGTAAGTAATTTATCCACGTCGATAGTCTCAAACGCCCTTTTGAAATCCAAATCAGTTGAGTGTTTCTTCCCGAATCGAGCTTGGAATTTGACTAAAATTTCCCGCAATAAATTCAATGATCTGTTCATAAATAATTTCTTCAAAGACTTTTACAACATCAGGCAGAACATTTATTCGCCGCATATTGGTGTACATCTCAGAACTCTTCACTTTCGAAACAGGAGTTATGGTAGAGCACAGTTTTGTTGGAATTCCGGCATATTTTAAACAGTAATTTATCAGGATTAATATGCTTGCTCCAATAATATTAAAACTTTCATTAAGTACACGTTTAGACAAAATAGCATATGAATGACTGGATTGGGGCATAAAACCACAAAGACTACATATAGGTCATTTTTTGCTTTATTTTTGGTTTCACCTCTTTTTCTGTAAAAAATCTGAAAATATCTGAATTATTTAAAAGAAAGTCTGGAAAGTTTCGTTTCGGTAGAAATACCGAAAAACTGGTACGCTTGGCAACTGCGTGTCACTGTCACACAAGAAATTATGTGGCATTGTCATATGATACAATTTTCGGAGGATTACCGAAAAAACGTGGATGATGTCGCCATATAGTTTGGAAGAAATCAAAAATAGCGAATTTATTATTGGCACTCTTATTTTTGCTTTCTTCATTGTTCCAAAAGAAATATGTTTCTTGTTTAATCATTTACGCTTCGAGATGCAGCTAAATGCTCCCAGACTTACGACCAATGGTCTCTTGAAGCGCGGTAGGTTTAAATTTCCATAGGTATTTAAAGAATGATTCAACAATTTCCAATTCTGCATAAACACTCGGTAAAAATATTTCGTGTTACACGTGGATCTGTCACTTTGTTTATTCAATGCATTATTAGCTAATAATAGGCTGGAAAAAAAACTTATTTTCAAGTATGTTTTGAAGCATTTATTCATAGCGCCTGTTTTCAAACACCGTAGTTTAACTTTTGTCCGCTACACATCTTTCGGCGCTGTTTGTCTAGTCAAAATTTCTGTTTCTTTGTCTGGATATCGGCGTTTTTTCCTATTTTTTTACTTTCATATTCGAGTTTGCACGTAAAATCCTCTGTCTTTAGATTAGCCGAACACGAGGAAATCGAATTGATAGTGTCGAGATTGAAATTTTTTGATATAACCTCTAAAGACGCAGTCCCCATAATCAGCTGTATTTGATTATCATCGTAAAATATGTTTATGGGCATCTAATTTTGGAATAAATTCGCATTCTTACGTATTGTCAACGTTCCAGTAGGGTGCAGAAAGTTCGTTCGTACCTAGATTTAGCATAATGTACTCTTGTTACTGTCTCAACATCCTTATTGAAACCCTTCCTGATGATTGTAGGGGTGTCTCTGCAGACTCCTTAAAGCTGAGCCCCGAGGAACGAGAAGATAGTTTTTTCCAACAGGTAAATAAAATTACATATTATATGTTTTCTCAACTCATTCATTTACATATTATAGTGTGCTATATGAACACCACTTTGTTCTGGTGGTTTGATGATTCTACCTTTTCTGTACTTTTTCATAATTTTGTGTGAATCCTTGAAAATTGGATTGGATTAATATTGTCGACATAATTTTCAATGGGTGCATCCAGGGAGTTATATTCTTGGAGTGCAGTTGCATTTTAAATGTGACAACTTATAAATAAAAAATGAAGTATGGTGTTTTCGATTTTAATGTTTTTGTCTACAATTTTTTATTTTTTTCTTATAGAATGTAGATATTACTGTAGCCTTTGACAGTAGTCAATTACAATTCAGTTCTGAGAACACACAAACCTAGGGTACAGAGGCAAAACAGTTCTGGGTTAATTCTCTATAAAACCTGAACAAGGTGTATATGATTTATTTTAATCAATTTTCCAATTTCGTACAGTAATTATATAATAGTGTATCTTTCATTTTACATTAGTTACCTTTAGAGCACTTATCTCTGTGCAAGATAGAAAAAAAGAAAGAATTTTAACATAGTAACTTTGAATTCCTTATTCATTTTTCCATTTTTTTTAAATTTGACACTATGACTGAAAACTGTCTATGAATGTAGAGATTAGAGGGTCAAATGTCAAATCATTCAGTCATCCAAATCTAGGAAGCCAAACAGGATGCTCAACCAGTCTAAAATTGAAAGAGCTGCTTCATTTGGAAGTTACTGTGGACGATTCCATAGCAGCATTTTAAGAAATTAGGTGCTACAGTTTAGAGCATTAATGTCCATCTTTAGAGTTATGGGCTTTTTCGTAACTGTCAAATTGATAAGAAATCAGTCATATCGGAATAAGTTTCAGAAGTATACTATAATAGTTCAAAATCTTCAAAAGTTATTTTCTTTTCCTTGATTTATCTTTTCTATCCAGCTGTTAAATGAAAAATGAAAGATAATAGTGGCTTTAGTAATGCCTCAACAGCTTTCCCAAAATACATTGAAATATGTCTTGCAGGATTTAAAACAAGTAAGAACATTGCAAAAAGTGTATAAGACCCATCCAGATTTAGTGTTGACCAAAGATGTTGGGAAATGGGTTATCAATTGTTGCGCCAATTGTGTATGTGAGACTTATGCTGTTCACAATGAGAAGGGACCTGATAGTGTACTGATATTTGCCAACCTCAGGGTAATTATATAAAATTACAAATGCTGCCAATATATTCTAAGGCCTAGAGACCAAAAACTATTTTCTTCATTCAAAATTTGTCTAATGTTTAGCTTTTCCAAGAATATGCCACAGTATTTGAATAGAAACAAGATAATAAGTAGGCTAATCACTTGTTTAGTTTTCATTGCTGTTTTTTATTTTTTCATCTGCTTATCAGCAAACTTTATTCTACTTACAGAAATTGGAATCCAAAACTGATTTCCTAAACTTTGCAAAGTAAATCATCCTTGTTTCTTCTGTTTATACATCAATGCTTAATGTGCTGATTAACTTGTAGGATACAAATTCAATAGAAAGAGCTAAAAGACAGGATCCCGACTATTCTAAGGTGTTCAAAATCATCATTAGTCATAGTGCTGTTAGAGCAAACAGTAGGGTTTTGTATTCATGTAAGTATTTTTATCTCTGGTATTTACTTTTTTTGTTAATATCCTCTTTATTCAAGACCCTCAATGTAATCCTGAGGCAGCCATGAGTAATCTTAAAGATTATTTGTTAGAATATATGAAAAGAGAAACAATTGCTGTAGAACAAAGGATAAAGCAGTTTGCAGATGAGGAATATGAAAAATTTAATGATCTTAAAACAGCTGCTCTCAGGGAACAGGGATTCTTGAACCTGTAAGTAATAAACAATATTTTCCCTTGAAGAGAATAACATGAAGAAAATAATCTCTAATTGAGCAGTTTTTGTGATAAAGAATGTATTTTACCCCTACAATATTTGATAACCTTTTCTAAGAAAAATGCAAAGTAAGCATTTTTATTTATAGATATTTAGATAGCAGTTTAATTCAAACTACATATTTGAAATAGATAAATTGTGTTTTATTACTAGTTTCAACCAATAGTGCTGATTGATCCATAATTCATATCTAGGTAAGCTTTTTGATGCATCATGGGAATACCTGATTCAAATGAACAAAATTCTTCACAATGTCAAAAATGTCTCAGTATTTTCACAGCTGAAATTAATAACTTACTTGGATTAGCTGTGTTTTCAAAATGACCTCTCATAAATGAATATGTTAACAAGTGAAGTAAAATTGTACAAACTTATTACTAATAATTCATAAAGTACAGATTCTTCGACCTGTCATACCTTACGGAAGTATGCAAGGTGTCCTGAAATTTGGGACTTTCCTTTTCAGAAACAACTGTGCTTGAAATAATAAATTTAATTTGTGGTGAAATAGTAGCGAAAATTAAAAAAAAAAAACGAAAAAGTACTCACAGTTCCTTTTCAGGGAAATTTGAAGTACAGCTCTGTCACTTATAATTGCTGTTAAAAGTTGTCATCAGTGGTAAAATGTTTTGTAGAAAGTCTAGGTATTGAGCATACCATTCACTATGCCACCACAAGTATTTAAAGAAAATGTTTGTTGAAAATGTGCGGATTTTCCAATGTTCACAGATGAGTTTCGTATGTTATTGACCATTACGCGCGAAGGTTGATTTCGTCCGTGACCAATATGGACTGCAACAATCACTTACAAAACCGCTCTCTTGCACGAAAATCCTCGGCTTAGAGGACTCTTACAAAAGGGTACAATATATCATCTCGCAACGTTTACCACACTTTAGCCTTGGAGATTTGCACTTCCCAGAGATTCAATACTCCTTCCTCAGATTGCACCATTCGGGGTTTTCTAGGTCTCCCAGTGCTCACATCAACATTTCTAAAAAATGACCTACATCTCTAGCTCTTTGCACATGGTAAACACATCTAGGCGGCTCTGAATGGTAACGTCTGGGTACATACACTTTCGAAGCTTCGGTAGCATTTTGAAGACGCTCATGATGAATTAAAATCATATCGACAAGTTCGATGTTGCTGTACGAGTGTGTCATTATGGATTTTTTCGCTGCCGGCGCCTGGGTTTGAGTGCTGACGTTCCTCGTGCCTTCTCATCTTTGATCTGATCGAGATATGGGAGCGGATCAGGTTTTTTGATTTTGCGGTGCTTAATATCTCGGTTATCTTCAGAGTTTTATGTATATGCTAATAGAAGAAACCGTTTATTTTTTCAAGATTATTACGCCATGAAACGGGAAGTCCTAACTTTGTGGACACCCTGTATTGCAGCGCAGCTGATAATGTAATACCTACCTACTGCTTAATTTCTCACCAACCCAATAAGCAAAGATCTTTGCTGTACTGTGGGAGTAAATGAGAGTTGAGAATAGTTTTCTACAAACTAAGATCATTTTTGTATTTCAGAGAGTTTATCTGGATAACTTATCATAGTTGATGTTTATATTTAGGGCGTATACTTCTTAAATCGTATTTGTCACACAGTTATAAATTTTCCTGTTTATGTAATGCACCTGTGTTTATCAGTAAATGTTTGTTCTGTTCTAGATTTATTCATGAGATGTCCCAGCAACAAAAGAGTGAGCTTCAGCGCAAGGCAATTATAGATGCTGTGAAAAAAGCTGATGAAATGCTTTCTGTCGACGTATGTTCGCCTGAGTATGGAATGAAGATCAACAGTAAGGTATGAATCAATAACTAGCAAATGTATTTGTTATACAAATTCGGACTAGGTAGAAGGAGCAAGTATTCGATTTGTTTATCACCAAAATGTGGTCAGTAATCACGATGCAAGTTCATTCTACAAGTTGATCAGGCTCCAGTCATCAGTTTGACAGCTGTTGACATTTTACATTAAATTCATACTTTTCTACAAAAACGTATAAAAGTGCAAGGGTTCCATACAATCCTAGATTTCCAGGCAGTTGCCGAAAATGGTGGAGACTTCTGTGGATTGTTAAAATAAGCAGTTTAAACTAGATGAGAGCAAATCTTTTTATCGACTATTGTTATACAAGGTGATTCACGAGTCGTGACCAGGACCGCATTTTAAAGGGGGACTTGTATTTAATATTTCTTCGTCAAGGGCTTCATTAAAAAGATACGGTATGTTGAAAATAAAAAATAAAAAACAATTTTTTATTAATATCTTCAAAACCGTCAACTGGAATGAACTAAAATTTGGTATGTGGATTTACCGAAGTATTGTCCACATTCAAAAGTCTATACTTAAAATCAAGGTGCACCAGTGGCGGAGATACAGAGGATCAGTGGTATTATTTTTCCAAATAAAAATAGTACGCCACTGTTTTTATTTTGTTTTATTTTTAATAAATTTTCAAATAGACCACCATTCTGAAGGATATAATTGCGGCATCTTTTTAATAAAAAAAAAAACGTATTTCCGCAACATTTGTTGTGGCTTGAATTTGATGAAACGCATTATCTATTCTTTCTTGTAACTGATCATTTGTTCCGCATACACTAGTTGTTTAAAAGCGCCCACAAAAAGAAAACCAGGGGGTTCAAATCGGGAGACCTCGCAGGCCAATGTACGGGTCCGTTTCTGCCAATCCATCCAACATGCGGTGGGACACCGTCGTTCTGGTACCACATTCGTACTCTCGTTACTAACGGAACATCATCTAACACATTTTCTTTGTAATTCTGTAGAAAAGCTAAGTATGAATTTGCATTTAAACGTTGTGGCAATACGTGCATAAACAGTTGGCCATTGAAAATGCCGCGCCAGACATTTCTAGAACATCTGTGTTGAAACGAGTGGATTCTTACAGACTAGGGATTCTCCAACGACCAAATATGTTCTTTATGAGAATTAAAGGTTTCACTCCTCGTAAAAACCGATTAATCTGATCACAAAACCAAATCAATAAAATCTGGATTTTGATTATGCATTTGCAGTAGCCACTCACAAAAATTTCGCCGTTGCACTTCGTCGCCGGGTTGCAGACACTGCACATCTTGCCGATGGTCGGGAGACAATACAACCTCAAGCTAAAATCTAGTACTTTTTTCCCTTGTATAATAAATAACTATTTTTATTTTCAAACTTCGACACCCCGTATCTTTTTAATCAAGCCCTCGAGGGAAACATGTTACATAGAAGATTCCCATTAAAATCCGGTCCTGTGTATGAAATTTCATTTATGGTTACGACGTGTGAATCACCCTTTATATTATAGTCAACCGGCGTTGCGAAAGGGCATGCACCTCCCTCAACATTGAGCTTTTATCTGGGCAGTTTAACGTTATATGCTTTAATTTTGAATCTAAAAGTTCTCAGACAATGAAGTTTTGCGTTATAAATAGTAATTTTAACTATTCAGAAAATCTGAGTAGAATTCATGCCAGGTGTCCCATTTTTAATATCAGGTATTCACTTCAAAATCACAAACTAAGCAGAATAGTTCATATGCTGTACTATTAATAAATATCTACTTTCGTTTCTTTGCCTTATTTAATTTATCCCTGTTTATTTACAAAATTAAAAACTGAGCGATTCACATCGTTAAGTCAGAGACCCGTGCTCGACGAGAGTACAACAACTATGAATAGCTACTTGAATATCCTTTCCAGAGAAAAGAATATACGTGGATGTATTGTTTTGTCACTTTGGTAGGCAATGGTAGTGAAATGAGCCACAAGTATGCTCTAAAACTACATAATCTTTGCAACAAACAACGCAATGTAACCATATGTATAGGCTTGGCGCCTTCAAATTTAAATTTATTCACGTTCATAGATTACTACGAGCTTAAGGTGAAGAAAACATTTGTATGACGAACTGTCAATTTTCTTTTGTTACTAAACTAAATCGTGCAATCTACCACATAGGGCCCAAATAGCTTATCACCTAGGGAACAACTTATGAATAATTCCATGACTGACACTAGAGGTAACTTGGAACCTCCTAGTTAAGCCCATCAATCTATGTATCTGGAGAGAGGTTCACGTCATTCATCTTGATATTACAAAGACATGACGACCTCCTGGATACACAACCATTCTATGACCTTGTAAAGCGCCTATGAAAGTTAATAGTAGAATTTTTTTATGAATCAAAACATTTTTATTTGGTTGTATAATGTAAGCGCATGCCTAAGTTTTGTTTAACATAGTTTTGAAGATCAAATCAGTTAGGTGGCCTTCCCCATCCTCCATACTCTGGGTAAACTGATTTCTGTCGTTTTTCATGACTCTTGGTAGCATAGCAGGCGTTATGTTGAAAATTTCGTCCTGGGCGTATTAAAACCTCCTACTGTCTTTGGACGGTTCACATAAACGCGGGATTTAAAAAAAAAACAGAAAAAATCACAAGGGACCAAAACGGAAGAGCGGCCACTCGAAATTGCCCCTAATTGATATGAGGCGCTTTGGTAAGTGTTCCCTCAAAACAGCCATCGATGCTCACCACTACTTCCAGCTAAGGAAATTGCAGACCACACTCTGACTTTAGGTGAGTGCAAAGGTGATTGACACAATTCTCGAGAATTGGTGTCAGCCTAATAGCGCATGTTTTTGTTGACGGATCTACCCAAATGTAGATGAGCTTCATCACTAAAAAAAAAAACAATAGCGTCCTCAGGAACGACTTCGAGAAGACGCTCACATGCGTTCATCCTAGTCTTGAAGTCACATTCAGAAGTTTCCTGCACAATTGCTATCTTGTAAGGATGGAAATGAAGATCGTCATGGGTAATCTAATGGACCGAGAGACTCCAGTTCTTCGACTTGTCGCACTTCCAGTTTGTCTAAACATCTTGAAAAGTGACATTATGTCGATTTTTTTAACATTGTATTGTTTTTTTTGTAACATTATGTAGGTTTTTCTACAAGATGTTAACTTAGCACTAGATGATGGAGACGTTGTGAACTCAGTTATCAATGTTTGGCTCTGATGTGATGTAAAATCTGCTTCAGAGATGGCATTACTGGAGATCTAAGCTGTAAGTTGTATACTATAGCTAGTAGGAACAAGGAAACGGTAATGCATAGGTGCATAGTGAGGATTTGTGTGCTAATAATATGTGTTGATGATAATTCCATTGGATTCTTGTCTCAAATATACATACTTGAGATTCAGAGTTAAAAATTAGTTGCGCATCCACTTTTTCTTATTCATTTTGGAAATTACATACGCAAATTTGCTGAATTTAAAAAATGAGAGAGATAAGGAAAAGAAATCCCTTGTGGGTGAAGGAACAGGTGAGAAAATATGCACAGGATCTTCTAAAAGTGCCTATAATCGACCATAGAAAAATTCTTGCGGGCGCCCATGATCATACAAGGAAATGTTATAGGCGTTTTCTTGTACCTCGTGACTCGCTCAGACAGGAATATTTATGAAAGTGAAAAGGTCATTACATTTTTTATTTCCACTCATTTAAATTTTATAGAAATTTATTTCCGATATCAATAGAAAATACAAATGAGCGCCTAGATGTGGTGCATTGGTTTGATGTGTGAGGCGTCATTACTATTTTTTCTGTTATGTGGCTTAATTGCACACAACGCGTAGGCGGTGTCGATTTCACGTAGTGCTCCTCAAAGTTTTTCAAAACACATAACCTGTCTTCAGAAAGGACAACATATAAATAACACGCCGGACATGGCTAATAGATATACTTCATTGGGTGCATATTCAGTAAAAATTTTCTCACACTATCACTGATTTTATATACAACATGCAGACCAGGACACATAATCATCCAGATGCGATCTTGCTATTCAACCTACTTTCTTCTCGGAGATGAAAACTACAGACTACTCTACTTCACAAAACATATGCAACCAACAATACGTGTGGTTGAGTCATTCCTCCATAGATAGACGCTCACAGCGGTTATAGCGAGCAAACGTGGAATGAACTATTTGCACCCTAAAAACTACCTAGTCTGCAAGAGGCATTTTATTGTTTTTTTTTTGACGTTCTATAGGTTTTTTACATAATACCCATGCGGGACAGGGGCCAACGGGGCTAAATTATAGCGATTCCAAAATGCGCGCTGGGTTGCGATCACAGAACATCCGCTCGAAAAGTAGGCCTCAACGGCAGAAGTCCTCTCCCCACTGTTCCAACGCATGATGGTGACCGAACTGTGTTAGGACAAAACTTTATAATCCCGCCTCTCGAATAAGACCAAAAGTGTCCGCTATGATATTATCCGCCCGAATGGCGCGCATTTTAAAAAAGGAAGATATGCTGTCGCACCCTGTAGCTGTCGCTACTGTCTAAACATCTTTTCGTCCACAAACGACAAACGGGGACTCAAAACCATAATTGGCTACGTTGTTGCCGTCACCAGTGGCCTAATGTACAGAATAGCTTTATTTTAATGGGGCCGGTCATTGAAAAAAAACTTCATTTTAGAGACATAGTCCGAAACGTCAGAAAAGTAGCCCAGCTGCGCCTGCAAGTTACGATGCTGAAGCGATATTTGAAATGGAAGGTAGTGAAGATAATAGATCCGTTTCTGGTACAGACGTGGAAGAAAGTGATCGTGAAGGTAGAATGTTGCACTATTTTGATCGAATCTGGAATTTGTTTTATTTTCGATATTAGATCGTTCATTTGGACCTGTCAGTATTACCTCAGAAAGTCTATTTGGTTTGCAGATACGACTGAAGGTGCTATCATGATGCCAGTGAGGCAGTCGGTGCCTAAGCATAGTATAGCAAAATCGTTACCAATGGATATACCGGCGTTCCTTACACAAAACAAATGTCATGTGGAAGATGAATTTGACGATCTGGTAAGCTTATATATAAAATGTTGATTCAAATCTGTTTTAGTTGTCCAAACTTAGTCAAATGGAAGCTAAAACACGAATAACATTGTGTATTCTTCAATGTAGTGATACTTTTTTCAAAAATCCGAGTACCGAGTAAATGGCGAGAATTAACGTACCTGTAAAAAAACAGTTGTTCGGCTTGGGCGATTTTTTTTTGTGGAACGCCGTAATGTACTTACGGTACTTTTAGAAGAATTATATTTTATATATTTATGAGTCTTGCAACTACTAGGTTTATGTTTCCCACATAGACATTTAGGACTCATTCTTAGATATTATATTTACAAAACATATTTTTGTCTCATTCTTCTATCTTTCCTATCAGAATCTACCTTTGACAGGTTTTTTCTAGACAACTTGAGCACATATTTTTGTTGAACTTATGTAATGCCAGGCTCCATGCTCAAGTTTTTATTAGAAGCACTGCAATCATGAACACTGAATTTAAATCCTATAGGCTTCTGGCTATAAAAAACTCAAATCAAAACTGCTTGTTGTCTAAGCGGAGACAACTGAAATTTGGGAAGAACCAAACGTGAATTATCCTTAAAGATTTCTCTGCAGAAATGCGGGAAACTCATTACCGTAACTTTTCGAATTTTGCTGTGTTTTGGTTATGGAAATATTGGCAAATTGTATGGGCCTATTTGACGTCTAATCCTTTTGTTCTTAGCTAACTTTTTCCTCGTTGTGGCTGATTTGCACTGAGCATAATCCTTTGTAATAATAATACATAATAATATCATTTATTGCTCAACAGAAACAGAATCCCTTTACAGAGCAATATAAAATAAAAAAAAAAACTATACTATCCACAGGTATTTTGTGACATATTCTTAACAGGACATTTTAGTTCCTTGAGGTGATTTCCACATTAGATTTGTCCTTGCAGCAGTAGAATAAAATGTTCATTATTGTCTAGAGTTGAACTCTGGTAGATTAAATTTAATACGCGATTAAAGATATGGACAGTCAATAACATAATACATCAATTCATAAAGGAATGAAAGAGGTGACAGTGTCCGTCTGAGCTCCACTGTCAATGTGAAAACAGTTTAATAAAAACTTCCTTTGTTTATACAGTCTTTTCTTGTGACACTGATGATGGTATTACAGTCTCGAACGTAAATAAGACAAAAAAAAAATAGACATATCAATGCTATGTCACTATTAAATGATCGACAATTTCTGACGATGAATACATACATTTTGTATGCTTCACCAATGTTGTTATCAATATGATTAATGAAACTGATTTGCGAATCAAATAATCTTTAGTGGTAAATGACGCTCTGAAAAATACCATCAATGTTGTAATCAAATAAGATTGGCGCTTTTTCCTAGAGAAAGTGACTACGACTACTTTACACGTTGCAACATTCAGTGAGAATCTGTTATTAGCACACCATAAATGAAATTTGTTGAGCATGACCTGTAACCTAACACAATCTTCTGTGGCAGTTATTTCACAATTAATGAAAATATTAAATAGTTGCGGGCTTAAGATTAATCCTTGTGGACCACCTGAGTTTACGCTATACGTGTTAGACTTGTACCCCATTATAGTATGCACACAATCGATTGAATAAGTAAGATTTACAAAATTGATTGATTAATAACATTGCTGATCACTCATTTTTTTTTTCAGCCACGTCAGGAGAACGTGAACATAGCAGAGAGCATAAAAGCCTTGGCGCAAAGCGTTCATGGCGACGCCGTATTCGGTGAGCTACCGAGACCTAGACTGAGCAACCAGCTCTAGCTCAGGGAAGGAGAAGTACATCTATAGCTCTTCCACATATACACACACATAGAATAGGCGCACCTCCTCTTGAGCAGGGATCAGTCTTTAATCTGGTACCAGAAACAAAGATTACATATTGAAAGGAGTATTGAAGATATTCACGTGAGATGAGCGTTTCAAAATCAAATCGTCACGGTCAGATTAGTGTTTCTAGATTGAAAATAAAGCCAAATATGAGCACATGGAATATTTTCTAGTCCAGTCTGTCTATGAAATTATTTTAGTTTTGGAAATCTACATTGACTATTGTATATTATATGATTGCTGTTTATCTAAGCACTTATAAGGTAACTCTTTTTTAACGAATGTTTCATCAAGTTTGTCGTGTCACATTTGACCAGTCTTACAATTTTTTTAGTGTTACCAAATTGACTTCTTGGAGACAAAATAAGTAATGATAGCCTTATTTGTAGCATATTTCTGTCTTCAGATGGGATTCGAAACATCGTGATTTAATTCCTTACACACGTCACCTACTTCAAGGTCAAGCGAATATTTCCAAACAGAAGCCCCCCTTTTCACATCTGCACGGGTACTATTCGTCATCTGTTTTTCTGGGCGGTCCGTAGGACCTTTGTCCATTAGTCACTGTCTAATGTACGTTAGTCGAATCTGTCAGTCCTCGTTGCCCAAACACTGACGACGAAAAAGAGAAAGGTAAAGATTAAAAAAAAATGAGAAGAGCAAAGAAAGACACGTGTATTAGTTTTTAGAGGAAACACCTACCCTTTTTGACTTGGTACACGGATTGATTTTGAGGTGAATTAAAAACAAATTTGGGTTCAGGTTTTGTACAGTGTAATTTTGAGTTTACTACAAGTTCGCGCTAATTTTTGATCACAGTGCGAGTTGAGGTCATGAATTTTTACGAACTTGCTCCACTGTGTAGTCCACTGAGTCACGTAACAGAGTGTTGCTATTCGATTCCGCTTGACTATAAAGCGGGAATTACATTACGAAACTAGTGGTATGAAACTAGTGTCATGACATTAATTTCACCAACATTTCATGTGCAAGTAGTTTCGTAGTGTCGTGAAATCGACAGTATCGCTGTGATCATGGCGCCGTCAGCATCGAAGCTGTATTTTGCAGTTCAAGATGTTGTCATACAGATGTTGATATATAAACTGAAAAAGAGGATGGCTCGAAAGAAAAAGCGTTGGTGGGTTAGAGGATGGGTAGCAAGGAGACATCTGGGTGCAGTACAGTTAATTTCCGAATTAGCAGATGAAGATCCTGAGAGCTATACAAACTATTTTCGAATGAGTGAAGATTGCTTCAACTTTTTATTGGATAAAGTATCTGACAAAATCACTAAGCAGGATACGACATGTCGAGCAGCATTGACACCAAAAATAAAACTTCAAATTACGCTGCGATTTCTAGCAACTGGGAATAGTTTGAAGTCATTGTCATACGAATTTAGAGTGGCACCATGTAGTATATCAAAATTTCTACCTGATGTGCTAATCGCAATCTATGAAGCATTAAAAGACTACATTCAGGTAAGCAAAACATTTTTATTTAATACAGTTGAAAAGTTAGATACTCAAATCTAAAAATACTCATCAAAGTCCAATTCTCTCTCCGTTATGCTGGCAATAGCTTGAGAAAGTACATCGTTATTGTAACCAGTGGGATTTGCATCTTCTTTATCGTTATTGATGGCACTACTGGCAGAAGCCGTGGACTTTGGTCTTGGTGGCGATGAATTGCGTTGAGATAACGACTGTTGCTTCAAAGAACTGATTCGTTGCCTTCTTATTGTTGATAAAATTATCTCCTCTGTTTCTAAAGCAATTTCCAGAGGAAGCTGTCGTAGCTGTTGAGCTACGGTTTGCCCAAACAGTGCAAACTCATCATTGCCTGCATTAGGCACGTGTTGCGAGGAAATCTGTTCCAATGTATGTACCGCTTTAAGTAGCGGATCTGCAATTTTCCTTTTGTTTCTTGTAGGTGTGCGTGGTATGGTAAACTCATCATTACTGGATCCTGAAGCTGAACCCTGTGAAGCAGTGTTGGGTGTCTAAAACAATAATTAAATTTTGAATTTTCTTTACAGGTACCAAACACAGAAGAATGTTGGAGGGAGATAATGGATGGCTTCAATGATAAATGTAATTTTCCAATGTGTGGTGGTGCAATCGATGGCAAACATGTTCAAATCCGATGTCCAGCACATTCTGGAAGTGACTATTATAATTATAAGGGCACATTCAGTATTGTCCTCCTAGCAGTTTGCGACAGTGAATTAAAATTCAGGTATATCAATGTGGGCCTCTATGGTCGAGCTTCTGATGGAGGAGTATTTGCCAGATCAAATTTTAAAAAAAAGTTGGAGGAAATGTCTTTGAACGCCCCTGAAGGAATGGTTTTATTGGGGGACCAGGCGTTTCCTCTCACTGACTATCTTATGACACCATATAGTCGTCGACTAAATTTATCGAAAAAACAAAAAATTTTCAACTACCGACTATGCAGAGCTCGCCGGACTGTAGAGAATGCCTTCGGAGTGTTGGTTAGCAAATTTCGTATACTTGAAAAGCCTATTGCTCTACTCCCAGAAACTGTGGACAAAATTATAAAGACATGTTGTGTCTTGCATAACTGGCTGAAGACCCGATCATCAACCTACATTGAGCCAGGACTGATTGATGAAGAAAACTCAGAAACAGGAGACTTAGTGGAAGGATCATGGCGTACTATAGCACAGAACTCATTTAGGCCACTGGGTAGTTTCAGTGGAAACCATTCGAGAAATGCTCACCGGATACGCGAGCATTATACTGACTACTTTGTTGGGCAAGGGCGTTTAGAATGGCAAGATAGGATGATTTATTAAATGCAAAATCATATTGGAAGCTGATAATAAAAAACTTACCAAATTTTCTGTGTTTTCTCTGGCATAACCATCAGTATTTTTTAAAAAATCCATATGAGGGATCCATGGTATTTTAGAGATATACTGTTCATCGGTTGCCATACCAGTAGTATTAGATTTTTTTGTCTTCATTACTTCATTGTTGTAAGTATTACGAAGTGTTCGTATTTTGCAAATTACATCTTTTACACTTTCCATCTGCATAACCTCCATAATTGCTTTGTACCCCGCGTCTCGGGCATCTCTATTTTTGTAGTCAGGGTGTTTTGGATCCCAAAGACACTCGTTTCGCTGGTATTCATTAATGAACTGTATATTTTTATCGGCTGTCCAGCGTTGATTCGCCATTTGTAACGAATATTTCACGATTTCACAATCTGCACGTGCACGGCCACAAAACACACATCCACTCTGAAGCGCTGTCGTGACACTAGTTTCGCACATTCGCGTCACGTTTACATCGTGAAACTGGTGGCATAACACTAGTGTCGTTCAAAAATTGCGCGCCGCACGAAAGTAAATCGGTGTCATGAAAGTAATGCACGCATTGTGAAACTTAACATTTACACGTGAAACTATTGATGAAACTACTGTCATGACACTAGTTTCATACCACTAGTTTCGTAATGTAATTCCCGCTTAACGTTGCTGCGCCTGAAGCATCACATAATCCTATCATGTCAAGTTATCTGTCTAGTGTCTCATTTGAGACATACCATGGAGCGTTGCAAATTATTCGCAAATTTCTGCTTTGCAGTACTTGAAAACTTTGCATATATGTCTTGGCAAGAAAACACCAAGCCACACATGCACAATAATGGCTGGTCTAATAATCATTTTATATAGTCGAACTTTGTTTACCAAACTCAATTTGGAAGATCTACATAACAAAGGGTTTAGTTGCCGAAACGCGATTTGGAATTTTGTTTTCAAGGCTGCTGTATCTTTCGGCCAAGTCATGCCTTTATCATGGGTGACACCCATACACTTGGCAGAATCAGTCCATGGTACACGATTTCCGTGTACAGAAACCTCGGCTGAGGGGCCGCGACGTTTTTTGGTACAATAAATAGCCTGCGTTTTCGAATGATTAATTTTAATCAGCCACCGTTCCGCCCACTCTAGAACTTAGTCCACCGCACTCTGCAACTCATCGTGAACCAGTACACTAGTACACGACTGGGTGACAAGCGCAGTGTCGTCAGCGTAGAGGTAGACTTCACAGTTGCTGGGGCAAGGGACATCAAGGACAAAAAGCAAGTAAAGGATTGGTCCTAGGACTGAGCCCTGAGGAACACCGGCCCGTACTGGCCGTGTTGTTGAAGGAAAACCCTTTTGGATTAGTTTATAGAGGAGACTCGCATACCATACATTGTCAAAGGCTTTTGAAACATCCAAAAGCAAGATGCCAGTACTCTTGCTGAGGGTAAACCTTCTGGTTACTTTGTTCCATAAGCCTGACTGCATGTAGCTCGGTGCTATGCTCGGATCGAAAACCAAATTGAACGTCAGGAATCACCTGGTGATTTGACGAAAAATTCTCAAGGTGGCGGTAAATCACCTTTTCGGCGAGCTTAGGAGTTGATAGCAGACTAATGGGTCGGTAATCCTGAGGAAATATCGAACCCTCCTTTGGAATCATGATGACCTCAGCACTCTTCCACCCAGCAGGAAAGTACTGGATTCTGAGCATCGCATTGGCCATTGTCACCAAATATATCAGAGCTTTCGGTGAGAGCAGCTTCAACGCCTTGTTATCCGCACGGGTATTACGTATATTGAAAAGTGACATTATGTACATTTTTTGTTGAAATTATATTGGTTTTTTGTGACATTACGTAGGTTTTTCTACAAGATGTTACCTTAGAACTAGCTGATGGACACTTTGTGGATTCGTCTTGTAGTTGTATGTGTTGCTTAAACGTCATGAGGCTGGAGGTAACGGCAATGCATAGGTGCATACTGCGGATTTGTGTGCTAATAATATGTGTTCTTGATAATTCCGTTGGATTCTTGTCTCATATACGAGCCCCTTCCCACTTCAGTTGGCCCACAAGATTTGTAACAAAATATGCCTCTATAAACTAAACGTGACGAAACTATTCACTTCTAAAACAATTTATTTTCTCAAAAACATTTTAGATACTCTCTAGTCGTAAAAAATACATATTTGAAATCACTTAGACCTATAACTAATAGAACATCTGAACAAATAAACAATGTGCGAATAAATGCGCGAAGTTAACAAAGCAACAATTGAAAGATTACCATTGGGTAACATCACCTTTATTTTTTATTACGGCTGAAATTCTTTGGGGCATAGTGTTAACCAAGTTTTGGCAAAAATTTGGTGTAAAACAATCCCATATTTCTTGAAGCTTTTGTCTCAGTTCTGTGATTGTATGAGCAGGATGTTGTCGTAGAACCTTTTTCATCTCGTGCCACAAAGTTTCAATAGGTGATAGATCTGGACTGCTAGAAACCCATTTCAAAAGTGGTACATTATTTTCTTCCATCCATTTTATAACCTTTTTTGAGGTATGGCACGCTGCACCATCTTGCTGAAATACAAAATCTTGGCCGGATGTCAAACATTCTTCCATCACTGATAAAAGCGATTCTTCTAAGATTGCCAAATATTTGTTTGTATCCACATTTCCATCAATAAAATGAAGTTTTCCTACTCCTTTTGATGACATACTGCCCCAGACCATAATGGATGCTGGAAATTTCACTTTTCTCTTCAGACAGTCAACATGAAATGCTTCATTTTTTTGCGAATAACTCTACTGCGACTGTCACCAACACAAACTTCGAATCGGGCCTCATTACTCCATTGTATTGCACACCATTGTTGAGGTGTCCATTGTCTATATTCTTTAGCCCATCTAAGCCGATTTTTCTTTTGCAGGGGAGTTAATAGTGGCTTTTCTTTGGCCTATAAACAAGTTGTGCAACTTTAGGGTTTTTACTTCACTTTTTTTTTATAAGAAAACTTACCTTGCAAGTGCTAAATCCCAGTTTGTGGGCCTCTCTATGAGTTGTGGACCTCGAAATTCTCCTTCCAACAGCGTCACTCCACAGAGCACTTAATTGTAAATAATTGACACGCCTGTTTTTCACGATTATTCTTCTTAATGCTCTTCGGTCGGCATTTGTGATATTACTTTTTTTCACATATCGTGGCTTAATATTAACTGATCCAGTTACGTTATATCTTCTAACAATATTTCTTACACTGTACCGCGATAAGTCTAACAAAGTTGCAATTTCTGAGTTTGATTTCCCAGAATTAAAAAATTTAATTACCAGTAACCGAATTTTCTCACTAATAACCTTTCCTCTACCCATTTTAATTAAAACTGTGGATTCCTCCTTTCACCACGTCGCCTTCTAACCCTGGCACGACCATCGTGCATGCCTAAACAAAATCGAGACTCGTCACTAAAGACAATACTGTTCCATTCCTGATCCCAGAGTGACCGTTGTCTGCACCACTCAAGGCGATTACGTCGGTGTTCTCGAGTTAAAGGGAGGACCCAGTGTGGCCGGTATGAAAACAAGCCAAAACTTC